ATCTCGGGTCCATTGATCTCATTTCGTCGACCAACTCCGTCTCGTCGACCAACTCCGTCTGGTCACAGCTGCCACGCAGTTCTAATAGTACTGAGGTAAAGCCAGGGAGTGGCTCGACTGGAAAAGTGTCGCACTCAGGAGTGATCATGCCAAGGTTTGTTTTCGTCCTGTCGAACTTGAAGGAGTAGCAGCCAGAGACTATCCAAACAACATTGGCGATTTTGAAAACGGACTTGAACCCGATTCCCTTTTCACCAATTTGGCTTCCATTCACCTTTGTGCTCCGACCAACTCTGCAGAGTGCCTCAACGTCGTGCCTGGTAAATCCTACCTCGTTGTAATCCAAGCGGAGACGTCCAGGACAGTAGCTGATCAACATTTGGGGTGTCGATGCCGTATAAGAACAGTCATCAGCATTTTGTATCAATTCCAACAAGAAGTGTGTTGACTTTTCGTAGAGTGCTTCGGCGAGGCTGGGGAATGATAGAGTTAGCTGCTTTGTCTTTATGCCTCAAGCGTTCAGAACGACGGGGACAAGGGATTGGCATAGGAACATTACATTGAAATAGACGCCTCGAGATCCTCGAGATTATCGTTTGTGATACTTTGCTCTCCTTCATCTTCACAACCCCGACGTCTCCGAATTTGCTTGATGTGTTCATCGGCTGTATCGCGCGATACAGGCCTCTCATCCATCTGGGACGGAAATGAAACAGAAGAGTGTGTTGCAATTTCTTTCTGGATTACGCTGCAACTTAACCAAATGTTCAGTCAACTTGGTGGAAGGAAGGCTGCCATCTGGTTATGAGTTCAGAAACTCAGACGTGGCAATGCAGTGAGAAGGCAACCAGGCGACGACCTTCTGGTCACACGCTAACGGGTGTATAGGGAGCGCATAGCACGGAAGAAAACTGCTGTCCAACGCGGTGAGAAGGCAACCTCCAGGCACAATTGACGATTGGGCGCTCAACATGGTGGCGCAAGATATTGAGGCGGTGTCGAGAGTCAATGAAGTCTGATAGGTGATCCATGTATTAGGGATAAAGAGTAGCCAATGACGAGAAATTAGAAGGACAGAGGAGATGGCGGCGGTGAATGGCACTCATAGGTCAGTTTTGACAGGCGTGTGTGAGGCGGTTGATGGTCAATGAGGAAGGCCTGACTGCGCAAAATGTGTCTGTGTGGCTTGTGTGAGAAGCCACTCACGTGCACCTCACGTGGTATGGCAGTGGCTGTGCGTTGCCTAACGGTGTTCTTGGCATCCTGACACAACCAGGCAGCTACTTGTAGGTAGTCATGACTCGCCCCAACTGGCCAGATATTACTCAGGTCATGAAACGGAAATGGACGTACGTCGAGAAAGGCATGGAGGTCAAGAATCGCAATTGAGTTTCTGTGGTATTTTGTTTGAAGCATTCCACGTTCCCCACCAACCAATCAGGTCGAGCCAAATCCCGCCCCATCTTCTCATTTTCGGGGTTGCACCCCGTCGCTCGAAATGGCGTGCTAGTCTTATCAGCACTTTTTACCTCGTACACCATCACCACCGTGATCGTCCATCATTCAGTTCAGTTCTCAACGCTGCAATTCCTACTTCTTCTGCTTCCTCCTTGTAGATTCCTAGACTGCGACACTCATTGCTGGTAGCGTTGTCCCTCCTTGTGGTGGTGCGTGCCTTATCAATCCCCGATCAGATCAGACCAGACCAGACCAGATTAGACTCCAAGTCACATCGGTGTTTGTTGCTGCTCTGCAAGCCACGTGGCGCGCGCGCTCTCTCTCTCTCTCTCTATCTCTCATTAGAGATGCGGCGACATGGCGAGAGGAGGATCTCGTAAGTACTGTTGACAACGGAGGCGGAGCAGGATGGGGCAGGGCAGACTTGGGTGTCTGTGTCCAGTCCTATCCTAGCCCCGTCCAGTCAAATCAATTCAACTTGGAGTGCTGCTAATACTTTACCATCATGCAGGTGCAAGCGGTGTCAGACCCGCAAGGTGCGTTGCCTTCCCGGTCGTCCCAATGGCCCTCGTCGAAAAATGAATTGAAAGAGAACTAATGTCAATCTTTGATGCCCTCCAGATCAAATGCTCGAGAACCACCCCTTGCAATAGCTGCACCGCCGCCGGAGTCCAATGTGAATTCCGTGCCGACGACTGGAAAAGAGCCCCAATATCGCACGAGTATGTTGGTGCGCTAGAAGGGAGGGTCGCCGCGTTGGAACTGTTGCTGTCAAGTATCAAGACCTCGGCCGCGCCCCAGAGAAGCGCCATCATCGATGGCATCGATTTTCTAGACCACTTGCCTGCTCCTGTGCCCAACATGACTCCGCCTCCCCAAGGATCGGTAAAGTCCGTGCGTGACGACACCCCTCGAGGGTTCTGGGGCGTAGATGAGGATGGTTCGTTAACTCTTGCCTCTCCCTTTTCCTCTGCCTCACCCTTCGACCATCGAAGTCGACTGATGTTCTGAAACAGGGCTCGCCGTCTTCCACGCTCCCGGGAGTGCATATGGGACTGGCCTTTTCTCATGCCACAGATCGAAGTCTGTGCTGCCCGCCAAACCACCCCTCGTGGACAACATCGCCAGTATCCCCAAGGTTGTCATCCAGGAATGTATCACCTTATTCTTTAGATGGCAGCAGCCTTTCTGCACGCTTGTGGACCGCGATGCACTTCTCCAGGACTGTAGACACCACCCGAGGACCCCCATACCTAGACTGTCCGCGCTCCTGCACGTCGTATGTGCTCTGGGTGCCCTGATGTCCGACGATCACAATGTTCGAGAGTTGGCCGATCACTTCGCCGCCTCAGCCGAGGATGCTGTCACGAACAATAGCTTCTGGCGCCCTCATATTGCAACGTCGCAGACCCTGTTGCTGTGTGCCGTCTTTGCCGCCGGGAAGGGGAAGGTGTCCAAGGCCTGGATGTATTCAGGTGCGCACATCACATCACATTGATGGACAAAGCCCTTTCGACTAACAAGTCTTCAGGTATGGCCCTGCGGATGACCCAAGATCTTGGTGTCCACGAGAGCAGCTCACCGCTGTTGCCCGAAGAACATGCTCAGAGTGCGCTGCTTGTCAACTCGGAGTTGCGGCGGCGCATGTCTCTAACCTTCACTATTTCCGATAAGTTCCCACCGCAATCTTGACGATAAAGGTAGATTGCACTAACTCAAGTCTCAGATTCTTCAGCCTCTTTTTCGGGCGGGCCCCCATGAATGAAGACCATTCTTTCGTGCCCGAGGTACCGACCCTCGATCCTCTGAATACCAATTCCAGCTGGGACCAAGCAAACTCCCTAGATGAGGCGCCCTCGGTATCCCTCTTGCAGCAAACGGTAGATCAGCATCGCAAAAACAGCTTCGACGACGATCGAGACCAGTCTCATGTCTCGACGCTGTTGCTGACCAAGCAAGCGGAACTGGGCAACATCATCAAAGATATCCAGTTGCAAGTACACTGCAAGAGGAAACTCCACCTCCTCTCCGAGTACTGCCTTCAAGCGCTGTACAACAAGCTGAATGCCAGACTCTGGAGTTGGTATGATTCTCTGCCGGGTGATATGCGGTGGAGCCGATGGAGCTCGAATCTCGAAGAGGTAGAACCGAGCCTTGCAAATCTCCAGTACGACCATACCCCTTATATTGAGATGTTTGTTGAGGATCCCACTGACAAATGGCTCCAGCATGATATATCACACTGCACGCATCAGTCTGAACCGGTCCCTCATCTCCGCTGACGTGCATGGGACTTCATCGGAATATTCCAGGTTGGTATTCGATGCCTTCGAAGCTTGCAATGGCTCCGTCGAGACGATCGGGGGAATACTCCGCCGCTTCAGTGCACAGCACACCTTGAAGAATGCGCCACTCAGCTTCGTCCACGGTGCGGTGACCGCGAGCGAGGCGACTCTGGCCATGGCTGCATGTTCTCGCAAAGGCCACCATACACAACTGAGTATCCAGGACACTTGCCTCTCTGCGATCGATGCAGCTCTGGCCGACATGGCGCACGCATGGGAAATGGCCAACAGTGCAAGACATGGGCTGCGAGAAGTTCTGAGTCGCTGGGGCGTCTCGTTCGACACCGACGAACACTCTACATCGGCATCTTCCCCCCAAGGGACAACGACAACCAATTCACCCAATTTCTTCTATCTTCAAAACACCGACACGACGTCCAATGTGGTGACGACTGCCTATTACATGCAACCCAGCCTGCCCAAACCGAACGACATATGGGGAGCACCGCCCCTCGATCTGGAGCTGCTCGCTCAGACCGACATTGACGCCGGGCTCACCACCATGTTCCACCACCCGGACGACTCGGACAGCAATTTCTGGAATTCTGTCATGGGGAGTGATAATGGGACGCCGTCTTCGACGTCTCCATCGTCATCTTCAAGTGGCTCGCGGGCCTCCGCCTATGTGTATCGGACGTGAAGATGAAACTGGTAGATTTTGTGGCGCATTTCAGGCAAGGGCATCAAGCAAAAGTAGGGTCCCTGGAGACCGGATCGGATCTTCAGGTCCATTGTCCAATATGGATGAGCTGGCTGCGATTTATAAATGTGACACTAAGTGTTCGGTTGACTTTGTGAAAAGTGAGAACTTGTCTACCCTGGCACGTGCCTGGCGCCTGGCAATGACATTGGATCCGGGAGTGTGTCTATTTGTTCTCTTGAAACCTTGGTCGACTTCTATGAAGCAAGGGTAAAGTGACAAGGCAGATGGGTGGTTTTTTGTTAAATCTTAAGATGTTGGAGACGTCTCTCGAGCTACTGTTTGATACTTCGACGTGGCCTGGCTTTTGCCCATTGGGAGAATGTCATCGTATCCAGACCGCACGTGGTTACTTTGGGAAGCATGCATTGCCGTGAAAGCAGAACAAGGGCTTGAATCGGGCAGCATATTGTGAATGTCCGATATAATTGAAATACCTTTCTTTGCTGCTCGATCTTACGGGGTTATACACAGGGATCAAGGCCACCGGAGGGGAATCACGGTGTCCAAAATCCGTCCTCCATCAGCCCATCAACCAATAACCCTGGGCGACGTTCCCCAGCCTGTATGTTGTTGCTCGTCTCAAAGTTGGAAAGTCCCGCGAGACCATTGCTGCATTTGAAAGAGCAGATGCGATCCACGCACGGAATTCCATGATGATAGGCCACCGCCGCCTTGGCTTCCACGGGTGTATGCTCAAAAATCAACACCTCGTCCGAGTCCAACACATACTTGACGCGTCCGCCGCGGTTCACGCAGCCGTCTGCTTCCATGTACGCGAGTACATCAATGTCCTTTGCGTAAGTGACCACGCCGTTACGCACCACCCAGCCAAACTTGGCCATGCGGTCGTCGTAGGAGTGGTATGTCACACCGACAAAGGACAAGGCGTCCCCCGCCGTACCGACGACCCAACGATGAGAGAGGATACTCTTGTTCCAATCACGGGGACCCCATGCGTGATCACGAATACCCCAGCCATTGATGGTGTAGCTTTTGCCTTTGATCTTGACGGAGCCGCTTATGGTGCCGGGAACATCGAAATGGTGGGAAGCAAAACCAGACTTCATGCTACCCTTTTGTGGAAATCCAGAGAGATTAGGTCCGATATCTTTGTGATTGATGAATGCAGAGAGCTCGTGCTCTGGATCTGTAAAGGTCCATTTCGAGAGACCGTCCTGGAAGATATGGGTGCAGGTATCGTCACCACTTCCCATACCTCCGCCGGGAAGGAGGTCGACATCGCGGAGAGGAACATACTTGGTGCGCTTAGACACGCCCTCGGGGGTGATGAGATGGGTCCAAAGTGTGGCCTTCGCACCGCTGGGAAGATTGGGTTCGTGGCCCAGGCGGTGAAAACCACCGACTTTGTTACATTCGTCCCACCAGACGAGGACGACGCTTTCTTGCCAGTTCGGTTGAGGACCAGGGGTTTGGCGATTGTTCGCTTCGTCACCAAAAATCATCAGCTTTTGGCCGCCTGTGGCTGTATCGTGAAACTTTCCCGATGACGAACTGTTGTTTGTGCTTGTTTGCCCCTCTGCGGCCGCCGCGGCCACAACAGCGGTATCATTCTCGCTATCAAGCACATCGTCTGTTGTTGGAAGCTGCGCGACAGATTCCGGAGGCAGTGACGTATACTTCAACCCCATTTCCATGAAAAGTGCGTTGTAACCGAGCTCCCCCAGAAAAAAACGCAGGTCATTGGACCACCCTTTTTGGATGCTCAGAGTGGTCCTATTGAAGGCCAACGTCGTTCGGAGAATCGAGTAAGCTTGACAAAAGGCAAAATGCTTAGGGTTGATCTCTCGACCTCCCGCAGCGCCGTATGCAGCTATGAATTTATCCCAGGGCATGTGTTTGGAGACCAGCGGTTGGATATATGCGAGATCTTGTTCTGGGGCGCCAAAGTCGGCCGTCTCCCAGTCTAGTACGGCGGTGATTTGGCCATCCTTTTCCAGCAGGTTGTGGACGTTGAAGTCGCCATGTGTAACGACCGGACGTCTCTCATCGTCCGGTACGTGTGTCATCATCCAATCAAATAGCCAGACAAGGTATGGGGACTCCAGATGCTCCACGGATGTGTAGTATACCCGCCAGCGTTCGAGGGCACTGCGGTATCGCTGCGTGACGGTTTGTGTCAGGACTTTGGAATCTTCGTACTTGTCAATGTAGGGCTGGAATGTCTCCAGTGGGATGGCATGCAGTTTTGCGTGAAGAGATGCCAGCTGCAGGAGGAGGCTTTCGTCGAAACTTCGGTTGGCGGAGCTGAGCAGTGTTCCGGGGCAGGTTCCTGGCATGAGTGACATGACACATATGGCCCCATCGACGCCATCGGGGCCAGGTACAGGCTCAGAGGCCACGTACACTCGCGGGGCAGGGAAGTCCGTGCAGTTCAGGCATTGAAGCAGAGCAAACTCCTGATGTGGTCGAAAAGCACCGCGTTTTATGAGTGGCACCGCGTCCTCTTTCCGAACAACCATCGTCTCTGTGCTGTCATCGTTGTAAGTGACTATGCACGAGTACGTCTGTTTGCCGCCGCCGCCAGTGAGACGTTTAAGTGAGCCCAGGCGTGTGATGCCACGTTTGCCTATCAAAAGGCGTCGAAGGAAGGCTTCACTTAGAGGCCCACCACGATTTTCTTCTGGGAGCCGAATATGGGGCAGATCGACCGGCAAGGTTAAAATACCCCCATAGTAGTCATGCTCCCATTTGGCCGCCCTCCGCAGGAGCGTCGATGAGCTGGGGTCATTGTTCTTCTCTCCCACAAGGCGTTCAGCTAGGGTGAAGAGTTCGTTCGTTAGCTCGCCGTGACGGGCAGCGAGATCGTCGAAGTTTCGGTCCAGTCGTGGAACAGGCGGGTTCCGTCGAGACGATGGTTCAAGTGTTGTCAGGATCTCGGCGAGCAAGGTTTCGCCTTGTAGCAAGGCATCCTGCAGAAAGCCGATCTGTGAGCTCTGCCGCCTAAAAAGGTCCGTCAGGATAGCCTGGAGGGACCCTATGTAGGTTTTGGCCTCGTCAGAAGTCACCTCGGGTAAGATGACCTCGTTCAGCACATCAAGTGCAGCCGCGAGGCTGTGTGTCGTTGGAATGAGTCTCATCCTGGTGGCGTTGCTTCACAACAGTATCAGAACTCGCCATGGTCAAGCATGGCCGTCTCAGTGCATAATTATCCGAAACCTGGGAAGCTGTTCGGGGCATTGCAGACCTCCGCTCCCCTTCACGTCTGCTCGACCTTCGGAATCCGGAGCCTAGTCTTCCGTGCATCGTAGAGAGTCTTGATGATGGCCCGATTTCAGAAAAATGATCCAGTGCTCGCAAAGTGGAACACCTTGATCTCTATAGAGACACGAGTCTCTGGGCTCAGTTGTACTATCCGACCGCTCGTTGACAACGACCTCTGGGATGAGTGCCGGCGACGATGTCGCAATCAAGCCAAGGAGCGAGGCACGTGTTGGCGTTCAACTATCTGAAACAGTCTGATGAATAACAAGCTGAGAAAGATTCAGTGTCTATCTATACACGCATCGATAGAATATGCACATAGCTCGCCTGCTGTAAGTGGAATAACTTGACTGATTGATTAGGCAAGGAAATCTATCTAGCGCGCCTGCGGATTTGTCATGTAATACCGCGGCGGAAATTATTCGGCAAACCTTCCTGATAGGGTTAGGGCAACACCTGCCAAGCTTGGAAAACCTTACAGCAGCAACTGTCTGCGAATACATGTGGTACGTAGAATGAGTGAGTGTAATGTCGTCCTAGATCGCATACCGTCATATCGCAAACTCGATGTTGGACTTGTACCGCCGGCAGCAGAATCAGACAGAGAAGCAAACCAAGCAGCTTTGTGGCACTAATACCAGCTTGGTAGAGCCCGAAAGATGCGCTTTCCGGGTACCGGAAGCTCTCTGACCCGCGGATAACACGAGCATCCGGTTGGCTTTACTCTTGGAGATCGGCATAGCCTTGCATTTACGGATACCAGGTGCAATAACATCTATATTGACCTAAAATGCTAGCTCGAGTCTCCCACTATCCGCGAACCCCGTACCCCAGGAATAGGAGTTGCATCTACCGCAGGCGTTCAATGCTTCATGACGCCTTCTGACCTATTTTTACGAGTACAAAACTCAGAAACGCACGCCCTATTGTGGATTCGCCGGCGTGTACAAATTGCCGTTCCTTCAGCTTCTTCAATGCTTCTAAACATGCAGCAAGGACGGGGAGGAATAACAAAGGACATGCACGATACAGGTGAGCAGGTCAAGGCAGCATGTTGGACTATTCAGCCTTCGTTGGATTGATCAAAAAGTGCAGGCTTCTGGGCACCCGCCCTCGACAAAGGAAATGTCTGTTCATGACACCACGGCCTGCAGCATGGAGAGGAAGTTGGGCAGTGACTTGCCAATTACAGGTTCTAAGAAGGATGTGCGTTGACCCAGAGACAACAAAGAATGCCACCGGAAGCGGCATCGTGAGGAATGCCATCGGTTACCCACACAACAAAGGACACCGAAATATGACCTGGTTCGATTACCACTATCCGAAGCCCCATGGCATCGATCTGTTTCACAAGACAAGACAGCCGCCAAAGCTAGGTCTGCCTTGACAGCGAACGCAAACCCTCGCACGTAGAGGGTGTCTTAAAAATCCCTTGTTCTACCCGCGACAGACTATGCCGCCATTCTAAGCAAAAACTGGTTCGTTTACAGAACTCCTATCTGCCTTCTCCAAGATGGCCCTTGGACACAGATACAAAACCCGACGACGTCCCGTCAATGGTATGCTTCTAATTCACCCATTCTACTGAACGGACAAGCCATATTAACAACGCCAGGGGTTCGCAAAAAGAGTGCACCGAAGAACGAAGACCTGGTATCCCCCAAAATTTCTCGGCCGCGTCGTATACACTCCTTCAATACAGCTACTATCCAAGACCGCCCTTCATCTCCTCAGGCGTTGACCGCCCGCTTAGTGACCAGAGCCGAGACTAGGAAACTCATTGTTGAACCCGAGCCCCCACAAGAACAACCACAGGGAGATTCACCATCCGCAATTATACCCGCTACTACTTCAGGAGAGCAGGCTGCCACTTCACAGATTCGGAAAGACCTAGAAGCAAAATATCATCCAGACAAGACGCAGCGACGACAAGACGTGCCAGTACTCAAGCTAACTACGCGAAACTTGAAGACGCTCCAAAGGCAACTGAATAGTCCATCTACCGAAATGAGCCCGTCCTCCGCCGCTAGAGGTGGTCAGCGAGGTGGCGGCAAGCGAGGTGGCAAGCGAGGTGGAAAGAGTGGCGCACGGACGACGAGGACCGGAGTCACTCCAGATCTGCCTGAAGAATGGACGGCAGAAACTACCACTACATGGATGTCCCCCGCTCGTTACCGTTATGGGGTACTCAATCAAGTCAACATTTTCATACAGCGCATGGCGCCTCCGGCGGATATCCAGTCCAAGCTGGCAGCTATCCTCAATCGTGAAATATCCAATGAAAGGATGAGTGAAATATCCAATATCGCTAAGCACATGTTGCAGGCGTTTGCTAGGGTCGTTCAAGCAAATCACCGAGAAGATGACTGGAATGAGGTTGTTATTTCAGCTCTCATGGCAATGGATACGAGTTCGGAATTTGGATTTGCGAGAAAGGCCGGTATAGTACTCTCTAACACTCTAACTGAGAACATGGTCCGCGTGTTAACTTTTGACCTAGATTTTAACCCGAACTTGAAGCCCAAGCTTCCGTCATTACTACCTGTGAACAACGAAGCTGACAACACCAGCGATAGGCCGACAAAGCGACGACGGGTCAAAACACCCTCCGGCTCATCTTCAGATACACCACGAACTGAAGCAATGGAATCGGCACTCGAAGAATCCGTCGTCGTTATCAAGACTCCTCGACCTGATTGCACTATTGGTCTTGCATATGATACGGTAGCTCACGCATTGTTGGACCATAGAATCGACCGGTTGCAGGTGAATAGCCTTCTGAGAAGATTGGAATCCGAACATATCCTTTACTCCAACCCCGTCGGGGATATGGCCCTCCTTCGATTTCCCACCCTAGTGATTGAAGGAAAGGCATATAGTACTGGGCAGAGTATTTTCGAAGCCGAGAATCAAGCTGCGGGGGCCGCGAGTTGCATGATCAACCTCTACCAACAGCTTACGGACGTCCACAATTGCTACGCGCCCAACTCTCCTCGCGAAAAGATCGCGCCTCTCGCCTTCTCCATAACGTTATGTGGGCCGACCATTGAAGTTTCGGTTCATTATACTGTTGTGGAGAACAATGTCACCGCATATCATATGAGTGTCTTGGGTTTGTACTGCGCAACTGTGCTCGAGCACCTGGAAACACTCGTTATGGTTTTAGAGCAAATCATGCGCTGGAACAAGGAGGACGTTTTGCCCGAGATAGCGAGTCAGTTGGCTGCGATTGCAAAGGGCCGGTAACTGGTCTGAAAAGCAGGCTCGTGCCGGCGAAGAGATGCTCCAGGTTACGTTGCATGTCCAGGAGGAATTCGACGCGAGGCTGAGCAACGAACCTTGGCGTGGATTGCATTAAAGCAGCAACACCTGCATGGTTGCCGGGTAACTTCCGTTTCCAAACAAAGCGCGTCACGGGCCTTGATCCTTAAAGTAAGATCTGACCAAGTGTATCAGCTTTGAGAACGCCTTTAGCAAACAGTTATTGAAAGCTCCTGATAGATTGACATCACGTAACAATGCGCATGACTCGTGCAGCCCTGCGAGCCCAGGCTCAAGAGGAAGCGCAGCTCATTTACGAAGATGCTGACGCGAATGCGAATCATTCGCTACAGGATGATTGCGCCGACGCCAACGCGGACCAGGATCTTGTTCGGCCCCCATTGAAAGACATCACCACCGAGATCAACCCTTCGACCACCGAAGACCCCTTCACCGACGAACAGGCTGAGCCCATGCTGAAAGCTAAGAGCAGGAGGAAAGGACGCAAAACAAAGGATGACGAGGTGGGAGAAGAGTCTGGCACGGGAGAATTGGACGAGTCGCAGGAGCTGCAGCCCGAGGACGCGAATGATAGCCACCAGAGTCAATCATCTGAAGCCAGAGACAGTATACAGGACACGCGACCGGCTGGTTCCGTCGAACAAGTTACTGTCCACCACGAAATAACAGTAGTGACGGTAGACGCGACTCTGGAAGAGCAAGGGGTGACCGAGTCAACTTTTACCCCACAACGCAGCCACACCAGTCTTCCAAAGACGCCCAAGTTCGATCCAACAGTGCATAAAGCCATGGATGAGGTCACGTCACCTGCTCCAGACACTATAGAAGATTCATTTGTGGAGAACATCACGTCGAGGACCCCCGGCACGTTGCATACTCTTTTGAAGGAGAGAAAGTCTTCAGAATCCTTCGCCGACCGGGTCAGCGCACGAACACCACGAATCGAAGACTCTGTCGAAGCAATTGATGCTCTGGAAGATGCGATTGAGAAAATTTCAGAGACCTTGCCTGCCTTGGACGAACTCAAGATCGAATCTCCAGTCAAACCGCGAAAGTCCACACCAGTCCGCCTCAATCTTCACGCGGGCACACCTGCTGTAGACCCTCAGAAAAAGTTGACTGGTCGGCAACCAGCAAACCCGTGTCGGCGCCCTCCTCAGCATGCTGGAGTAGGTGGTGCATCTTCGACGCGCGCGAAATTGACCGCTGCCCGTGGATCTTCTATCAATGCAACAACCAAGGTAACTGCCGCCGCAAAGCCGACCAAACGACCCGTCGTCGATAGCCACAAGTCCAGAGTGTCTTCGAGCCAGAGTGCAGCACCGCCGCTTTCGTTCTCTAGTTCCCCTGTTAAGAACCTCGCGAACACGACCAAGAAACAGCCAGCTACTGGCCCGCTGTCGACCAGCAAGCCCGGATTCGTACCCTCCAAATCTACCAAGTCTCCCACGAAGCCGAAGTTTAGCTTACCAGGGGAAGCGGTTGCAGCTAAACTCAAGGCCCAGAGAGAAGAGCGGATGAAGCGTGAGGAAGAAGCTGCCAATGAGAAAAAGTCTTTCAAGGCGAGACCGGTGCCTGCTAAGATATCGCGTCCGAGTGTTGTCCCGCGAGAGAACAAGGCCAGCCAAGCAAGGATGAGCATTTACGCCACTGGATTAAACAAGGAGAATGTTGAACCTAAACCGGGTATAGCAATCCAGCCAAAACCACGCCCAACATCGCTGGGTCCAAAATCAAAAGCGTCGGAGGTGGCAAACCCGAAAGCCAGCGTCCGTCGCACAACCACCTCCGTCAATCCTCGAGCCTCAATTGCCCAGTTGGCGAATGGCCAGAAGTCCATGGTGACCAAAGAAGATGTCGTCCAACAAAAGGTTAAGGGCAAGGAGGTCTTTGAACGGTCGAAAGCCGAAATGGAACGTATAGAGAAGGAGAGGCGCGAAAAGGAAGAGGCCGCACGCAAGGCCAGAGCGGAGGCGGCAGAGAGAGGTAGACAGGCGAGTCGTGAGTGGGCAGAAAAGCAGAAGAAGAAAATCGCCGCTAAGATCCTGGCAGCAAAAGAGAAGGAGAAGGTGGGTGGTGTTGGGAACCCGGCGACTCAAGGACAGATCAGTGCTGTGGCGCCTGCTTCATGATACTCTTCTGTGTCTTTCCTGTCTGAAGGTTTGTGGAGATACATTTTCCTGGTGTGAGATGTGTTCCTTCGGCTCAAAGGTCTTGTTCTTCAGCGCAGGAGTTGGTAAGGACAAAACCAGTCTCATGTTTGGGCATGAAAGGGCAGCAAAATCATTCCGGCAGCCAATGATTTCGGTGTCATAGGTGTGATAGGTGTCTGAGGCACAGTGTCAAGCGAGCCGTAGAGTTATGCCCATACCTCATTCATTGAATTTAGCGTTTTATCGATTATGTTCTGCATCGTCTTCTATAGCGCGCAACAAGGATACCATGTCCAGGGTATCAAGCAATTCGCTTCGTCCTGTACCGATCCGCCCAGATTCAAACCAAAGCACACGCACACACTTGGTCCCTCCTCCGAATGAAACACATTTATTCGTGGCCGGATACGATTTCCTCTTCACCCGCCATCTTCCGTCTTGGGCTGTACAGGTATTCTGACCAACGGTACCGGCAGGTCTCGTTCCTGCGATGTCTTTGGATTTCCTACCACATCTCCCCCTGCTCCTCCATCCACATTGCCGCCGTCCGGGTCATCAGGTGCACCGGCGGTGGGAGGCGAATGCGACTGCGGCACCGGCACCTTCATCGCCGCCATCCCGATGACCTGGAGCACGTTTTCCCAGTTCGCCAGCACCAGCGCCACGGCCTGCGCGCCGTCTCGCAAGCTCCCCAGCTTCGTCTCCAGCTGCTCCAGCTGCGCCGTGAGGTGCGCGCTCAGCTCGCGCAGTTGTCGCAGGTTCTCCAGCTCGGCGCGCTTGCTGGCGATCCGGGCCTGCAGCTGGGATTGCGCAGGTGTCTGTGCGCTGGATCGTAGTGTCGAGGATGTGTTGCTGCCGCCGCCGGCGCCGGAGGAGGTGGAGGGGTACATGTCCATGTGACGGGGGTGGTAGGACATTTTTGGACGGGAGTTGGGTTCTGTGGCGGGGAGGAAGGGTTGTGCACACACAGAAAGAGGGGGAGACGGAGAGGTCGGATCCTAGGATATTCGGTCTCGAGGTGAGGTCGTGGGGTGTATGTCGTGTATTATTTGCAATTCTCGTTCCGCCTTGAACACCAGGGCATGCAGTTGTTGAACTCGTAAGTCCTGATTGACGGCGATACGACTCCCATATTACGGAATGTCCCCCATATTCACGAAAACGCGTCTTCCATTGGACGTCATCGGTGCCAAGTCGGGGACTAGACCAAAAGAGGCACGTTGTTGACGCCGCCGTTTTCGGTTATCCCGACCACAAACCCCCAAATACCCTTGGACAACAGCAGCCCTTGCCCTTGACCTCCCAAATCTATCGCCTATGCTACATTGCTACGTACAGAGGATGCTGTTTCTGCTGGCCTTCCAGCCCTAGACTGAACTCGAAGATCCAAGACTGATTGAATCATTCAAGAAACGCGAGAAGATAACCCAACGGCACATGATATGACCACGACCTGCCATGGCGAAGCTCAATGATCCCCCCCTTCCACCCACAGAAAGCTTTGAATCCCGTAAGTCTACCTCCTTTGCAGAAGTCTCAAACTCTTCGCTATTCAGTGCTGGCGCACGCTGACGAACGGACCTATGCAGTGAAACGCCGCTTCATTCGTCAAAACCGCGAAATCGCCCGTGTCAATTCGACGCAGTCGCAACGCATCCGTAATCTCGAGACCGAGATCTCCCGCCTCGTGGCCGAGAATGTATCGTTGAGAGAACAGGCGATCGCCGCGCAGGCGGAAGCGGAACGATGGCGCGCAACTAGTTCCGTCAACGCAGAGATTCTCGACCTGAGGGACCGCTTGAACAAGAAAGTCGAGGAAGTGGCCGAGATGCTGGTCGAGATGGGTAACATACCCGAAAAGGCGGCACGGAAAGGAAGGCGGAAAAGCAGGCTTGTCAGGACGACGATGAGTAGTGCGACGGAACAAGAGTGGAGGAATCGGCTGTCGACCAGAGAAGCATTCGCTCAGGAGAGGGCAGATCTGTACGATGGGCGATTACCCTCTATCCACGAAGACAAACTTTATCCGCGAAGAACGCTGGAGACCTCTGAATTATTAGCCCTGCGGGAAGAGGCTGCTCTCCAACAAGCGGCAGAGTCGCCAGAGATCGGACCTCCTCCAGTCGTGCACTTTGACGTCCCCTCCGAACCCCCCGAAGTGGATGCTGCACGGATGTCAGAGGATGAGAATGCTGGGGAGGAAGTCATGCAGTTACCGTCACTTCTGGAAAGGAGGCGGAAACGTCGAACGAGCGCCCTAATTCACGACCTACCGACTGAAGAAACCCCTGTCCCGGATGAGCAGCCAATAAAGCCGAGCCAGCAGTTACTGAAATCAGGCGCCAAACGGAAATTGGATGTCTCTGAGCTCGACGAGCCTGTTCTTCAACACCCGTCGAACGAGAATGACGACTTTGTCTATCAACGTCGGCAAGAGATCTGGAGCAACGCTACCGTCAACAGCAAAAAGGCGTCTAGATTTACGAGACCGCCAGGGCGAGAAAGTGGGGATCCGATAGATCTTACGAAGCAATTAAGCCCTCAGAAAGCCGCGGTTGCAACCAGGAAGATCCTCGCACCCAAGAGTACAAATTCCCCTGCGAAGAGAAGGGTGCAAGTGCCGGAAAAGCTCAAAGACGACCGAGATCTGCAGGTAAACCACACAATTGTCAAACCGACACGGCGAAAAGAGTCTCAAGCTCGTGTGGTTATTGACAGCCTTGTCAGTGGTTCGAATGATCACGGCGAAGAGAAGGACATTCCGCCAAAGACTCCAGCTGCAGAAGCCGCTGATATTCTCTCGCCTGTGTCCACAGAGCCATCTTCCCGCACAGCACACCAAACGAAAGAAGCGGCAGTTCTGAACTCGGTGGAGGACGTGCTTAATGGGAGCATAGGAAGGGGATCTCGTCGGCCGAGACCACAAATCAGCTATGCCGAGCCTAACCTGAGAGATAAGATGCGAAGGCCTGGCAAGGGGTTAGTGGGAGCTATAGAGGGCATTGAGAAGCAAAAAGAAAACCCTTCGAACAACAGAGGCACGAGTGTGGAACGGGCGAAATCAGAAGGCGCCAAAGTCAAGCAGGAGGGCGAAATCCATCACGAGGATGACAGATGGAACGATTTAGCAATGTCGACCTCGACTGCTTGTAAGAAGGATGAACCAATCAGCCCTTTGAGGGGCAAAGAGAAGAAGGGAAAGGAAGATGATGAGACTAGGAAGTCGGGCAAACAATTGAAACGCAACACTGCGGACGAGCTTGAGAGTGCAGTGGACCGATTGAGTATTTTCGACCCGCCACTCTCGTCACCAGCCGATGACTCGAAAGAAATGCAGACAGACGCGGCTGACCACAGATCATCAAAAAGTTCTGCTGGGGCGAGACGAAAGCCGTTGTCGAGCGCGACAACTACAACTAGAAGGCATTCTATGCAGCCTTCTTCAGGTGACCCGGCTAATCTCCCTTCTGCTCCTCGCCATCTCTCGTCAGGATCCACAAAGTCCGACGCAAATGTCCCATCTTCACGACCGAGCTCTGCGGCAAGTCTGCGTGGAGACGCAACGTCCAGCGGTAGAACTTCCGCGACAAAGGACTTCAGGCGCTCGCACAGCATAAGTTCCAGCCTCAAAGAGAAAGAGGCGGCATCTTCTGGTGGCGGAACGGGACTCAATGAGAGTTCCAGGGAGGAAAGAGCATTGAACAGGCGGCGTAGTATGATGGTATAGCGACCTTGATGGCGATGGCCGGCGTGGCGGCGGGTCTGTATGTGACCCAGGACTTTTCTTTGGCGACCTCGATGTCGAGTTGTTGGGTGTTTTCCTTTTTGTTCTAGGAGTTGGATAGCGTGAATGACCCGCAAGGGAGAGAGATCCCGACCTCTCCCATTATTAGAATGAACTGCATTGTGTGAATGCAGCAGAGGTGTTCTCTCTTCCTGCCAGGTTCTCGATCGATGTCCCTTGTTCCTCAGAACATGCCGCACCAATTACTGACGTTTTCTGATTATCACCACCACTCGCGACCTCATCCATGCCCGTTCATGCCCTCCTTGTCGTCACCGTCACCGTCACCGTCACCGTAATCCACGTTCACCGACATGGCCATGATGACCCGCTCCAGCCGATCCGCGTATTGTTTCATCTCCCTCCTCCTCGCCCGCCTCTCCTGCTCCATCTTCTGCACCTTGTCCGCCAGCACCTTGATGTCTTCTGCCTGCTGCGCCGCACCCGTGCCGATCCCCGGTAACCGCGCAATCAGCATCTCGATCTGCTGGCCCTTGAGGACCAGGTCCTCGGCCAACTCGCGCTGCGCGTTCGCGAACGTCCGATCCGCCACCGGGTGCAGGGGGAACGGCGCGCGCTCTGTGTCCTCGGGTCCCGGATTGACGATCGCGGCGGGCGGTTGTTGTTGTTGTGCGGAAGCAGCCTCGCTGGCGCCAGCGGCTGCGGGGCTCGTTGCAGCACCACCACCTGCGGTTTGGGATATTTGGGGCCTTCTATTCCCTCCTGTTCGGGCGACGGCGAGGCCTGGCGGCGGGTTTGTGAACGGGTCGCTGGGGTCCGGGTCCGGTGCGACCAGCGGGTGTCGTTGTGAGAGGTAGCTCAGCGTGGCGAAGAATTGGGTCAGCAGCTGGTCGTAGCAGGTCTGCAGCTGCGTGAGGATGTCGTTGGACATGGTGAACGGGGCGCGAGGTTATGAGGTATGGGTGGTCTTGGAATTTGTGTGTAGACCTCGTAACAGTGCGCATTACATTGGAGAGGGAGGGTTTGGACGGTTATTTTGCGGCAGAGGAGTTGGTTGGCTGATACACCTTGACTGGCGGCTCAAGATACGGTAAATTCACGCCGAGCTCACCGCGACACTCACCCGACCTGCGTCGCTTTCTTAAACACCGCTCACCTCCCACTCACCTCCTACTTACCTTTCTACTACTTACCTTTACTTACCTTACCCACATAAAACCCGCCGCGTGGTGATTGGCGAAATGCGTATACTGTCTCGAGGCAGTTTTTCGGCCATCTGTGATTACGTAAAATGCTCCGCCCCAGGACTTGCCACTCCGGTGGCTGCGGTTTTCCGTATTATGAGCCCAAGCCGTATCTGGTCAAAGCCCCCCAACCAGGCATCCTTCGCCGCTTTATTGAGGTAAGGAAGAAGTCATTTCATTCCACAATTCCATCCGCATTCCTATTTTACTGTATGAACATAGGCACCTAGTAGTCTTTTATATATCATAATGCCGCTATCATTCAAAGCTCCTTGCAAACATGAGCGTGACCATTTACCCACCCATCCCGTCAACAAATATAGGTCCAGTTGTTGGGACATGGAGGCAAGTTCGTTCCCTGTGCACTGCATACCTTGGGACGCGACCCGCCCCCGGGCTATGGAGAGATGCCTCGATTCCATACCCAGTCAGGGTGGCCTCTTACTATCAATTCTAATGTTGTCCGTTGACGTTGACGGCACTTCCTATCTAGGCGGTCCCGTTGGCATCTGGAAATCGGAGCCTCGGACTTCTTGATTTGGCAACCTAACGACATGCCCACGATGGCAAACCCGCCGAAGCTCGTTTCATTCAATTGTGACAAACATTTGGGACGACAAACTGCTTTTGATAGACTTTGCTGCAAATTTGTTAACTACTAGTACACTTAGCCCTACAGACTCGTATACTATACTTTTCATCAGCCTCGTCTCCGTCCAGCTTACTGGTCTTTCATCGACATCAATTCTATTTCCTGTTATTATCTTGATCGAATCTCGCTTCAGTCTGACATCGGCAACTGCAGACAACATGGGTTCGATCGTGATCGCCTCTAGAGGAAAATCAGAGCAGTATTCAGACCCCGACCACAAGCTGGTCAACGGAGAGACCAACAGACAAAAAGTATCGAAAACGAGCAGTTCGAGTCGACTAAGCACTGAAGAAGAGCTTGTGTTGAAGCGCTTTAGAGTTCTCATCGCCGACCTATGCCAGCAATTCAAAGGCGGTCACCCAGGGTGTGTTGATCTTACAGTGGCTTCATTGTACTTTCGGTGCTAATATATTCCTATCAGCGGTGCCATGGGTATGGCCGCAATAGGTGTTGCTTTGTGGAAATATGTGATGCGATATGCGCCTCACACTCCAAATTGGGTCAACAGAGACAGATTCGTGCTATCCAACGGGCACACTTGTCTATTTCAGTATAGTTTTTTACACTTGACCGGATACCGAGCTATGACCTTTGAACAACTCAAGTCCTACCACTCAGATCGGGTAGATGCTCTTTGCCCAGGGCATCCCGAAATTGAACATGAAGGTATCGAGGTCACTACTGGTTAGTGGTTGTTTTCAAGCCGTACGAGCGCCACTGATCTGTCGTTTAGGTCCACTGGGTCAAGGAATCGCGAATGCTGTGGGGCTTGCCATGGCCTCTAAACACCTAGCAGCCAAGTTTAACAGACCAGGCTTCGATGTCGTATCTGACCATGTCTGGTGCATGGTTGGAGACGCCTGTCTCCAGGAAGGAGTCGGGCTCGAGGCCATCTCATTCGCCGGTCACATGCGCTTGAACAACTTGACCGTGATATACGACAACAATCAAATCACCTGTGATGGTGCCGTTAGTCTAACCAACACTGAAGACATAAACACCAAGATGAGAGCCTGTGGCTGGAATGTCATCGAGATTTCAGACGGATGTTGGGACGTTGGAGGCATTGTGGAGGCGCTCAAGGCTTCTCGAGATTCACCGCTGCCAACATTCGTCAATTGCCATACTGTCATTGGGGTCGACACTGCCGTGGCTGGGGATGCCGTGGCTCATGGTGCGGCTTTCGGACCAGAGACTGTTGCTTCTCTCAAAAGACTTTACGGTTTCGACCCAGAACAGCATTATGTCATTCCAGATGCAGTCCGAGACTTCTTCCGTGATCTCCCATCTCGTGGTCAGTCTTGGGTGTCTGAATGGAATCAACTGCTGCAACGTTATGCCCATGCTCACCCAGGCCTTGTAGATGAATATGTCCGACGCATGGAGGGGAACTTACCGGCTGAGTGGGAGTCGCTCATTCCACATGAATTTCCTGCTCAGGCTACTCCGACGCGCGCCGCATCTGGTCTAGTATTCAATCCCGTGGCGGAGAAAGTTGACCAATTCATCGTCGGAACGGCTGATCTGTCTCCATCTGTATACATGAGTTGGAAGAACAAAGAGGATTTTGAGCCACCATATCTGGGGACAGGGAGTTACTCTGGACGCTTCGTCCATTACGGCGTCAGGGAGCACGCAATGGCAGCAGTTTCAAATGGGTTAGCGGCATATCACCCTGGGATGTTCATTCCCGTGACGTCCAGGTAAGAGGATCGTCATTGTTTGCATCTACCTGACACTATACTTACCACGTGTAGCTTCTTCATGTTCTATCTGTATGCAGCCCCAGCCGTCCGCATGGGCTCACTGCAGCATCTACAAGTAATCCACGCAGCCACCCACGATTCTATCGGTATGGGTGAGGACGGTCCTACGCATCAACCGATCGAGCTTGCTGCCCTTTATCGGACAATGCCCAATTTCCTGTATATTCGGCCCGGTGATAGCGAAGAGACAGCAGGTGCCTGGATAGAAGCAATCAAAGCAAGACATATGTCTTCTCTTATCTCCACATCTCGGCACGCTCTTCCGCAATTGACCGGGTTGACGAACCGAACACAAGTAGCAAAAGGGGCATATGTTCTGGAAGAAGTCACCGAAACAGCGGACCTTACCTTGATTGGCGCCGGTGCTGAGCTCAACCTCGCCGTCAACGTTGCGATCGAACTGCGGAAGTCCCACGGGCTGAAAGTCCGCACTGTCTCCTTCCCTTGCCAGCGCCTTTTCGATGCACAACCCAGAGAATACCAACGCCAAGTCCTTCGAAGGCAAAGTGGTGTCCCGATCGTGGCTATCGAAGCCTATGCCGCCAATGGATGGGAGCGCTACGCAAATGCAGCTGTGTGCATGAGTAAGCAACGGTTTGGCAAGTCATTGCCAGGACCAAAAGCATACGAGTTCTTTGGTTTTGATGTTCCCTCTATGGTGAGCAGGATCAAAGGCTACCTGGAGGACCTCAAGTTCGACTCAGACCTGAGGCATGACTTTGTAGAATTGACATTTGTTGGAAAAGAGACATGAGAGGGGGGCATGGTTTGCACTCTGAGGCGATTTGGTGGATGCGATCTTTTTTAAGGATGCTGAATGAATATCTGTGGTATATCTATCAAGTAGACACTATCTAGAGGAGCTACGGTATCTAACAATCACGAATTCCCAAGATTGTTATGATCAGCATCAACAAAGATTCCAGAAATATTTTTCTCAAGGGATTAAAATGCTTACCACCGTAGGTGTTTCCTTGATGAATCAGACACCAATCAATGCTGACACTCGGGAGACGGGCAAGCAAAGCAAAATAGCCTACACCTGCCTTTTTTGTCGGTAGAGAGAGCGTCTGACTTCCCAATCGGGTGGAAAGAGGCTAAACCCTTCGAAGCCGAGCCGGGACATATTACGTCGGCACTACGCCTTTCACGTAGTTGGCCGCTGACGAACCTGTTCAAACCAAAAACAAAAAGAAAAAAAGGGTTGTCCATTACGCAAGCGCCGATCTGAGATCTGAATTCTTTGGATTTGATGGCAAGTCCCACACTTTAGCAAACCAGCGTGGCAATACACTTTGAGATAAAAGCAATCGGCATTGAATCTACTGTGTTCAATCGCCTGTCGTGGCCGAGAATCGCATCTTCCAATACACTATAAGCCCTTCGTGTGAGCAGGTTCGCCAGAGACGACAGAAACAATAGCCCACCTCTTTATACACCCAAAAAGCCATGGCTCCGGATGCCGTCACCCTAGCCTCGGGCCACCAAATGCCCCTGGTCGGCTTTGGCTTGTGGAAAGTGCCAGCCGACAAGGCTGCCGATACTGTGTACAACGTAAGTTTCAAATCTCTCAATACATCCTTCCCAAAGCCTGGATTGATTACTTGTTTGGTCGGTTTTCCTTGGGACCTGACAAAGCTCACCGTGGTCAGGCCATCAAAGTTGGATATCGACTTTTCGATGGTGCATATGATTATCAGAACGAAAAGGAGGCTGGCGAAGGAATTCGTCGCGCCATCAGCGAAGGTCTCGTTCGACGCGAGGACATATTCGTGACGACCAAGCTCTGGAACAACTACCACCAGAGAGATCATGCACTAGCCATGGCCAAGGCACAGAACGAAGCGTGGGGCCTTGGATATATCGATCTATATCTGATTCATTTCCCGGTTGCGCTCAAGTATATTGAGCCTGAGAAGCTGAGATATCCTGTAAGTCGTCATGGTGGTCAGAGGTAAAAGCCTCACAAGCCTGTCTTAATTCAACTGACGTCCAAATCAAGGGTTGGTGGATGGATCCCGAACACAAGGTGATCGAAACTGCCAAAGTGCCAGTCCAGGAAACCTGGCAAGCATTAGAAGAAGTCGTCGACCAGGGCATCGCCCGGTCCATTGGAATCTCCAACGCACAGGCCCAACTCCTCTACGATATCCAAACATACGCACGCCACCCGATCTCTTCGCTCCAGATCGAACACCACCCATACCTCGTCCAGCGGGAACTCGTGGAGCTCGCCCAGGAGGAGAAGATCGTCATCACAGCATACTCGTCATTCGGACCGCAGAGTTTCCTGGAACTCCCTCCGGCATTCCGGGCGCGGGCCAAGGACACGCCGCTCCTCTTCGACGCCGAGGTGGTCAAGAAGGCCGCCGACCGGGTAAGCAAGACGCCGGCACAGGTCCTGCTACGATGGGCAACGCAGCGGAACATTGCCGTCATCCCCAAGTCGAATAACGTGGACCGGCTGCAACAGAACTTGGACGTGGGAGCTGGGAGCTTCGACTTGACCGGGGAGGAGATCGAGGCGATTAGTGCGCTGGACCGCGGCTTGAGGTTCAATGATCCGGGCTTTTACCTGCACAAGCCATTGCGCATTTTCGCATAACCATACACACATACACACATGTACCCACACATAGCTCACAGTGAAGGGATCAGTTGATATGCCCATTTTTCTGATTTGTCTCGGCTCCTGCTGTGGATTTCAACGGAGGGGGGGAAGGAGAAGATTATTAGCAACAGATGAAAGATTGTTGTCTCCAAGTCTTTTTATCTAGGTCCTAATTTGAAAGGGCGTATCTTTTACACATCTATATAGTCCCTCTTAGACGTTGACAAATATAAAATGAGCAACCCATCATTTGGCCTCTTCCCCCCCTTCCCCCCCTTCCCCCCATCAAAATCCATCTTATCCCCCTTTCTTTTCTTTTTCTTTTCATACCTGAATATCCTGGTCGTCCACTATCTGGACTTTAATGCTCCTTTTCGTCCGATCGGCCGACAATTCCAGAGCCTCGACAGCCTGTTCCAGTGGGAATCTGTGTGTCACCAACGAGTCGAGGTTCAGTACTTGGCTGTTTGCCAGGGCGTTGATGCCGGCCGGCCACGTATCGTTGTACCGGTTGATGAATTTGAGTTGGATTTCTGCCAAGCTGAGGTGCATAAAGGGGAGATTGTTCATGACGCTCCGACCGACCCCGACGACCATGACGACGCCGGCTCGTCGACAGGTGTACGCGGCTGTGACCACGCTGGACTCGATGCCCGTGCACTCGAGTACCGTTGAGGGTGCGTAGTATTCGTTGATGTCGGGAATACCCTTTTCGACGTCGCGGCCGCCTGCACATCCGAAGAGGAGCCTTATCTCCTCAGACGCCTGTAGGGGGCTCTTGGAAGTATGGACGTGGTACGTTTGGCATCCTGGAACAAATTGCTTCGCGAACTCCAACCGCGACTCGTCTACGTCCGTGATCACCAGAGGCCAGGCGCCAGATGCTCTTGCGGCGGCCAAGGCGATCAGACCGATCGGGCCAGCACCACAAACCAAGGCTGGCTGGCCTATGCCTATGGACCCCTTACACTGTCGTATGGCGTGCAGGATGACCGACAACGGCTCCAAGAGAGCACCTTGTGCAAACGTCATGCTGTCAGGCATCTTGTGACAATAGCGAGCCTCGTGTGTCAAGAACCGCCTGATTGTGCCACCGTGGCACACTCCCGAAAATGCTACCTTCTCGCACAAGTTGTACTTGCCCGAGGTGCACAAGAAGCATGTCTGACACGGCACCTGGGGCTCGATGGCTATCCTGTCTCCGGGTTTGAGATGTGTCACCGCCGACCCAACCTCGAGCACGACACCGGATGCTTCGTGGCCCAGGATGTGCGCGTGATCGACGATTAGAGGGCCAATCGCTCCTCTGTGCCACAGATGAAGATCTGAGCCGCAAACACCCGTGGCACGAACATGAATTAGGACTTCACTTGCTGATGGCTTCGGTATCGAGCTTTCAGCGAGATGGACGCTGTGTTCTGGTGTAACGTATAGCGAAGGGTTCTTGTACCGAGTAAATATGGAAGCCGGTTGGTCAAGATTTGAAGCGTCGACGTCTCCATTGGCAACTTCGACCTGACTGACTATGGCCTGTTTAACAACCGGAATGTTACCGTTCGCTCGGTGAGAGCCGGTGAGGGTCGCTGAAGGTGCCATGGGCTCTTTTGTTTCAGATATTTTGGAATGAAGGGATGCAAACGATTCTTTCGATTAGCAACTTTGTGAAACCGGTGTAGTGAAATGGCAAAGTCTAGACACTGGAGAGGGAAAGGGCATTTCTGCCGGTACAGATCCAATCCGGCCGAGACATGGCTACTAGCAGAAGATAAGGCTGCCCGGAGCTGCTTGGATCACATGTACCATCTCGAGCGTCCCGTGGAGAGGGTGAATGGATGATTTGTGCATATCAGATCTTGTGGCGTGGGCCATCGCGCGAGAGGAGTCGGCGGACAGGTCGGGGGGGATTGAGTGCGCGATGGGCAGTTCTGGGCCATCCGGATGGTGGGGCTACTGAGGTGCCCGCTTAGCTCTACGTAGAGCCTAAAGGGAAGCTTGAGAAGCGCTTCGGATTGCTGTTTCAGGCATGGTTAAGCATTCAGCACCTGCCGCTACAGGGGGCAACGTCCCTGTTCGCCACGCCGCGGGGCTCCTTGGGCTTCTCCACGGTCCCCCAAACCTTTACTGGCCCTCAAGAGCAAGAAGCGACTATCCCCACCACGAACAACATTTGGAGGCACGACTTTCTACTTTGGCAACTTCTTCATCGTCGCCCTTGTGCAGCCGCTTGCGATCCCCATGCAGCCATGCAGGAAGAATCTGGAGCATTCCCTCCTAGGCGACGCGTGCGGTCAGGTTGCTTGACCTGTCGAGGTCGGCGGCGAAAGTGCGACGAGGGAAAGCCAGTCTGCCGGAATTGCACAACCAAAAACCTGACGTGCCGCTACGGTCTAAACATCACGTTTGTCGACTCTCGAAGGCGCGCGTCGACACAAGCAAAACCGTTGTCGACTGACAATATTATCGCCCAGAATGAATCTACACCACGACGCCAAACATCCGGTACCGGCGTCTCACGTCCCCGTGGAACCCGACCACCCTTGAGGACGACCAGTACACTTCAACATCAACAGAATGCGTCCGAGTCATCCTCGGATAGCCAAGGAATCCAGAATCAAAATGGAAGTATATCGGAGCCATTATCGGACAGGGGAGTAATCCAATACCAAAATACAATTGAGCCAACGTCACGGCACTCGGCCATTCAGCCAGAATTTCCACTCCCAGCATCACCGCAGACTTCTCGAACCCCGTTTCCAGAAGACTTTGACTCATTTGGCTCGATTGAAACGCCGTTCCCTCAACCGTCATCGCTTTCTGTCCCAGATGATTCCCGAGACTCCACTTTGGAACGGTTATTCCCCCGTTCTGACATTGCCAACTCGGAAGCCATCCTCGATGAGGAGGATGAACAAGGTGTCATAGAGCTTTTCACTTTTTTCCGGTATCAGATTGCACCGCGGCTGGATCTGGGTGTGGGAGAGGCATATTTCGGCATCGATGCACTGCTGAAGGCCAAAACATGTGGTGCCTTGTGTAAGAGTATCCTGGCATTGTCTAGCTGCCAAAGGCATCTTTCGCAGGGCATTCATCCAGAAGCTGATGATGCAAGATCTGCCGAGTATGCCCTGAAGGCGACACTATCGGTTGCCAACGCGGGGGACGAGGATAGGGTGACGGCTCTGATTCTGCTAACATTAAGAGACATGATCCTAAATCCTCCTGGAAGCTGGAGCAATCTTGCACTGGCCCTACAGCAGGACTTGAATGTCCGATCGGACAGTCTGCAAGAAGGACAGTGGCAGGTTATGGCACGCCTCGTCATCGCAGCAAGACTCACGGCTTCTATCTCGACAAATCGAGTTGATCTTTCCTTCGTTGTTGAAGGTGCCAGAACAGTCTTGCCAGGGCAGACGTTGACCAACAAACAACAGCTTCACCAAGCATTCTCTAACCTAGCGCGCGCATTGATGATACCCGATAATACCTTCGATACCGGACAGCGAACAAGGTTGCCCGTGGCTGCCGTCTGGCAGTCGTGCTGGAGTGACTGTGAATTGTGGTACTTTGCGAGAAATGAAGAAATGCAACAAGTTTTTGAAGTTGACAACTCGGACTCTGTGACTGCAGGCAGCTCAACCAGTCCACCATTTCCAATCATTATCTTCAGTAATTCTTGCGCTCTGATGGCGAATTTCGCTCACCATCTGACTGCAATCCATTTGCTGCATCACAAACCCCGGCTGATCAGGCCCATTGCGGGATCTGGATGGTCAGTATCGCCCGCATGGCACGCTCAGAGACTCGTCGGCACCATTTCTGCTTTCAATGAAGCCGAGATCTTTGACCCTCTTGTGGTTGCCGGTCTGATATATGGGGCCAGAAAACTAAGCCACCCGTCTCAATTGGCTGTGGTGGCAAACATACTGAGAAAAGCGGCACAGACGACCGGGATGCAGCTGCAGCAAGAGATTGAAAAAACTCAATATGCTCATGGCAAAACGACCGGCTGATGGAGTGTCAGTCGTATGATGAATATTGTCCCCATTACCAGCGGTAATATATGCAAATACTGGACTAGGTCCCAAAAATGGCTCGAGCACGTGGTATCGGGCTGCTTCAATCCCTAGTCAATTTCGTCAAGAGTAACTATGCTCCACATTGAGGAATACTTGGGAATAAAGCCAAGCAGATTCTGGTCTTGTGGTTGTGCGTATGGAGGATATACGTGTCGAGCTGTATGGAAACAGCCAGTAGCCGAGGAATCAGTATAGCATCAAGAGCGCAATCACGGCAGAATACCGCCATGAAGCGAAATCCGAGGCCGAAGGAATTTCATATGAGCCTGTAAGCTTAACGGAGGTGTATACTGGTTTAGGAAATCGTAGCCTCCGCGTGCCCTTTCGGCCATTGGCCATGCGGGGACAACCACCGAAAAACCTGGTTGCATTCAAATTATGTCTTTCCAAATGCGGCAAGAGGAAGCACCCCGCTGAACCCCAGAAACCAGCCCTCGTCGCGTGCTCCCCGCCTTTTAACCCCCTTACCATGGGTGCTAGAGTCTAGTCCACGTTCTAGAAAAGTCATATATAGTGTCTGACAGTCATCCCCATCATGAAGTTGTTGTTGTTGTTGTCGTTGTTGTTGTTGTCGCAGCCGAGCTTCACGCACCAACATTGATAGTTCACCCAGGATTTTTCAAATCAATCAATTTTTTGCCACTCCCCATCATGGAAAATCCCAATATTTCTCAGCTCGAGGGCGACCACGAGCGACAGTCCAACGAGGCGCTCCCAAAGGAGAAGCTCAAGATCGACCATCTCGAGGTCATGGCCGACGAGCAGCTCGGTCATCTGGCCAATCAAGAAGACCACGAATTGGGTGTCTGGCAGTCCTTCAAAGCCTACCCTGGAGCCTGTATGTGGTGTGTCTATGCCTGCTGGACCATCGTCCTGGCCGCATTCGAACTCCAAGCGGCAGGTTCGGTGCTTGGGATTCCTCAGTTTCGGAAAGACTTTGGGTCATACTTCGAAGGCAACTATGTCCTGCCCACGGAATGGCAGTCGGCCTTCAATGCTGCCCCCGTCGCGTCCGCCATTGTTGGGGGTCTTGGTGGCGCAGCCATCGCGGACATTGTCGGACGCAAGTATACTCTTATATGCGCGTTGGCAGTCAGCTTTGCAGCAATCAGCGTCGAATTCTCCTCGACCACCAATCCCGTCTTCTTCGGCGGCAAATTCTTGAACGGGTTTGCGGTTGGCACTATTCAGGCGGTCATGACGACTTATATTGGAGAGGTGGGTAGAGCAACATCGCAGTCGCTCTTGTTTGTTCCCCTTGCTAACCCATCTCTCAGATTGCACCTCATGCCTGGAGAGGTATCTTCACTGTTGGAATTGGAATTGCTTTCGGCGTACGTACTACTTACTACTACTTTCCCGCTCCTACATGGGTTATCCACGGACTCGACCCTCCCCAAGAATATTTGAAAAGTCTTGAGAGGCAAAAACGCTGACATCCTGCCTGTGGTAGATTGGTCCTCTATTGGCCTTCATCGTTGTCAACTATACCGGAGATGTCGAGACTCGTTGGGCCTATCGCACAGTCTTCTGCTGCCAGTATGGCTTCGCTGCCGTCTCCGCAATCTTCGTTCCCTTCATGCCCGAGTATGTGCCCTCTACATCAATTCTTCCCACTGGTTCCCACTCCTGCTGACTGTCATCCTCCTAATAGGTCTCCATGGTGGTTGGTTTCAAAAGGCCGAAATGAAAAGGCACTCAAAAGCCTGAGCCGACTTGGCCAGAAGGGCGACGAAGGCAAGAAGAGATTTGCGCTGATCCAAATGACACTGGAAGAGATCAAAAGGGAGACGGAAGGCGTCACTTATTTCGAATGCTTCCGAAAATCCAACTTGCGACGCACCATCATCAGCATCGGGCCCCTGATCATCCAAGTGCTGACAGGTATTACCTTTGTCGCCGGATACTTCACCTACTATCTCCAGCTCGCGGGTTATGCGACCCAGGAAAGCTTCAGGATCCAGATTGCACAACCGGTGCTCTCGATTTTTGGCAACTTGATTGCCACCTACCTCGTGGACAAGGTGGGGAGGCGAAACTTGACCTTTTACGGTCTGCTCGTTCTTGTCGTCCTTCTGTTTATCGAAGGCGGCTTGGCCACGGGCGGCAGCCCCGGCGAGATCAAAGGCACCGTGGCCATGATTCTGATCTACAGCTGGATGTACAATGTCTCGATCGGATCGACCGCCTTCTCCATCATGACCGAGACGTCCACGTCGCGCCTCCGCGTCAAAACCATCGCCATCGGCCTCGCCTTACAGAACTCGATCAACGTCATGTGGCAGTTCGTCCTGCCTTACATGTTCAACCCGGACAAGGGCAACCTCGGCGGCAAAGTCGCCTTCGTCTTCGGCGGCCCCAGCTTCCTCTGTCTGATTTACTTGTGGTTCTTCCAGCCCGAAACCGGCGGCCGCACTTACGAAGAACTCGACGAGATGTTCGCCAAACGCGTCCCCGCGAGGAAATTCAAGAACTACAAGCCCGATGCCCAGGCCAAGGGCGAGGTGGTCAAGGAGATTGTGGGACACCACACAAACAAGTAAAGGTACTTGGGGAAAGCCTGAAATAGAACACAACTGGTGGGGAGATTTACTCTTTGGTGCCCGCTGAGGACGGGGTGAATATGAATACTGAGAGGGGTTTTATATACATATTTGGACACTTGTATATATAGAGAGAGAGAAAAAATTGCTCATCCCAAGTCACACATAATACTCGGAAAGAGAAGGGTCACCTCGAGTCTCACTCTTAGTAGAAGCCCTACCACCGAGGATCAATCTTCTCACAAACAAAGCTATCAAGCTTCACCCGCGCACATTTCAGCCACAGACGCCTTGGGTAATGTTTGCCACTTAACACTCCCCCCCCCTCTGCCTCATTCCCTTCCAATACGGCCGCCGATCCCGTCCTTAAAAGAGTCGGTACATGCATGAGCTTTTTTTTAACACCAGGTCAACTTGGTTCACTAGTCTGGTAGATGGATACCTATATCTTGAAACAAAGGGGGGAAAGGAGGAGAGGAGGTGGATTCAGAGCTAGAATTTTCCATTCCAAGGTAATAGTTGAACAATGTTCCTGGATCTGGATCTGGTTCATTCGCTCTTTTTTGGTTTCTTTATTTTTTTTTATTTTTTTTTTTTTTCCTCCTAAAGAATTTCGCCCTGTGCTTCATTTTTGGGGGCTAACACAAGAAAAAGAAAGGCGAGGGCGAGCGATACACATTTGTTTTTCCTCGGGGAGACTTAGGTGTTACTTAGATGTGGGTTTATGGGTGTTGGGGAAAAAAAAGGAGAAAGGGAGGGAGGTTATTCCCCGGCCGCTCCATGAGGGAAATTTACCACTACAGTCCGAGAAATCTTCCAAGTTGTAATTGGGAAGAGGACACAGGATTGGAGAGAGAGAGAAGGGGGGCTGTGGTTAGGTTGAAAAAAAAGAGAAAGGAAAAGGGGGAAGCTTGAAAAGTCCTCGAAAACCCCCTCCGCTGGGTTTTTTTTGTATAGCGTACTTAGGTATTTAAGTACTTGATTTTGTGTAACAATATTTCATGCGGGGAGAAAAATATATTTTTTTATTAAACGTTAACCTAGTCCTTCTCCAGAGCGGCCGTGACGGTTTCAAAGGCCTTCACTCGACCACCTACAAGGTTTTTGTTTGTCGTCTGCACAACAATGCGCTTGTATGTCGTGAGACTCGGTGAGCCGCTGTCCGTGAGTTGCAGGATGAAGTGGAGGGCCATGCCTTTCTCCAGCGCCTTGCCGGTGACGATTTCAACAGCGCATTTTTCTGGCGGGGGTATGGTGATTTTGATGGCTTTATTATCTTCATCCAGTGCCTGTAACTCGAGGTCGGGGACTTGCCAGAAAATCAAGGACTGTGCGGATGTCGGCTCCTTGTACTGGAACCACTTGAACGTCAAGGTGTCGTCGTCCGGGTCGTAACTCTGGGATGCGTCGAGGGTGAGCTCTGTCCCGGCTTCGGCTTCGAGGAGGAGTGGCTCCGGGCCGGGTGTGCTGTCGTTGACAATTGTCACGGGGGCGTGGTTCGTTTTCCTTCGGTCGTCGGTCAGTGTCCACTGCATCCGCGCGGCGAAGTCGTCTTGGTAGTGTTCCCGCCACCGCCAGATGGTGGCATGGGAACTGCGGAATTTCTGGCCATTTTTCCCGACGACTTCGTCGCTTGCATCGTGATAGTGGTTGGTCGACCCGCCCAGGTCGAGGCGCGTATATCTTCCGCCCCAGCTACCCCATTCAGGATGCTCCGGGTGTCCGAGGCCGTTTTGGATGAGGTATAGAAAGGTGGGCGTGTCTCCTTCCATGATGAATGCATAGTCGGGGTAAGCTTTGCCCAATGGTCCGATCTGGATGTGCTCTTTCAGCCACTCTTTTGTGATTTTGCTTTTATCGGGCCCGCCTAGGTCAAGAGGCATCAAGATATCTCCGGAGATTCCAGTCCAGGCAGCACTTGAGTATTCATTCCACCCATGGACGGAGCAGATGTAGAAGATGTCCGGAAAGTTGAGTCGAATCCAGACGCCTGTGTCATCTTGATCGGAAATGGTGTACACACGCAGTTTCGAGCGGAAACGAGCAAAGTCTGTCGCCGACCTGGCTTTTTGGACGTGGTTCAATGCTTGCGCAAGCGTATTGACACCCCCCCAGCAAATCACCCACAACGGACTGTCTGACTGGTCCACTTGTTCTATCAACAATGCCGATCCGTCGCTCAACGGGACGCCATCCTTCAGAGCCTCTTTGCCGTACAGAGACGGGCCAGTCTTGATGATGGATAGAAAATAAGCAGCATCAGTGTACTGATTTTCCGGATGTACGTGCGCGTTGAGGTTGTTCACTACTTGCCCGTACGCCTTCACGATGGTTTCCATGTCCTCTGGGTGAACTTTGGACCTCATCCATGTCGATGTGCAAGCGACCAGACCGCGAGTGTCGAATTCATTCGAGTAGAGCAAATAGCGGACCAGCGATTCTGCGTCGTCGGGCTCATTAGAGATATCCGAGATGACGAAGACCCGGGGTTTGGTCTTGCAAACTCGAAGTCTCTGTTGTTCGGCCATATTGTGCCGCAACTGTTTGAAGGCTGTAGTCTGACCAAGACGCCTTTGAATACCTGGATGTATAAGTTCTCTCGAGTCTTGATTCTGTCGACACTACCACAGGTATATCACCCCCGGGCTCGGCATCTTCCCAGACTAAAGTTATACGGAACTGGGCATGTCTACTATGTAGATTCTCCCCAAGTCTGTCATCGGTCGAGGCTAATCTCAGTAAGGAAGTTGTAGGCATTTGGAACTATTTGCTAAACCAAAATAGGAAAAGACTACCGCCGGTCAAACAGCGAGAGTTAGTGTTCAATCACAATAAGATGATGATCGATCCCTGTATTGTTGGGATTACTGCTCGCCACTGGGCGAAGGATTCGAGGAAGAATAAGGTGTAGATAGACAAGGATGATTGGCACATTTTACCTCAATTGATCTCAGGAAGCACTCAGTCGTAAGTCGTATCGTGACTACACGTATCAACCACGGCAATGGATTCATAGTCTACAGAACAAAGCCGTCCAGACTGCGAATGTCCCGCCATTTGAGGTTCAAGTTCCTTTATAGACATTGCTTGTGCAGTGTTTCTTGGGACATCTCAAGCGCCGTCCGTAGTGTTGTTGCTAATTGGAGGGTGTCTGACACCTTACTTTCACTGTGAAGCCACTTATCAAGAGCTACAAGTATTTCTACTGAAATATCTTGTACTTGATGGGCCCATCTCGTTACCGTACCATTGTAGGGGGACCCGTACCCCAAGCAACCCCCGCGTTAAGCTTTATGGGGTTGCCACGCGGTCAAGCTCTCCGCACCCAGGGCCCCTAAACCTTTCACCTAAGGAGTCTCCTCCGGGCCCCCTTAGCCCTGTGGCGCTCTGACTGGGTATTTAACTAACTAGTTCCGCGCTTAATTGTGCAGTGGGCATAGGCACCTAACTAGGCACCTACCAAGGCATTTAAACTAGTTAGTCACGCAGTTTTGGATCACGCAGTTTTGGATCACGCGCTTCGTCACAAAATTCTTTGCGACTGCGCTTGGCCTCCTCCATCCTTCTCTGACAAAATTCCATACGCACCGGTTTTCCACCGTCGCTGTCCAATAGATGCAGCAAGGACCTGCATATGCTCTGTTCCGGGACCTCATCGAGTGACACCACTCTCTGCGGTGGATAGCAACGTCCAATAAACTCAGAAAGCCTTTCAAATGGTTTGAGCCGGGCGACAATGGGCTGCGATGGACGCCGAATCGATCGCGACACAGTTCGTATCGCCCGGCGCAGTCTCCAATGAAAGCATTTTCGACGAATATGCTGCCGACCCGCGCTTCCAACAGCTTCAAACCGAGCTGAGGTCGTGGCTGGTCGTGGGGGCGAACCACTGGGATCAAACTCGCGAAACCAGCCCATTGTCTCCGGACCCTCTCAGCCTCGCTCCTCGACATAAGCCCGGGTACCAGTATCTCTGGGACCATCTCGAAAACCGGGCGGCGGACCAGATCCCCCTAGAGTCGAAAATCAAGTACCTCCACGTCTGGATCACCGAGTGTGCACCGTGGCTGGACATGTTCGACACGGAGCGTCATTTCGGTCTACAGGTGCCCATCATTGCGCAGGAGTCAGCGGCCGTCTTTCACGCCCTTTTGGCCCTCGCGGCCCGCACGGCCGAACGGCGAGGATATACGAAGGGCTCCCGCGACAGCTTGGAGCTATACTCGCAGGCCATTTCCTCGCTCACGTCCTCGCTGAACACAAAGGATCCCCATGTGATGGTCACGGCATGTCTCCTCTGCGTCCTGGAAATGATGAGTGTCAGCCCCCAAGACTGGAGGCGCCACGTCGAAGGCTGCGCTGCCCTCTTTGCCTCGTCCGGCATCAACGGCTTCTCCGGCGGCTTGTTGCAGGCCGTCTTCTGGTGCTATGCGCGAATGGACCTCTGTGGCGCCATCATAGCCGACGGCGCCGAGGCGACCATCCTGCCCATCAACAAGTGGGCGTTGTTACCCGGCTTGCCAAGCTCCGACCCGGGGACGCCAGAAGCAATCACGCGCGAGTTCTTGACCAGGGGCCACCAGGTCCCCGACATGTACGCCAATTATGCCGTCTACCTGTGCGCCAAGGTCTGCGACCTCCTCGCCCGCCGCACGAGATGCGTCGAGTACGGCGAAGACAACGGCTGCGACCGCGACAACTTCGCCCGCGAATGGGCCGTGCTGTGGACGGAGCTTCAGGAATGGTACACGCAACGCCGGCCGGAGATGATGCCCGTCAAAGCGACCAAGTCCGGGCCCGAGAGCTCCCCCTTCCCCATGATCTTCTTCGCTCACTGGGCCGCCATCTCGAGCAACCAGCTCTACCACACCGCCTGCATCCTGATGCTGGAGATTCGGACTGAGGAGACCTGCGACCGATTCGACACGGTGTACTCACCCCTGTGGCACGCGCGGCGGGTCGTGGGGATTTCATTGACAAACCCGCACCCTGGATGTATCAACAACGCGATCCAACCCCTGCACACGGCAGGCAAGTTCTTCACCCATCTGGAGGAACAGTCTATCATCGTCAAGCTGATTGACTCGATCGAAGCACGCACCGGGTGGGGATCCCGATGGCGTGTCAAGGATTTGGAAGCAGTATGGGGTTATCGTCGTGGGTTTTTCTCTTCGTGAAGTCCTTCACCTTGTCGCACAGACACTACGAAATATTAATTCGATGGGGAGGTTCTCCCATTCGAACCCGGCTCGGAGCATGCCGCGCTAGAGAGTGTGTAAAAAAGAATATTCCTTGAATCTGGCAATAATTGCCTCCGCTCGTTTCATATCGGACGCCCACATTGTACCTAACTATCTAGTAGTTCTCCCTCTTCCCTGATAAAGTGATATCAGATCCAGGACTTGGACTTGCGTGTTTACAGAGGGCACTACTGAACCGGACGGGATATGTATCTTTTCTTTTTTCGGTCTCACAATCTTTCACCTTTCCTCTCCACAAGTTTTGATTAAATCTAGCGAAACAGTGTTCAAAGATCGCGGGGAGCTTTTCCTACATCTGACACCCGCCATCCGATTGTGGGAGGAAGGAAAGGGGGTTATGATCTATAGGAAATAAGTTGGCTTTTCAAACCCAAGCGTCGGCTGCCCCAGGCAAGACGACGCATTGAAATCAGAAAGACGGGCATTAAGATCTTCGTCAAGCAGACCTGTTTGAGATTGAGATCTGAATGAATAATCTCTCTTGCGTGGATCACAGTGATTGCTTCGATGATTTGTAGTCCCCATCGAACCACTAGATGATGTGGGATCTCGTCTTTGTATCGATCGAGGTAGTCTGTCATATTGCCGTCCGGGTAGAAGACGAGGTCAATATACTCATCGGCATCGTCTGGGATCCATTGCGCGATGCGAGCGTGATTTCCTATTTGCCTATACGCCACTTTTTCATTTCGGACCGTGATGGTAGGGTCTTCTGGGTATGTAGACTCTTCAGGAAATTTCCGAATGATTCTGCCCTCAATGAAAAACACCTGGCTGAAGATTCCATAATGAAGTGGAGGACGTGAAGGCTTCAGATGCATCTGGGTGAAAGCGGTTGCGGAGTCAAGTAGGCAGGCTCATCTGCATCGAGTCTGTTACCTGAGCCGGCTTCTGTCACAGCCAAGATGGAGTACGCTGTGTTGTCGAGGATGGTCTCACATTGTCGGAGGGTGAAGACTGAACTCTGTGCGGCAAATATTGAGGTGGTGGTAAAGCCATCGGTGGCTGGCATTTCAAGCCTCAACTTGGACAATTAGGCTTCGGAGCCTTACCAAGACATCAACTCAGAGGCGGGAGTTCGGCCCCTAAAACCAGCCTCGGGAACGCCTAGGCATCTCCACAGTAAACGTCTTGATTGATCAGCCACTCATCTACGCCCGCTGGTTATGTGGCGATTGTATTATCAGATCAGCCTTGTCTGCCCCCCATTCGTCTGCCTCAGGATCAAGACATTATTTTTCCTTCCATTTGCCTCTGCTGATTTCGCTGCCTTCTATCCACTAATTAGACATCCTGCGACTCTTACGGACTGTTTGAGATGTCGGCCGCTGCAAGTCGAATCGCATAGATTAACCTGAATCTACGTCACAAGCCTCACCTTGCCCGCAGTGACTCCAAGGTCACCCTCCAACAAACCCGTCCACATCCATTCCCCCCTCCGACATCAAACATGCACCAGTCCTTCACAGGTAGTGGCCGAAAACCTCGCCAGGTCAACCTCTCCGGTCGTACCCACACAAATCCATGGGCATCCCTCCCTAAACCTGGGCATTCCACTGCTCCTGCCGCAAGCAATACAGTTGCCCAAGCTCAGGCAGAGCGGGCGAAGAGACAGCAAGAGAGAGAAAGATACAATGCCACAAAGACTCTACAGAGGCTATGGCGCGGTCACGCGAGTCGACGAAAACAGAAATCGCAATGGAGACAAGAGTGGGATAAGAACGAACAACAGAGACTGGGCGAGTCAAGTCGAGTGGACTACCAAAGTCTTGTGAACGCAGGCGCGACAATCCCGGCCTATGATAACTCGCTACAGATCCTCCTCCAGTTGCGGCTGCTGCTCAGATTCCAAGAGTTCAGACGGGGCAGGCCAAGGGATGACATGGATCTACTGAGACTGCTCTACTTCGGCGAGGCCCTTGATCACACCTTGGGCTCGTTACGAGTCGAGTTGAATGACAGCTGGAGGTCCAACCTCTCTCGACTGGGACTGGTTGAGGTTTGCCACCTCAAGAGTATCATCAGCGACCACACACAGCATGACAGAATATCCTACGGACCGAGGTTACTAAGAATGATCGCCATGTTGGCTGAGTATATTCCAGATGAAATAGCCAGGGATTCGATCATCTACTTTGAAGTGATTGACTTAGCATTACGCAGACAAGAGGAGGAGAGGTGGCGACGATGCTCGGTTGATGCAGTAGCTGCTCTTCTGAAATCTTCTTCCACTCAAAAACGAATGGCATACGCTGCTTTCGCAGCCAAATTCCTGACTAAAGATTCATTTTCAGGAAGCAACGACACTCTGAAAGAGCTTTCCTTTTCCCTAAGTCTGCGAGAGTTGACTCAGGCGATTACGGAGGAGCTTGAGAACATGGACAGGACTGGGAAACATACATTGACTCCTACCCAGTTATTGTGGCAACTAGCTCATCTCATATGTATTCACGACATTCTACATGAAGGTTACGCTGGTCAGAGTACGTATCTCGAAGCAGTCTCGGCCCTCTTGGGGGAGTGCGCAAACGAGGTTGCCGAGAGGATCGAATTGACCGATCAGCCCATGCTCAACAGTGGTAACAGGAGTGCTCCCGAACCCTTGCCGGCTTTTGTGAAGGACATGATCACAAAACTCCCGGAGCAAGATAACCTCCGTGCCATTCTGAAAGAAATGGGGTCATCAACAGCCTCAACAACAACTACGGCTGGTGCAGACTTTCAATCTGCGAAGCGACTGGCGAATTTTGCGGTTGCTTTGCTGAGGGCTTTCCCCACCAGGGCGCAGGACATTCGAATGTCTTTATATCAAAGCTCTGTCAGTTCAGTCGAGAACGCAGATGTGTCCACTATCCAATATTTCTGGAATGTGGCACGCACGACCAGTGTCTTTGACAAGATCTCCCAAGACTATCGCGTTGTGCTATCAGTCTTGAGAGAGGCGGCTCCAAGGACCAATCAAATCGGACAAGGACAGTTATCCAGAAATGAAATTTCCCTATGGCGTGATGAGTGGCGGATCATCTTGCTCTTCCTCGAGCTGTATACGTTTGTCCTCAAATTCATGGACGATGACGATTTCTTCTCCTACGAGAAATTGCACGCATTTGGAGCCGCAACAGCTTCACACACAAGCTTGTTGTCGAGAAAAGGATCCCTCCCCTTGGAGGAAGTGGCGCTGATGACCATATTCTTAAAGAATCTGGCTTTTACCCTGTACTGGAATGCAGCAGACTTGGTCGAGAGCAACGATCAGGAAGATGAACTAGCCATATCTGAACTTTTTGCCAGCCCGGGCCGTGCGTCTGTCAAGAATACCGAAAAGAAGCAACAGACTTTGACTGGCAATGGTGTCTCGCAAGGCTACCTCAAGGGGTTAGTCACGGGCTTGCTACGCATGCTACATGAGAGAGACTCTAGACGGTCATTCGTACCCGCCGAACACTGGTTAATGACCAATCAGGTCAGCATGGCTGGGTTCATTCCCGCTGTCGTTGCAGAGGAAGAAAAGAGGCACGAACTGGGCGGTGAAGATGACACTGAGGACGAGGAGGACGATTTTGACAGTGACACCGAACTGGATATGTCCATGGGCTCGTTGGCGGGCGAGTCGCTCATGCGCTCCATGTTTGGTATCCGACCTGCACACATTCCAAGAAACCGAGTGTCGAGACAACACGAACAGGCAGAAAAACAGCGGATGCAGGCCAGGAAGAAGCGACAGTTGGAGGCATTGGCACCACGCCTTGAAATCCTTCGCAATCTCCCGTTCTTCATCCCATTCGAAACCAGAGTTCAGATCTTCCGCGAATTTGTCCATCGAGACCAGCTTCGCCGACGGAACGGCGTCACTGACCCGGATACCTGGCGTATGGTCGTAAGTGCCACTCAAGGTCGAACTGTTGACGGCCGGCCGGTTGGTATTGACATCCTCTCCAAACACCATGCCCAAATTCGTCGGGACAAGGTCTTTACAGATGCGTACGAGGCTTTCTATGGTCTTGGGGAAGGGCTCAAAGAACCCATCCAGATCACCTTTATTGACCAATTTGGAACTCCAGAAGCTGGTATTGATGGGGGTGGCGTGACCAAAGAATTTCTCATAAGCGTGACCAACGAGGCGTTTGATCCCGACGCCAATCTGCCGATGTTCAAGGAGAACGCGCAGAGGTACCTGTACCCGAATCCTACGATCTACCAGGAAACGGCCGAGTACCTCAGAGTCGCCGGGGTCCGATGGGGTACCCAGGGGATGGCGTTCCCGATGGCTGAATTTCTCCGCCGATACCAGTTCCTGGGTCGCATTGTTGGGAAGTGCCTGTACGAAGGTATCCTGATCGACGTCACCTTTGCTGGCTTCTTCTTACTGAAGTGGGCACTGACTGGCGGGACCACGGTCGGATCAAACGAGTCCGCCTATCGAGCAACGATCAACGACCTTCGGGAATACGACGAGGAGTTGTACCAGGGCCTCCTGAAGCTGAAGAACTATACAGGGGATGTTGAGACAGACTTTTCGCTTGACTTCACGGTCACTGACACGATTACGATTGAAGATGACGATGGCAAAAAGGTGCACAAGACATTCGTGACTGAACTGCTTCCGAATGGCGCGAATACTCCTGTCACTAACGCCAACCGATTGCTCTACATCGACCGAATTGTGAGATATCGACTACAGCAGCAACCCAAGGCAGTGACGGATGCATTCCTCCGAGGCCTCGGTCAGATCATTCAACCCATGTGGCTCGCCATGTTCAATCAAAAGGAATTGCAGAAGCTCGTTGGTGGGGACAACAAGGAACTCGACATTGCTGATCTCCGGCGCAACACCCAATATGGGGGAGTCTACGCTATCGGGGATGACGGCCTGGAGCATCCCACGATCCAACTGTTCTGGAAAGCCCTCCAGGAGATGTCAGACGAAGACAGACGGAAAGTGCTCAAGTTCGTCACCAGCACTCCTCGAGCACCGCTACTAGGATTTAGTCATTTGAACCCGAAATTCAGTATCCGTGATTCTAGCGGTGACCAGGATCGACTCCCGAGCACTTCGACCTGTGTGAACCTGCTCAAGTTACCTCGATACGAAGATCTCAAGACGATGAAAGAGAAGATTCTATACGCCGTCAATTCGGGTGCTGGATTTGATTTGTCATGAGAGGATAGAACACGGTACTGCTAGTCTTCTGGTCTCTTCTCCGCGACTGGGCGAAGGGGAGATGTTGGGTCGATGGTCATTATTCTTTCGAGGAATATAGTAGAGAGATACGAGGCTAGGCATTGGGCGATGAAGCCCGAATCGATATCTGCAGGATGCCACCATCAAGAATGTGTCTGTATTTCCATGGTCGTCCCCCATTTCCCCAGCATCTTGATCTCATATTTGTCATGACCATCAGCTCTTACCGGGGGCTACAGTATGCGCCGCCAACCCAGAGCCGCGGTGCTTGTAGTCGTCAGCAACCACGATACAATACCCAAATTGGGACGGACGGATCTCCCCCTTTATCCCCCTTTTCTCTTTTTCTCTCCGGGCCGCTAAACAGGGTAATAGTTGCTTTGGGGATTCTTGAATTCATTGTTTTGCGAAGGAAGGAAGAAGCAATCCATGCCGCTTTCGGATCGGGGAGTGCATGTAACTAATTTCCCTGCGCGGTAGAATCCTTTTTTGTTTGGGCGACTTCGACTCGATTAATTAGGTTATTGTCCTTTGCATCGTCGATGGAGGAGTACCGAGTACGAGATAGGTAGCGAGGTAGGTATCAGGGGATGCTGGATCAGCTTGGTCCCCCTCGCTCACTTTGGGATCGTTTCCGTGGTCCGACCTTGGCCAATGTGAAGACGCCTGGACGAAGACGAGTCGAAAGCACGAGTAGATTCGTCGCCGTGGCACCCAAGAGCTAGGCGGAGCAGGGGGGAGGGGACGAGTTCTGTACTTGATTGGTAAGAAAGTCTTTGATGGAGCGTGAGAGTCGTGCTATCATGTAAGCCGACAATAGGCCAGGCAATGGGAGGGACGAAGTAGGGAGGGAGGGAGGGAGGCCTTGGACAAATATCCCAGGTGTTTGATTGTCTCACACCATCTATTGATCCTCCATCCGTCTATCCATCATCGATTGAGGGCCATTTCATTTACTTACTTGAAAAGTACTTGCTCGGGTGCGCAGAAAGATCCTGGAAGTTTAGCGTGCAAGTACTGAGCATATTCTACGAGAGACAGTTACGCCTCTATTGTCTCTTTATCTGGGTTGATCGCAAAAAGACATTCGCGCAACCCCCGCAAAAATGAAAGAACCGCCCAAGCTCTCGGCGGGAGACTACTTCTCCTTGCTCTACACCGTGACTCGTGCTGGTAAGTCCTTCGCCTGTCTGCCTCTCTCGCCCGGGCTTGTGGGACGGTTTCGAGAGGACTAATGCTGGACTTGGTGACATAGTGGGCACATTGACCTTCGCTACCCTCACGGGCTGGTCGAGAGGCGAGGATTGTCCGCGGGACTACAAGCGGCATGTCATCTACAGCACTTGTCGGACGTTGTTTGCGCACTTGTCGGTCAAGCAGATGCAGGCCCTACAGCCGACCACGAGCGCGGGTTACACGGCTTTTGCGAAGAAGCAGAAGTTCGACCCCGAGATTGTAGAGCTGGACGACGGTGCCTTGGGGTGCTTCATGGGGCCCAAGACGGCGAAGAAGACGCTCGTGTGGTTCCATGGTGGAGGATACACCTTCCCAGCGGCCGATCCGCACTGGGCCATGCTCTGGGATTTCATCGAGCTGGCTAAAAAGAACGACGAGCAGCTTCGAGTCATGGTTCTAGAGTATGAACTCACTCCCCATGGCTATTACCCGTTGCAACTCAAGCAGGCCGTCGCGGGGATCAAGCATCTTTTGGATTCAGGGCTGAAGCCGTCACAGGTGAGCGAGAAATGGTCCCTCTACCTTGGATGCCTTGGGATCAGTCCTGACTGACCTGCCGCGGGGAGCACACAGATTCTGTTTGGCGGTGATTCAGCTGGAGGTAACCTCGCTGCAGCGCTGATCGGTCATCTCTCGCATCCTCACCCTGGCGTATCCCCCATCTCCATCTCCAGTAATCTGGGAGGGGCGCTCTTGGTCTCTCCTTGGGCCTCGTTCACACAAGAGCGGGAGTCCTGGAAGAAGAACTTCAAAAAGGACGCACTGGTCCCCGTAACAGTGAAAGTCTGGTCCGACAACTTCATGGTCAAATCACCGGTAGACAACTGGAACCAACCGGCAGAAGCGCCGGCCGACTGGTGGAAAGACATCAAGGTGGACAATGTGGCCATCGTGGGAGGGGAGAATGAGGTTCTCATCGACGACATCCGGGAACTCGTAGAGAAGATGAAGGTACGTCGCGACTGATCCCAAAAGCCCGAGGGTCGAGGCTGACACTGAGATTTAGGTGCATAATCCTACACTCGAGTACCTGGAAGGCCCCAGCGAAGCGCATGATTCCATAGTAATGGATAGATCATTTGGGTTGAAGGACGAGTTGGCATCGGAGCAGTTCATCCACAAGTGGGTTCTGGGCAGGTTGAAGTAGAGGCTCAAGTAGTTGAGTGGAAGCAGGCGTGGAGGGAGCATCACGCAACTTGTCGGCGACCTTGCGGGCAAGAATCCGCGGAGGGGGGTGCCTTATGTGTATGTTGGGCGCAGCGCAGCCACCTGAAGTCCCAGACCACCTTGGCCATCAGTGCCACCTAAAAGCCAACGGGAAAAGAAAAACCTGGGCCCGCCCCGATCCACCAATTCGATTGTTTCCTTTTCCCGCACCTCTCCAATGGCATGACGGCACCAAGTTCCCTGCCAACTCTTTCTCTCGGCTCACGATGCCCTGCGTGCCCTGCTTAGATCCCACACCACGATCCATCCCTTTCCCGTGAAAACGAGGTGCCAAAGAGATCCATCATTCGCTGCCCAACTTTTTGCCTTGCGACCTTGAATTTCTGGGGCCCTACAAGTCGCCATCACCCCAGCTCCTCTACAAAAAACCAAATTACTACTCCCCCATCCATGTCGAATGCGCAGGTCGCAGCCTCGCTCCTCGTCAGGCCATTTCCAGTCCCGTGATCCTGACATTCGACCTTTCCAGTCCGAATCACTCGATCCTACTGCAGCCGGCGGGCCCGCCATCGAACTTGCGACCTTTGCCGGCGCCGAATCCTCGAACAGAGAAAGATACAAGGATAGAGAGCGGGAGGCAAGACAGTCGCAGAGACGGCTCCTCAAACTCGAAGAACTCGCCGAACGAGACGACGAGATGAAGTTCTCCCACAGCATTCAGTTCAACGCTGTTCCGGACTGGAGCAGCAACTACATATCCTATAGCAACCTCAAGAAACTCATCTACACCCTCGAGAAACAGATCAACCGGCCGGTGGGCGAGACCCAGCCCCAAGATGAAGAACACACCTCTCTGCTGGGCGGCACGCTCGATCCGGACACTACATTCAAGCGCATGCTGGACTCGGAGTTGGACAAGGTCTGCTCCTTTTACAGGTTGAAAGAGCTGGAGATCTTTGGCGAACTGGACCAGTTGTTGAAAGATGTCGAGGCCTACAAGGTCGACACGCGCGATGTGGACATGGACGAAGTTGTGGAAGCGGAGAATCGTCGGAAGACCGTGCGCTCAAACAGCATATTCAATGTCCCTTTCCGTCGACGGAGAAGGGCTTCGACGATGAGTGTGAGCTTGGAGGAACCCGAGGGCGTGGATGACAGCGATAGCGACGCTGAAGACAGTGCCGCGATGATCAGGAAGCCGACATCGTCGAACCGGCCAAGGAGTAAGAGCACTTGGAACACAGATGGATCGGACCACTCTGCCCTGGCTGAGTCCCGCGAAGACCTACGAGCACCGGACTCGCCCGTGTTTCTTAGGAGGAGACCGAGCTTGGCCATGGAACTCGAGGCCTCCGACCCCGGCCATCTATCGTCGTTGTACGATTCGGGAATTAATTTGAAAAAGCGCATCATCAGCACCTACGTGTCGTTATGTGAGTTGAAGTCCTTCATCCAACTCAACCACACCGGCTTTAAGAAAGCGGCCAAGAAATACGACAAGGTGTGCAACCGAGATATTCGAAAGGACTACATGGAGAAGTCGGTCAACCCGTCCTACCCGTTTCAGGAGAAGACCATGTTTCATCTGGATGAGAATATCGCAAGGGTGGAAAAGGCCTACGCCGAGGTCGTCACCAAGGGCGACCAGAGCATGGCCCGAAGAGAGCTTCGACTCCATCTCCGTGAGCATGTCGTATGGGAGCGAAACACGGTCTGGCGAGAGATGATTGGTATCGAGCGGAAAGCTCAAGCGGCCAACTTTGGTATCAGGCAGACCTTGCTGGGCGGAGTACAGGACCCGTCAAAGGCACGACTGCAGGGTGACCGAGAAGCTATCGACACAAAGGAAATCGTTACTCCTGTGGGTCGATACAGGTGCCCGAAGTGGTTGTTCAGTGGCACCTTGTTCACTCTTCTCGCTATTCTGGCAGTTTTCCTGGTTCTGCTGTACATCCCGATCATGAAGAGTCCAGAACAGCAAAATTGCTTGGCCATGCTGGTTTTTGTGTCGTTGCTGTGGGCGACTGAGGTGATTCCCCTCTTTGTCACCTCTCTGCTGATCCCTTTTCTGGTGGTTGTCCTTCGAATCATGCGATCAGATGACAAACCCCATCATCGACTGAACTCCAAGGATGCGACCAAGGCCGTCTTCGCGGCCATGTGGACACCGGTCATTATGTTATTGCTCGGCGGCTTCACCATTGCGGCGGCATTGTCGAAATACCACATTGCAAAGATGATGGCAACGTTTGTGCTCAGCAAAGCCGGGACGAAGGCCCGCAACGTGCTCATCACGAACATGTTTGTCGGTATGTTCTTGAGCATGTGGATCTCCAATGTCGCTGCGCCTGTGCTGTGCTTCAGCATCATTCAACCCATATTGCGGAATCTACCATCGGATAGCAATATGTCCAAAGCATTGATTCTGGGAATCGCCCTGGCGTCAAACATCGGCGGCGCTGCTTCGCCTATTGCCTCACCGCAGAACATTATCGCGCTGCAGAACATGAAGCCTCCGCCGAGCTGGGGGATCTGGTTCTTCATTGCTTTGCCCGTGTGCATTCTCAGCATCATCCTGATCTGGCTTTTGCTGGTTGTCAGCTTTAAACCTGGCAAAGGGACCACCATCGTGCCTATCCGACCGATGAAGGACAAGCTTAATGGTGTGCAGTATTTCATCATCCTGGTCACGCTGATCACCATTGTCCTGTGGTGTGCTTCTCATCAACTAGAAAGCGTGTTTGGGGATATGGGTGTTATTGCCATTATTCCTCTTGTCTTGTTCTTCGGCACGGGCATTCTGACCAAAGAAGACTTCAATAACTTCTTATGGACGATCATCATCCTCGCCGCGGGAGGTCTTTCTCTGGGCCGCGCAGTCTCCTCATCGGGGCTGCTCCATTCAATTGCCAGGGGTATCACAGAACGGGTGGACAATCTGTCCATTTATGGAGTCCTCGTGGTCTTTGCGGCACTGGTGCTTGTGGTTGCTACATTCATCAGCCATACTGTGGCGGCACTGATCATCCTGCCGCTAGTAGCACAGGTGGGCGAGAGCATGAAGGAGCCACACCCGAATTTGTTGGTTATGGGTGCGGCGTTGATGTGCTCGGCGGCGATGGGGTTGCCTACGTCCGGGTTTCCGAATATGAGTGAGTTTCTTCCCTTCTGTTCATCTTGTGATTGCTTGTTTGGGTCATGATCCCGTGTCTCTGCACGAGGGCCATGGTTTGCCTCTGGGATTTGTCGCTAACGAAATTTCTAGCTGCAATCATGATGGAGGTGCCCGAAACAGGGGTGCGGTATCTTCGAGTGCAACATTTCTTGACCCGCGGCGTCCCAGCATCTGTGATTACATTTGCTATTGTGATTACTGTCGGGTATGGTTTGATGATTGCCGCCGGCCTTTGATTTGGTGCTTGAAGCGTGGATGCCAGCACGTCGTTGAGTTTTGTGCCATTCCTTTTAGATGTTCGTTGGGTATACCCTATATTGGGACATTGGAAAATGGGGTACCCGGGTAGGAGAGGAAAAGGAAAACGGTCTCGCCGACCACGGATACGTGTGCAGAATTAGTGAATATAGGTCATTCCGGGCACAATTGGTATAGATGCCGTCTTCTGGAGATGTCTTTTCTCGCATGGTGAGACACATGTAGCGGAATAACGTGTACGTGTTTTCCTGCGGTCTTACGAGGACGTTACATTATGGGTGTCGGTGTGTGTGAAAGAGTGCCTCTGCCTCTGGCGTCTGTGCCTCTATGATGTGTGTCCTTGTGCATCTTCATCCTCCTTTCTTGGTCTTGATCTTGAAGTTCAGATTCTCTTTTCCGCTTTAACGTTTGATTTTCAAGTTTGTTGCACGATAGTCCCACCTGCCTGTACTCCATGCCATGGTCCGAGCACCCATTCTGCCACTCGATCACTCGACCACTCACAGCACCAGCACAAACTTTGCCTTGCTCTGCTCTGCGCTGCTTTACTTCACAACAACACGCGTCGTCGAGAACTCGACCCCCGCCGCCTCCGGAGCCGAGAGGCCATGCGCGAACTGCACCGTCTTGTACTTCTTGGAGCCCCTACCCCTGCCTCTGCCTCTACAGAGCTTGAAACCACCCTGCGCCCACATAATCCCCAGCGCGGGGCCCGGGTGGCCGATACAGAGAACCGACACGGCCAGGGCCATCATGGCGCCGTCGAGGACCATGAATTTGACCTCGTCGTTGGCGAGGGCGCTGCTGAAGCCTTTGCTCAGTTCGGCGACGCGGAAGGAGCAGCGGATCAGGATCGCGAGGGTGGAGATGGCGATTGCTATGTGGGCGGGTCAGGTGGTCAGCCAGGAAGTCGGGCGGGTAGGCAGGATGAGTGGTCGTACGACGAGGGGAACATACCAGATAGAAAAAGCTTGAACTTCAGACTCCTCCGAAGCGCGGAGCTGTTGCGGTTGACCAGGCCCGGGCGTCGGTGGACGGACAACATGATCTGGAGACAAACACCGCAAAACGCAGTTGTCGACGCGACCTGGCTGGCAAGCCCCGCAATCAACAGGTCGACCCCGATCTGGTCCAGGCTAAGCGATATGTCCAGCGCGGTCAAGGCGCCTCCGGCAGCCTGAAGCACGAGGGAGAAGAAGTCGCACCCGACGAAAATCACCGTGATGGCGCGCGGGCTGAGCACGCTGAGTCGGGGCCCGTAGACGGCGATGATCCGCGCGAGGCAGATGTAGATGGCGCCGGAGAAGAGGGCCGGCCCGATGGTGAGGCCCACGAGGTAGATTATGAAGTAGTTGTTGTTGAAGTCGTCGTAGTGCAGTCGCACGCGGTACGCGTAGCCCAGGATCTCCAGGCCGATCCCGCCCAGCATGCCGAACATGAAGCCCCATGTGCGGTGCCACACGCCCAGAAAAACCTGTGCCAGGCACGCGAGGCTAAAGACCCCGAGGTAGAATGCATTCCCGGCCAGCGACGGGATGTACCTCAGCTGGCCGTAGTCGTCGACTGAGCAGGTGGCGTATGTGCAGGTGGCGGGATCGAAGGTCGAGTTCATGGTCGTTCACGAGGGTGTTAATACAAGACAATAGCACTTCAGAGAAGAGAAAGACGTGGACACAAGAGAGGAAAGAACAGACAACGACTCAAACCCATTGATGTGCATTACCTTTGCCGACAGCATTTTATATCTATTTTCCAGCAGGGAGTTTCCTCTGTAAAGGAGATTATAGTCTCCTGGTCCTCGTTGGTACAGGTCTGGCCCATGCTCAACGAATTCGCTGTGATGAGTGCTCCACCGGGTACTGCGCGCGGTTTGGTCGAAGGTCTTTCTCTTGTTCGCAGGGCTTAGACCAAAGATGGTTGGAGGGAGAAATTGTGGCTGCTGCAAAAAAATGGTGGTGCCTGGCAAGGCTCGGTCTTTGAGTTTCAACCATTCCCTTTTTGGCCACTATGTGGGATCCACTCTCCCCTGCTCTGGACTTGAACCGTCACCAGCGTCTGATTCTTAATGTAACCGCATCCGTGTACACTGCTAGAAAAATACATAGCATGGATTCTCTTCTCCTGCATTATTCCTCCTCGGTCTTTGACTTCTACCCATGTCGCCCGCTGCTCCAACCCCGGCAGCCCAGAAGCAGAGGACTCGTACCAACGTTCGACAGTCAAAGTATGGCTGCTTTACGTGCCGGTGAAAATTCCCAGTGTGTCGATCGAGCTTGGATATCGTCTAACCACTTCTTGCAGAGCCCGACGAATAAAATGCGACGAGGCCAAGCCACACTGCCTGCGCTGTCAGCGAGGCAAACGCACTTGCGGAGGATATCCCGACGGCGCTCCTCCGAGCAGCCAAACGAGCGCCGTGTTGCTCTCTGCCAAACCGGGAAAGGTCGAAGGCATCCATATCAGTAAACCCAAACAGCTGGGGTCAAACCCGGAACTTGACCGTCTGCGTCTTTTGGCCTGCACCGTGCTCTCGCAGGGACAGCCTGGCGCGAGGACAGAGGCAGAGACTGCATTCTGGGGTCACCTGGTGCCCCAGCTCGCACTGTCCATTCCGAGCGTCAGAGAGGCGGCCGCCGCGTTTGGAGCATCCTACGAGCAACAGATGCTGAAAAGAACCTGCGACGCCGCCAAATTCAAGGCGTTGAAACAAATCACGGCGGCGATGGCGAAAATTCGACAAGACGTCCTCGAGCTCCCCCATGGCCCTTTGCCCATCCTTGTTGCGTGCATCCTGCTCGCCTCGGCTGAAACAATCCAGTACCGACATACTGATGCCTTGCTTCATCTGCGTGGCGCCTACTCCGTCCTGAACTCCCGTGAATGGCTTGCTACGAGATCCTCCAACGGCAAAGCTCTGGCAGAGGACGACCTCTCGTATCTGTTTGGAAAGCTGGACCTGCAAGTCATCACGTATGCGCGGGGGAACTCTCCAGAGCTTCAATACCCTGTGGCGGCGGCTGGGTTGGACGACGCAGACCTGGCGGCGTTGACTCCACAAAAGGCAGACCGTGAGCTCTTCCGGACGTTGCACTCTTGTTACGCTTTTGCTACAGTGGCATCTGAATACAAATATCTCCCTCGCGCCGATGTTCGGGAGACGCTGGTGCCGGAGCAGAGCCGCCACATAGCCAGACTGAAAAGATGGCTTTCGTGTTATCGACAGTACTTACAGACAGATCCGGACATCTCGCCACTCAACTATCAGCATGGACTGGTACTTCAGGCGCACTGCCTCAGCGCACTTGTCTACGTCGCGAATATCCTCGACCCGTTGGAAATGGCATACGACAAGTACGCGCCACAATTCCAGCAAATCATCGAGTGTGTTGAAGAAGCCATGGGTGCGAGATCGACCGAAGCCGAGATGCCTACATATAACGCGGAGATGGGGTTGATCGAGCCTCTTTTCTTGACGGCCATCAAGTATCGAGATTCCGGGTGGCGGGCGAGAGCCATATCGTTACTGCGGAGATGCGGGAGAGAAGGGCCGTAAGTTTTCCTTTGCCTTGTTTTACAGAAGACGCCATCGCAGCTGGGGTTCACCTAGTGCTTTGGTTGTTGGATAGACGCTAACCGTTGTCGCATAGATGGTGCGGATATGTCGAAGCGACCGCCGCCGAATGCGTGGTGCGTGCGGAAGAGACGGCGGTGGCAGCCGCAGCCGCAGCAGCATGCCACGCAACAAGCCTCACACCCACAGCCTCGTGTGACAAGGGATCAGCAGCTTTGGCGAAACCCGCGTTCCTTCCTGAAGACATTCCCGAGCAGGCACGAATAGCCGGACACTCTCTGTTTGATATCGTCGAGGACGCCTCAGGCTCCCAATGGGCTGTCGTGGAAATGTCCCGGTGCCGCGACATGGAAGCGATGCTGTTTGATGGGCAACCACGGCCGAAAGTCACGAAACATTGGTACATGTGGAAGGAGACGTGTCGGCTTTGGCATTCATGATACAACACACAAGACGGGAAGGATTTCACTAACGGAACTCTTGCCAAGGGCAAACGAGAGGGGAGAGGCACGATGTGTTGAATTGAACTATTTAGCAGTGTAAACAATTCTACCACAGCAAATATCCAGTTGTACGTCCATGGCGCGCGCATCTACAGTTACATGGTCTCCGCAAGCAAGGGTGATAACGTGCCAGTGTCTACGAAGTGATTGATGTAGCAATGCTGAATGGTAGAAGTACTCTTATATCCTACAAGCATCTTCAGCAAGGCAGTCAGCCTTTTCTATTTACGAGTAACGAGTAGTACTACTACTTTCAATCTATCATCGAATCTCACTTTATCTAGTCTTGGATATAGTCCTTGAGAGGACAGGACATGCTCTTCTACCCCTCCCACCGCTACCTCCAGCCCTCCCTCTCCCTCTACGTCTGGCGGTAAGTAACGATCTCTTCACTTCTTCACCACCACCCCCTCGAACCAATCATAAATGACGTGATTAGCAAACCTCGCCGCGCCGAGATGACAATGCTGCTCCGCGGCGTCCTCCCTTGTGAACTCGACGTGCGTGGCCCGGTCGCCCAGCGCGTCGGCCACCATCTTCGCCTGGCCCTTGGCGAAGTGGTCCTCGACGGCGTCGCACACGAGCACGGGACACCGGATCTGGTCGACCACGTCGGCGATGGTGAAGCGTTTGAGGATCTCGAGGAGTTGCAGCGGCGAGCGGACGTTGAAGGCCCAGCGGCAGTGGGAGAGGGCCCAGCGTAGCGTCGTGGGTACGTTGGGGTCGCGCACCGTGGCCTGGATGGCTTGCATCGCTGCCGCGGCCGCTGCTGCGGGATCCGCGTTGGCGTCGGCGGCTGGAGCGAGTTTCTGGTGCGCCATCGCGCTGGCGATCGGGAAGATGGGCGTCCGCGCCATGTCGAACATGCCGTCGACGCAGAAGAGGGCCGCGAGGCGGGGTTCGAAGGCCGCGGCGCGGGCGCACAGGAGTCCACACAGAGAGTATCCCAGGAGGGCGACCTTGGCGGTGTCAACTCCCGGGAGGGTTTCGAGGTGGTCGAGGACCGGGCTGACGACCCGCTCCCACTCGAGGATGAAGCCCAGGCCCTGGGACCGCCGCGTGAAGACCTGGCCGGGCCCTTCGAAGCAGACGACGTTGTACCCCCTCTGCAGCGCGGCGATGCCGTGGACGTGGTACATTTCCTCCATGGACCCGTCGAGGCCGCTGCACATGATGACCGTGGGCCGTTTTTCGGCGGGATCAGCATCGGCGCGGAAAAAGATCGTCGGGATCTGGAACCCCCCGGCCGGCGAAGAAATCGTCTTCCGCACCCCCGGGATCGGGAGCAGGGACATGGCCCGGTCGAAACACTCCGTCTGCCTGTCCCACACGGCCAGGATGCGCGGGTCGTCCCAGTCCCCGTGGATGTACAGGTCCGCCATGCGGAAGTATGTCGCCGCGCGGAACAGGGCGTCACGCAGCGAGACCGGGTTGGTCATCCTGGTAGCCTGCGCGGCGATGCGTTCGGCGCGTTTGTGGAAGGCCGTGTAGAACGACTCGAAATCCCCCGGGGCGATCTGGTCGGCCGTGGCGAGCACTTCGCCCACGTCGGCGGCGCCATAGCTGGCCAGGCCGAGGGCGCGGAGGATTTGGTACTGGAACGTGGGATCGGCGCTGAGTTGGACCATCATGCCTTGCAAGGACTGACTGTACAGTAAATATATCGAGTCTGTAGCAGCGGCTTGCCAGAAGACCCCTACCTCTCGACACTTCCAACAAAGACGCCGAAGAGGATATTTCTCGAAAAGGCCGAGGTTGAGGGTGAGGGTGAGGCTGTGGCCTTGTCAACGTACAAGTATATACTATATACTATAGTTATACCTTCCTTTGCGAAAGTATCCATCGAGGAATCGCGGAGCTTTACTTGAACGGGTAATTCGCGCGAGATCCCTGTTTATACTTTGCCTTTGCGCTCTTGTGGCCCTGTCAAGCCTGCGCCAGTGCGTAATGGCATGCATGGAATAGCATGCGCGAATCACACCACTTTGACTTGGCCATGGTCGTTTCGTTCTCATATGAGGGGGTGGCTTTGCGAATCGGAAGACCAGCGATCGCCCAAAAAGTCAAAAATCGGAATCTTGTCCTGATGCGGACTTTGAGTTTCATAGTACAAGAACAAGTCCAAGTCCAAGTACAAAGCGATCATGTGAAAGGACGAGGATGTGTGGATTCGGAACCAACAGGAAATAAATGGATGGATGGATCGGTGGATGGGGGGGGATGGGGACTTTTGGCGGATCCACAGACAGATTCGGTATTCGGTCCACGACATATTCACGTATACCTCGTACAAGTACTTGCATGATATAAAGGTACTGTAGATTGTTGAAGCAGCTTCGTTTATATACTGCGACTGATCAGACTGACGGAACCAGACCAACCCGGAACTGGGATAGTCGTGCAAGAAATTCCACGTGTATGAACCAGGGCGATGAATTGGCTACACTTGGCATGGATTCAAGCTACACGCCTACAAACCTCGCTTGTCGATTGACATCCTACTCGTGTATTCCGTAGTTAAGTTATATTGATATTGCTGCCAGCCTGAACTATGCTTCATATGTATATGTGTATATTGACACCAAGAATCATTCATCAGGTCTATGAAACCAGGGGGAACGAACTGCGCGGCGCAGTATGTTGAACCCGCTGATCCTCGCGGCGGCCATCGCAGTCACATTCCCAACCAGGCTGGCGCTGGTAGTTGCAGGCCACTATATCCTCCCCGTCGACAACCTCCCGGCCATCAAGATGTTCTTGTCCGGATACTGTATGTCTAGACGATGACTGCATCGGATAAGAGCCTGACGCATCCTAGCGGTTTATTCCCAGACCATGAGATTCAGTATTCCCTTTCCGGATAGTCCGTGGGGCGCGAACAGCTCGGAGTACTTGGTACGTAAGCGATCGCACAGTGGTCCTGTTGATTGATGTCCATATATCCATCCATCTGTACATGGGACAAGACACGAGACCCGACAAGAGTAGATGGTGGTGCGGGACATTGACACTAACACTCCTCTCTATCTCTGTCTAGCAACTCGAGCTCGGAGTCGGGACATGCGAAACCTGCTTCGACGTCGTCTTTGAAGGCCCAGGACAAAACCCAGAGCCTCGTCCCAAACACTGGTACCACCCCTATACACAGGACTCTTCGGGCGCCATCCACGTGGCCGAGATCACCATCAGCGGCGAATTCCCCGAAGACGATGACACCACGAGGACTGAGCCCCCTAATACAGGGAATCTCCACTTTTCCATCACGTCTGTGGACTCCCGGCCCGTGGACACGCCTCTTGTATTCTCGGTGATCTGGAACCTCGATAAACCGTCGCAGAGACTTGGGGGACTGGTGTACAAGCCAGCCCGGCAGGTCATCGAGTTTGCCGAGCATGACGAGTTTCCAGGTGATCCGCGAGTGCCGCCGCTCATGCCGAACGGGACTTGCGAGCCGGTGAGGGCTGTAAAGCTGATTGGGCAAGGTATGTCCGTCCGGATATTCAAAAGGGGAACCACAGGGCTAATCTTGCGGCAACAGACCAAAAGACCCAGCATGTCAACTTCGCAGTGACCTGTGAAGGCTGCTTCCCGTTCACTGTCAACACTCCTAATTCACTCGTATGTTGCCATCTCATCCCTGACTGATTGAATGTCCCAGTTGGAGGTCAAGTATAGCCTGGCCGCCTCTGCATGTTCCTCCAGAATCTCAGGGCAACAGACTGGCGACTGACGACAACCACAGATCTTCTCACTCCAACCCCAACCGCAAACCCAACGCGACCACTTCACCTTTATCATCAACGGCAAAACGCAGTCACTCTCAGACCAGGGCTGGGGCATCGTCTACGAAGGGGGCTCGAGAATGCAGGTCCAAGCACCCGACGAATTCGACGTGATGCACACCCTCGTCATGCTCCTGAGGGCCCGCCACGTGGTGGTCGAGGGAGAATACAGCGAGCTCGGATCCATCGACGCCGTCGAGACGTTCCGCGTCGACTTCTTCATTACCTTGATCGACGGACACCCGCCAGTCGAGCAGATCAGTTTCGCCGCCGAATGGGACGTGCTGCATAAAGTTGACAAGCACATCCCGCGGTGGGAGAGCTTGGTCATGGGGCCGATGCCGATCTGGTTCCCTCGCCCGAAAGGCCCGCTGATCGATGACGATACCGACGGGCCTCGACGTCCGTTGGGATCGGGGCCCCGAGTTCCTAGTCAAAATGGCCCGAACAGTTTGACGTTCGATGCATTTTTGATGTTTGTGGGCTTTGTAGCAGGTATAGCGATTCCGAGACGCCCGAGACGGCGTGGGTAGCTAGGAGTATAGATTTGTGGTGAGGACCGTTCGTCTTTCCTTTCTGAAGGCACTGTCACCGGGAACCTGTCTCAAGTCAAGCAAGGCAGGATTCTTCGTCGTGGATAGATACCGAATTGTGCGATGGCGGCGTGAGCGGCGCAGGCGTTGCATGAAATTCAAGTCCCTCATGCGCAGAAAGCTGTAGACGATATGAGGACAGGGAGCATGGCGTTCAAACTCATCGAAGATACGGTTCTCATGCTCAAAACGCGGATTGTCCTTGTCTATCGCGCATTTCAGGACGATGTCGTCGGATACTTCAAAGACGTGGGTAGGTACTTGTTCCGAAATTGGCCAAGTACTGTACAACGTAAAAGTCTGAGATTGGCCACGTGATACAATAACAGTCCACGGCGAGATACCACGTGATGGACTATTCGTATGTATATACATACTGGTACTCGCGGAATGGTACTTTGTATCCTGGAGTGCCAGAGTGCCTGGGTGCCTGGAAGAATGCCTGGCGCCCTCGCATCGCAGTGCTGCAGTAAGCGGCTCCAAATTACGATCGCTCCCTCATCCCTGCCCCCCGCACTCAAAAAAACACGAAACACGAAAGAACGTTGCATCCGGGGAAAAAAAAGGAAAAAGTTTCAGCGAGTACAAGATATGATTCATCCAATACCTTATAAACCTTCTCCTCGAGTCTTCTTTCGATTCTCTGCGTATAAGGTAAAACAAAAGTGCACTTCAAAGTCTCCCAAACATGGCTGAATTACACATCTCGTCTACCCTCCCGCTCAAATCGGGCCATAACATCCCGATCCTGGGATTCGGCACCTGCGCCAGCGCAACCTGTACCCAGTCTGCCCTGGTGGCCCTCAACAACTCGTACCGGCACCTCGACACGGCCCAGATCTACAAGAACGAGGCCGAGACGGGCGCCGCCATCGCACAGAGCCAGATCGATCCTTCCGAGCTGTTCGTGTGCTCCAAGCTCTGGGAGGACATGTACTCCCGTGAAGGCGCACTCGCGGGCGTCGAGGCCTCGCTGAAGAAACTCGGCCTCAAGTCCATCGACCTGTATCTGCTGCATACCCCTCGACCAGGACCCCTGGCGAGGAAGGAAGCATGGCTGGGGCTCCAGGACGCGGTAGAGAAAGGCCTAGTCAAGAGCATCGGTGTCTCCAACTGGGCGCCGAAGCACATCGAACAGCTCATGACCGAGCAAGGCGTCTATATCGAACCGGTCTGCAATCAGATCGAACTGCACCCCTGGAACCAACAGCGGCAGCTTGTGTCGTACTGCAAGGCCAAGGGCATCGTGGTGGTGGCGTATTCGCCTCTCACACGGGGACGCCGGCTGAACGACGCGACCATCGTCTCACTCGCCGAGAAGTACGGCAGGTCCCCTGCGCAGATCGTCCTGCGGTGGGGACTGCAGAAAGGCTTGGTCGTCATCCCCAAGAGCGATCGGGAACATCGAATCATCGAGAACAAAGGGATTTTCGGCTGGGAGATTTCCAAAGAGGATGTCGAAGTAATTGACGGGCTCGATGAGGGACAGAAGGCGAATCTAGGAGAGTGGGATCCATATGCCTGGGATTGATTTGCCGACAGACTGTCCAATCCAGACCGTTGTAGCGATTCCGCCTCCAGTCTGTTTTGTCTCGCAAGGAGTTGTCAATCGCCCACCTCAGCATATCATCGTCCTGAGTCGCGGCCCTGTAATATTTGCTATACTTCTCGTCCAAGCGCCTGACTAACAGTGCAGATCGCTCAGTTTGGGAATCTTGGATGAACCTCTTGTGGCACTTCCGTCTTCGAACATGTAAGAATTCGCTGGCGGTGCCCCTGAATCAAGTGATTGAGTCTGGTGATGGCCCTCGGAGCATTGTGCATTTTGCAGGCGGAGACGGCGACTGCGAAGGTCGAGAGAGTTTCGTCCGTGGCGACGAATCTTCTGCCTGCTCGTCTCTCGTTCTGTAGCTCAGCAACGGTACCCGGTCATGACATACAAAGGCCGGCCTAGGTCCAATGGGACTTTGCTTCAACCCTTGCTCGACTGCCTGCAGGAAACACACAGCCTCTGGAATCCAAGGCACCACGACGCCGGCTTGCGGTTTGAGCCAAAGCTAAGTCCACAAGCTGAGTGTTTGCCTTGGGTGTCTGCTCCCGCCTAGTATTGCAGCATTGCCGTTCCTCGGATATATGGCGTGGCCAAGGAAAGATGCTCTGACTTTTGGACAAGAAGCGATTGCTGCTATTACTCCCCAGTTAATTCACCCTTGATATTCTTCGCACTCTCCTTCTTCGTCCCGTCGTGCTACTTTTCGGGGGCCTGCCTTTTGACGTAAAAGAACCGCCCCATCTTTCTACTCTCTGCGCCCTCTCCGAGTGCCCAGGGATCCTCAACCTTACTCCACGGCAACGGGTCCTCCTCCCACGGTTGACTGTCCGTCGTGAAACTTGTGACCTGATACGTATCTCTCCTTCTCCTGATCGTGCCGTTCTTGCCCTTCTTCTCCTCGAGCGCGAGAAACTCAGCTAGGGTCGATCGGGTAATAGTGCGTTCTTGCCTGTGTTCAGAGGTTTCGTCGCGGATGGCCACAAGAGGTTCGATCCCTGTTGTGTCGACCTTTTGGATTTCCTTGACGAAGTGGACTTGATCGCGCAGGTCCTGGAGCATTTGACCTTCTTCGGCCTTGGACTTGGGAAGAGGTAGTGCGGAGAGGCGGAGGAGGTGGTGGAGTTTGTCACGCGTTATCTCTTTCGAGCCCGCTGGAGACTCATCTTTCAACGGTGTCTGTGCTTCCGATGAAGTCCCGTCTGTCGTGGTAGCAGAGTCTGTCTTTCTAAGTCGCCGCGACGATGTGGGCAATAGCTGAGACACAGACCACGTAGGCTTCTCGAGAAGTGATTCAATTTCTGGGGAGATGTCGATTTTCTTGACGAGCCTCAATTCCTTTTCGCGAGCTGGGCTGGTAATAGGTCCGGACAAAGCGGTGCGGATGTTGAACGCTTGTCGCGGAATTCTAGGCATCTCGAAAGGGAGAGGCAGATCGTCCAGAGTTTCCTCTATGCCATGGATGTGGTTGTTCTCTGCTAGCTGCTGAAAGTAAACATTGACGGCGCAGTTGCAAAGACCTTGAGAGACGGTTAAAGCGGCATGGTGACGTCTTCTACAGGCCAAGTTCCTCGACCGCTTTGGCGGGGCTTCGTCGTGTTTGGACAGTTGGACGCAACACCATTTATCAACTGGGTATTGTTCCAGAAGCCACCTATATTTGCAGTTATTGATCTCGAAGACTGTGCCTCCTATCACCTGCGTACTGTCCAGGACAACCGCAGAGTCCTGAGTAACCCTACACCTCGCACATAACTTCCCTCCTTTGTGACCGTCCTTCGATCCGACTTCACCCATGGCTCAAGATCCCCGAGTATTACTGCAGAAGGCCGACAAGGCCGCCCAGGGTGCCGGCGGAGGATTCAGTCTATTTGGCGGGCGAGGAGAAAAATGGGAGAACGCTGCGGATCTCTATACACAAGCCGCAAATGCCTTCCGGGTACAGAAGCAGAGTAAGCAAGGCAGCGAAGACATTCCCTTCGTCCTCTTCTAATGTCCTCTGTACAGATCTGGAAGCCGGCAAGGCCTTCGAGAAGGCTGCCTCAATCCAACAATCCAAACTCAATGAGCCCGATGATATGGCCAACACCCTCACCGAAGCCTTCAAGGTCTATCGAAAGGAGTCTCCTCAAGACGCCGCCCGCGTCCTCTCCACCGCCATACAACATTACACCGCAAAGGGTAACTTCCGCCGCGCGGCCACACATCAACAAAACCTTGCCGAAGTGTATGAGACGGAAATCGGGGATCAGAAAAAAGCCCTGGAGGCGTATGACACTGCTGCGCAATGGTACGAGAGCGACAACGCCGAGGCATTGGCGAATAAATTGTATTTGAAAGTGGCGGACCTGGCGGCACTGGAAGGCGACTACCAGAACGCAATCGGCAAACTCGAAGCCGTGGCCAAGTCGAGTCTGAACAACAACCTGATGCGCTGGAGCGTCAAGGACTACTTTCTCAAAGCCGGCATATGCTATCTCGCCGCGGGTGATCAGGTGGCCACCAAGAGAGCGTTGGAGCACTATCGCGAGTTGGACGGCAGCTTTGCAAGCACGAGGGAGAACATGCTCCTGACGGACCTGGTGGGGTGCGTTGAGGAAGGGGACCAAGAAGGGTTTTCCGACAAGCTGTTCCAGTTCGATTCACTCAGCAAGCTGGATAAGTGGAAGACGACGCTGCTTTTGAGAGTCAAGAATGCGATTGAGAAGGAAGAGGAAGATTTCTCATAGATGTTGCACGCAACCAAGGGGGAGGGAAGGAGAGAGGCGCGGAGGTATAGGCCATACGAATTTCAAGGAGCCGGCGTCAATGGCGTTTTCTTCGTGGAAGAATAAGACTCGATCTAGCTGTGTATCGGCTCGCTCCTGTTTCATCTGGAGACTCATCGTCCCATTGATATACCTCACTCTAGGTATCCTCTCCTGTGTCTCTCTCTCTCTGTGTGTGTGTTATATACGAGAGACTACCCACACCGGTACACCGACATCACACTGCACTATCCTATCCTTCCTACGGCCATGACTATCAATGAAGCCCGTCAGATAGATAGTTGGATGAGATGTGCCAGCTATATACACACACGTGCAGACGAGGATGCCAGTCCAAGTTGGCCCTTTGGACTTCTACTCTCCGTATCCAGACATCCTCTATAGATGAACCCGCCAAGTCCTCGGTATTCGTACATACGTACGCACGAGTACTTCTTGCCCAAAACGCATGTTCGTCTTGCTTGTGCATGTGACTGATCTCTTGACGGAGTGGAATAGGTAATAGACGAGAGGCAGACAAATGTCCTGTACTGTATCTATCTATCCATCTATATATCTATCGATGATATTGATAAATCCAGGTCATGGCATGACATGCACTTACTTCATGTTCCCTTTTTATCAGGTTCCAGATTCTAGGTTCCATCACATCAAATATATCAAATATCAAATATCAAGTACCAAGTATCAAGTATCAAGTATCATGTATCAAGACACCAGTTGCCATGCGAGCATGCCATGCATAATGTATCGTGTATCGTGAGACACGTCTTTTTTAGTCTTGGCCTCTTTATACAGAGAGACAGAGATATCCCAATCTCGTCCGCCAAACAAATGCGCAGTCCAGTCCAGTCCAGCCCAGCAACTGGTGATGGGATCCTCTTCGCAGGTAGATTTGCGGATAAAAACACAAACGCTGGTCCTCTAAAAATGCACATATAGTCAAATCCCTTGTGTACACTGTCGCTCTTCCGTCATGGGTAGCTGCTGCGTGACTTTCCGTTTTAACACCAGGTGAAGAAGGGTTTCTTGCTCTTCACGGTTTCAAGCCTCTCCACAATTACTTTCCGTCGGTGTGTCGAGTCCATATCACTTGCTGCGGCATATCCTAGATCTCCCTCATCGACATCATCGCCCTCATAAACGATGCTCGGGATGGTTTTGGCTTTGTGTCCCCCGTGGCCACTCCTTGTTGACATCGACCGTTGCCTTCGCGTGGAGCTGTTTTTCGAGGAGACGGTATTGCTGGCTGAAGCACCATCGCCGATACGACGGGGGAATTCGAAGCTGAAGCGCGTCTTGCCCTTTGCAGAAGGACGAGTGGGAAGTGTGTGAGCGTTTGGATGATGACCGAGACTGCTGCGAGCTTCTCGAGCAAATTCCAGAGTATCAAAACCAGGAGTAGTACCACCAAATCCGCCATCGTCGCCGGGACCAGGCAAATAGCCAAGATCTGCCGCGCTGTCCTCACGGGTGAGGTCGAAGCGGTTTGGATTGGGTAACTCGTTTGTTGGAGAGCCGAGGAGATCGTATTGTGGTGCTGGATGTCTGCCAGGCGGGGCAGAAGCGTAAGATGCCCCGATGTCCATCTCTTCTTGTTGCTGGTACTGGCGTGCTGCGCGGCGGTTCATCTCGGTAGACGGCACACGCATTGGTATTGCCACAGGAACATCTACCAGATCGTCCCAGACACATACTCTGGCTCGCCTGGTGAGCTCCAGAGGACCGTGATCCTCCTGCTTCAAGGTCTCCACGACGTTCCAGGCTTGGCCCTTCATCACCGCAATTTGACGGGCAAACATGCTTTCCTTGAAATCGGCATCCAGTGAAAAGACCCTCCGTAGGGCGAGTTGGGTTTCGCTCCACCATGCGGTTGATGTCAGGAGAGGGAGGAAATGTTCACGAGTTCTCTTTGAAAATGGTTGTCCGATCAAAGAGACAGGCAAGAACAGCCAACCGAATGGAAAACTTCGCCACTGGAACATGGATTAGCATCAGCCATGGGCGAGTCATGGATATACATACAGCATCTGGATGTTTCCAGGGCCATGACAGACTATTGTCAATGGCCCCGATGGTGATGGAACACTGCATCTCCTGGGCATTCGAAGGGGTTCCTGATCGACTCTCCATCGCCTCATACCGTTTGTATGGCCTTGAAGTGTTCGACTCCGGTCGCTGCGGATTGATGTTGGGGCTTACTGATGCCGGTCGCTGGTGAGCATCCCCGTTCTCTGGGGTGCCGTTCTGTTTGGGCGGTTCGGCCACGATCGAGACTTGTTCCTTTTTCCAGTCGATTTTGATCATCCAGTTGTCGAGGCCTCTGTCAGTGTTACGCATGATGTAATCAAGAATGACCAACTTCTCCAGTTCCTCCCGGAACGCCTGCCGTATGGTAGGCGTCCAATGAAACTTGGGCGCCTCCTCTGATGGCGGAGGGGAGACTACTCGAGGGGCTTCTTCGTCATCGTCCTCGTCGTCAGAGCCTCGGCTACCGGGAAGACAATGGCTCAAAGGCCTTCTCTTTCGTGTGTGTTCCATATCAGCTCGGAATTCAGTAGCTTGGTCCGGCCAGGGGTTCTCGCGCAGGAAAAGATTGGCATCTCTGAATCCTTTCAAGAAGACCTGAAAACTACCAGGCTTTTCTGGTAGACTTTTCTTCCCACCCCAGGTGCTTCTCCTTTCCCAGAAGTCGTAATAGAAGACCTTGGAGGATAGCCAGACGACATCGGTGTAGGGAACAATATACGTCCTCAACTGGGAATCCAAAACATATGCCGCAGCCTCGGACACATAGGACAGATTGGGGATCAGGCACGCGCGGCCGAACGCAAAAGGCAGGAGATTTCTGTGAAGCCATTTTGTCCACTTGGGGTTCCTCGAGGCATACGGCTCTTCATCCTTGGGTTTGAAGACGCCAACAACTTTGCCTTCACTGTTGCGGGCGAAATAGCTGCCTGAGCTACCTTGCGAAATCATTTTGGGATGTGTCCCAACCTCGATCGCGACTCTGACGCTTTCCACAATATCCTCGAATTGTTGTTTGGTCATTCTTTGGGTTTCGGCAGCGGTATAAGCAGCCAGATCGGCGGCGGTGTAAGGGTGTACGCCGGGGGGAGCCTGGAAGACAGAATGGTGTATCTCTAGTTGTTCCTCCTCCTGAGTCTTGCCCTTGACGGAGCTGATTTTGAATTTGGATGCGATCTCTTCTGCCCATCTCTCCAGCCGTGCGTTGATGGCTTTAATATCCACGCCCGAGGAGTTGCTTCGTACTCGCCTCATGGAACGTCTGCGGTGATCGTGGTGAGCGCCGGAGCGCATCGACTCTCGCGGACCCGGTTGAATCGAGGCATACCGGGTTGTGAGGGGTGAGGATGAGTATATCTCGTCTCCCGAATCTTCGTCTCCCAACGGGCCGTCATCCTCATCGGCCTGCGCCAGGCGAGCGTAGCCAGAGGTCGGTCGCTGTCGAGGCATTATTTGTTGTCACCTCCCAGCAGAAGAGAGAGAAGAGGACAAGGTGTGGATGGTACGACGAAGACTCTCACATGCTGACGGCTGCGATGCTATGGGCAAAGTGTTATCGGTACCACAAGCACTCGAGCAGTCGGCATAGAATGATTTTTCGAGCCACGTTCCTCGAAACTTGGTTTGAAAGGGCCAGAAACGCGGAGGTGGTGAGCCGGATTTGTTTAACGAACAAAGTGCTTAGGTAGGCTTGGTGGGATAGGGTGCGATGACTGCGCCAATCATTTTGTGCAGCCTTTGCATTATTATTTTACTTGTACTCGGTACAGAGGTCCTCAGAGGAATCATTGGGCACTCGACCGCAACGACTAGGTACTCGGATGCCTAATCTTCCCTGTGACGGCACTCTATCTTCTGCTTCCCTGTCGGAGGGGAAGGGCAACATTGTGCAGCTAAGTAATAACAGGCAATCCATTGTCCAGATCGCAACCCATGACAGCCACTAATCCCCGGTTCTAATGTCCCCTTTGCAACTACCGTGAAGTCCTGATCGACGGCGACAATGCATACCACCGGACGTTAGACGCAGACCTATACCTCGTCGGCCCCTCGTCTTACAATACAGACTGCTAATGTCCGTGGGATCGTCCCAGATAACATAGCTAGATCTCCGGATATCGATTTTCTTTCTCTTAAAGCTCCGCGATCCTCCCTCGCCTTATCAGCCACGCGCCTGAAGACGAGTATTCAAGCCTCACCAGCCACAACTATACCCTATCAGTCCAAGCAGTTGGAACCCTCATCGAACCTTACGCGAAGGGTTGCCGTTAATCTCGGACTGCGGGGCCTTTGATCGACAGTTATTCTCTCTTTTGACGCGTGACATTGCTAGAACAGACAAGGAACCACAATAGGAGACGGTTGGATCCTTCTGTACCACGCGCATGGCAGTTGTAAAGTGGATCGAGTTTCACCCTCGTAGTGGCCGCCAGAAGGGTCTTGATTTGGGCGCCCTGGCCGGCGAGCCGCGCATCTTGAGCCGTGGAGCGGTAGCTTTTCTCAGATCACCCTGCAGGCTGCAGGCAGTTTTGACGAGCTATTGATGTCCGCCTGCACATCAGTCCGTCAGAAAAGACTCTGAGCGGCTATTTCACCCTCGTCCAAATTCGAGAACTGGTTGTTTGGAAGCGGCTGGAGGCGCGATAGGAGAAAAAGGGGCACTTCGGAAGCCGGTGCCTCCACCGTGAGATTGGACAATCTCCTGCACCTTTCCCCAGATTTGCTAACGCGCCGAATCAGCGCCACGCTGCTCTGCTACGAGTGTGTCGCCCCCGAGCCTGCATGAAGCTCGATTCGAAAGAACTACTCCAGACTGTGCATTTCACACAATAGGGCTCCGGTTGTCGTGTAACGGACAACGAGACACGAGTAACACTTTCTGCCGATCCTTGTCCGGCGGCCTTTGCACTGACCTGGGAGGAGAGCTCATCTCAACAGAAGCGTTTACGGTCAAGACAAGGCGCAATTAGACATACTGTTAGGCTTCTCGGCGGGACCAATATTGTCCTCGCGGACCAGGATCCCCTCGATATGGGACCTCCACCCCTGACTCTGAGATTGTATTGGGTGAAGCAAAATACTCCAAGGTTCCCGTCTATCGATAGACGTGCTTTTCAGTCCTGCGATAACACATCCTCTGCCTTTATAACTTTTGATATATCGTCGTCGCTGACCGCATTGTAACAAGATACCTGTTGCATCTTTCTGCTGGAACCCAAACATAACCTCAATCCCTCACGGTCGCTTTTCACAGGCGTCCCTTTTCACACCGAACCAGTTCCGACGAGACCACGGTTTGGTCTCAAACACCACTGATCACGGCGTCCGCAGTTGCTCCCCCGCTCTTCCGGGCCTCTGTCCTCGACCCTATCTACCGCCAACCATCAACGCCCTTGAGTGACCCTCGGCTGGAAGAATATGGCTCTCTGAGACGAGATCCACAGCGAAGCAGCTCACCTTTACCGCCTCCGGCAGTGCACGGGAAGGATATTTCGCGTCCGTCATCAACCAATCTTCCGTACACAGGCAGTCACTTCTTCAATCAACCACAGTTCCATGCGAGAAGTGTGAGCTTCAATCTCGGGCGGGACTATCACTCCGAACCACGACCGGCACTGCCAGGATTGTCGGCACTGACATCCCTGGCAGCGGCTGCACCACCGCCACCACCAACTGTCAGGTATGCCCAAGATGGAACGTTGGAAGACGCGGAGTGGAAAAAAGCCGGGCATAAAGCTGACACACGGGCCACAGGTCATTTTCGGGCAGCAGCTATGGTTCACAATTGAGTTATTCGGGTACAATGGCACCTGTGCCAACGCCTGGAATTGCAGGCAATGCTCCAGTAAGTGTTTTTCTTTGTGTTACCTTGTGTTTGTCTGGTGTCTCAGCCTGAAGCGCGGATTGATGCCAAGGCTGCATTGTGGCTGGCGCCGGTTTTCCTGTCGGTCGGTCACGGGGTTAAACTTCGGTTTCTTATCGTTATCGAAACCTGCGATTCCTGGGATTCGATCACCACCCAAAATATCATGGCTGCTTCAATATCCTCAGGTGCTGACCAGAATGCCCCCTTTACGCAGCCTGTTTGTCAAAACTGCCAAACGTCAACGACACCCTTATGGCGCCGCGATGAAGCCGGATCCGTCCTCTGCAATGCCTGCGGCTTGTTCCTCAAGTTGCATGGCCGCCCGCGACCCATCAGCCTCAAGACCGACGTGATAAAGAGTCGCAATCGAGTCAAGACCTCAAGTCAAGGTCCGAAGAAGAAGGTTAGTCATCTTCTGTCGTTTCCCGACTGCTAGATCTGCTTCTGACACTGTAGCGCAGTTTGACCAGAATGGGAACCAGCCGCCCCAGACCGACAGTCCGAACGGCATCAATCCTCATCGACGGGTGTCACAGATGGCAGCTTCCGTCGCCTCTGATAGATCGCATTCTCCCATATCACGAACCGGAACCCCTGCGGGTCATCACGACCCAAATATCGCTCCTCAACACGTCTTCGATGGGATATCTGCCACCGGGGATTCGCACTACAACCATCACAACAACGGATCGCCAACCGACCAGTCTCTCAATCCACACGCCGCGCAACCCTCTCCCAGTGCAGCCTCGATGCACAACAGTCAAAATGCCGAATCGTCTATGAGTTACGAACAACTAGCTGCCCTCAACACGCGCCTGCGCACGCGAGTCTCCGAGTTGGAGGTCATCAACATGGTCTATCACGATAACGAACAGAATCTGTGCCGGGAACGGGACAGGGCCATCCAAGAGCGCGAAGAATGGAAACACAAGGCTGAAGAGCTGCAGCGAAGGCTCCAAGAGATTAACGACCAAGGACACATTGCGAAGAAGCCACGACTCTCACAAGAACCTAAAGAATGAATCACCGGTTACGAGCCACAACACTTTTTGGAGAGGTAAACGACCAAGTGTTTTGCTCTCGGGTATGATGCGTGGAGCAGTGCTCTACTTTCCACTTCATGGTTTGTGTTCTGTCAGTGATACCCAGATGAACGAATTTTCTTCTCTTGTCAATCTGACTTGCGGTGGGATGGGAGGTCCGTAATATGGTGAAATGATGGCAGGTGGGAGTTCCACATTAATGGCCGAGGGGGGGCGCATATTACGCTGAGATGGGTCGGGCTGGCCACCAATGCGACGGCGTTTGGGAGAATTGGGAAAACCGAAAAAAGCCCTGTGGCGCCACCTGGAGGATTATTGACCGTTAGCACCTCGCGCAGGGCGAGTGGGATCATGGTCATGGGCATGATGAAGATTGACATGGAGATATGCGGGAGGGGCCGGTCACAAAAGTTTTGGATTGCTGGAATGACTGACCACTGCTATTCCGGAGGCATATTTTGTCGATAATTTAATGTCAGAGGACGGGGAAGTGCTTGAACACATGGACCGTGACCTTGCCTAATCACAATCACAAAGTCAAGTTCAAACGCCCAACCTTTTGTCTCCCACCATGTGTACAAGTTCTGGCAAGTAGGAAACGGAATGTCAATGGATCTGCCCCTTTTTCGTCTTGGCTTCCAGCCGATTTGTTTCTCATCTTCGCGGCCCGGCACCAACGCAGTCATTCGCCAAGTTGTCCTCGCGAATCTGTTCGTCATGGAGCCAGCCTCGAATGAATGGTGGTATATCAAAAGTCCTTTAGTGCGCAGGTCTTGCCGCATTCAGCATACACTAGGCACTAGGTCCTGATGGGCAAGAGCTTCCATATACGGGGCAGCCCAGACGCTGATGAAGAGTCTGGCATCATTATGATTCACTTGCGCTGTCACGATACCTATGGTGGCAGTGGCCAGCAGAAGAAAGATTAGGGATCACCTCGGCACATACAAGTACCTCCACGGTGTTGATATCCAATCATGCTTGGGACATTGTTATTGGTCAGCAGCAAGCCACAACGATGGGTATCGAGGTGCTAGGCGGACCCAGCTCTGCCCGTCTAGAGCATTGAATGTATCAGCGACCCTCGTATCCCAGCCAAGCGATGCGATGCACAACAGGGGATCACCAAATGATACCAATGTTCAACGTCGTTCTGGACGACATTCGGACGGAACCTGAGGCATCGGAATTCCTCCGACGCCCCGAAATTCGGAACCCCGCATTACAAGGCCCCACTATCTCCATGAGACTTGGCAACTTTTGGCTGTTTGCTGGTTTAGCCGTCCCCATTTGGTAAAGGGAAGCCAGCAGCCCAGCTTGTCCCGGGTCGATGTGTCTTAGCAGGTCTGCGATCTGACGACACCAGAGGATACGACCAGGACTACCTAGGTATAAAGCCAAGGGGGGCTAATGGTCGAGGATCGTCTCCACCTTTTTTCCTTCTCCAAGACCCAGTAGTCCGTGTCTACAATATCTCGTCTCCTTCATCTCCGTCTTCCCTCCAGCCACCTCCGGGGTGAAGTCCTGATTGACCTCAATCACACGGCAATATATACTGGGTTCCGCTGCTTGCTGCCTTGAACATTCTGATCTCATTCTCTACGAGGACTGCGGACTACGGTAGATGGGAAAGCGACACTTACTGGCTCGGGCAAACTCACCTGCTGCAACATGGTGGACATGGGTTCCGTTGTCCCGGTTTCGCCTCTCCGTCTTCCTAAATCATTCAACTTTGCCAGCGATGTCGTCGACTATTGGGCCAGGAAGGATCCCTCGCTGGTAGCCCTCTACTGGACCGATCAGTCACTCAGCGCGGTACGGCGATTGACCTACAGGCATTTCTCGCGCCAGTCGCAACGCATAGCATGCCTTTTGGCATCCTTGGGCATTAAGCAGGGCGAAATAGCCATCATAATCGCGCCACGAGTCCCTGAATGGTGGGAGATTGCGACAGCCTGTCTCCGCTCTGGGGTCATCTTGTGCCCGTGCACGACGCTGTTGGTGGACAAGGACATAGAGTACCGCCTCCAAGTCTCTCGCGCTGCTGCGTTTATCGGAGATGCCGCGTCGGTGGCCAAGTGCCTCAAGGTCCGTGGTGGTTGTGCCGATCTGCGCACCATCATCCAAATAGATGGAAAGGCGCCTTCAGGGGTCGTTGACTTCTATTCGGCACTGAACAAAATCCCCTTCGACGCCACATTTGCCGTCCCCAGGTCTCTAGGCCCAAAGTCTCCAGGCATGATATTCTTTACTTCCGGCACCACAGGGCCGCCAAAAATGGTTCTGCACACGCAGACATCATATCCCCTCGCGCACGCCCTCACCGGGATTCACTGGCTGGATCTGTCGCCCGGCAAGATATACTGGGCCCTCTCGGAACAAGGCTGGGCTAAAGCTGCATGGTCATGGTTATCTACGTGGAATTGCGGCGCCACAGTCTTCATCCACGATGACAGATTGGCTTTCAATCCGCGTCGGACCATCGAGGTCTTGCATCGGTTCCCCATCACGACATTCTGCGCTCCGCCGACGGTATACCGACAACTTGTTCTTGACGAGAGCCGGCGCTTTTTCGCCACGGAGCATGGCACGCCACAGGCACTGCTCCACTGTTGCGGCGCAGGCGAGCCTCTCAACGAGAGCGTGGTCCGCATCTGGAAGGAGATGACGGGCGGCATCGAGATTTTCGACGGCTACGGACAAACCGAGACGATCGTCGTCTGCGCGAACCAGAAAGTCAACAAGGTCAAGCCGGGCAGCATGGGGAAGCCACTCCCCGGCGTGCCTCTGACCATCATCGATCCTGAAGGAAATCCCGTGGCATCCGGAACCGAAGGAGACATTGGCATTGCGGTGGCGAATACGAGGAGCGACTCAGATTTCTTCGGGTTCTTCGAGGGATACATCGACAAGTCTACCGGGGTGCTCGACACAAAGATCAAGACGTATCCCAATGGCAAGAAGTTCTTTGTCACGGGCGACCGTGCGACGAGAGACGAGGACGGATATTTCTGGTTCGTGGGCCGAGCTGATGATGTGATCAACTCGAGCGGATACAGGATAGGTGAGTTGCCCGATCCAGTCTCACTGGAACGCTTTCCTTTTTTTCTTCCCGAGCACACAGAGACGCTGTGGGGTCTGATGAGGAGCGTGTCTCATATATATGAGCCTGGAACGACCGCGAAGGCGAACTTCCTGCGCCTCTCACCTGGAAAGAGCGCACTGTCCTTTTTCTGGTGTGCTGTCAACCACATCAATAAAGACACCCTCGAGTCGCTACAATGAACTCCCCACTGACTGACTGGTGTTTTACTCACAGGCCCCTTCGAGGTCGAATCAACCCTCAAGCTGCACCCAGCGGTGGTCGAATCCGCCGTCGTGGCCTCTCCAGACCCGCAACGCGACGAAGTCGTCAAAGCCTTCATTGTGCTCACCGAATCCGCCGCGGCCAAGGCTAAAGCGTCCCGGGCGGCTAGCGACGCGCTGGTCAAGGAGATCCAGGACTTTTGCAAGCAGAACGCTGCGCCGTACAAGTACCCGCGGCGGATCGAGTTCGTCGACGCCTCTTTCTTGCCCAAGACCATTTCTGGCAAGATCAAGCGGGCGGAGCTGAAGGCGCTCGAGAGGAGGAGGGCGAAACAGGCTGCTAAGTTGTAGGGACCGCTTCACCATCATCGGGGGAGTGTGTGGTCCTTGCGGCGACGGAGGCGGAAGAGTTCATGCTATCCTCGAGGAGGAGGTTGAGGTGTCGAGTGGAGTGGTAAGTATACCCGCCTGTCCGCCCGTCCGCCTGTTAAGGAGTGAATTGTGTCTCAATTCGTGGCTCTGACTAATGAGACTACATTAGTGCAGGATATCCGAATATTCAACAAACGAGAGCCTTGGACGAATTGGAGTGAGAGGCGACCGTGTAATGGATTCACAGAGGTGTTGGCGCGCAGTTTGATCGATATAATGTAGATACATGCGCATTGGAGTCGCGCTGAGCCGACGGGGAAGATCACTGGCACTCCTGGAGCTTGGTCTGTCGACAAGTTTTAAAGAATGATCAACTGGTCATTTCAGAGACTTGTTTGCCGCCGGACGGTACAGATTTATCGGTTGATCCTCGCTCGGTCTTTCATGCTCAGGCGCCAAAAGAGTTGCAAATCCACCAGGAAAACCAGTACAGAGCCGAACAGTTGCGCCATCTAATATGGTCAGGGATGGACAGAATTGACGAGACTTTGGTGCAGAGCACCAAACAGTTCGTATATAGCATAGCAATAGCGTTGTCCGTCCATATCAGGTGGGACGCATGTGAGGCTTGTGTGAAAATGCACTGCCGGGATGATATGGCGCGAACACCAACCAGGGCATTGTTAGCTCACCTCACCTTATATGGTTACGGTTAATACCTCGCAACCAAGGAGGTTCACCGCGCAGTCGAATCAATCATTTAAGTATGAAGACATGGTGATACGCCTGCTACAGGTGATGTCATCCTCCGAGATTAGGCAAATGAGGCAAACGAAGCAAACAGAACAAACATGCAAAAAACACCAAAGTTCCTTCGTCACCATCACCATGAGAAGAGAGCAGACGTGTGCTGAGAACTGTAGACGTAAAAGGTCTCAGACATGCTATGCCATGATATAGCGCTCGAACCAGACCCCCGGCTCTTCACAAGATGACCATCATGGAGGCCTCTTCTTCTTCAGTTGACTCGACCCTCTTCCCTCTGTGCACGTTTCTCCTCAGCGTCTACACCCTGGGCGTCTCAGCCGATGTCTTCGTCTCCTCCACCGCGCGCTTGGCCCACCGTCTGCACGTCTCCGAGACGCTCATGTCGCTCCTCACCGCCGGCGCCGAGTGGGAAGAACTCGCCGTCGTGATCGCCGCCGTCGCCCAGCACCAACCTAAGCTCGCGTTGGGGAACGTCCTGGGGAGCTGCGTCGCGAACGTTCTCGGTGCGTTCTCACTGGGCGTCTTGGCCCAGAGGGAGGTTGTCGTCCAGTACGATGTGAGCGCGAAGATCTACGCCGTTGTCTTGTTCGGCGTCACCACCGGCGTGGCCGTGCTTTGGGGCTTTGGCCAGCTCGAGGGCCACGTCTACGGGGCCATCCTGGTGGTGGCGTTCGCGTCGTATCTAGTTGGTATTGGGTGGTCTATCTATCGGGGCGTCTTGGAGGCGCCTGAGGAATCTGATGCAGAGTCTGATGCAGAGTCTGATGCCGATAGTGTGGACTCTGGAGACGATAGAGGTCCAGAGGATCCTCGGCACGGCGTCTCTCGCGACGACCATTCGGGGGACGAGGAAGTCGACGAGTCAACTACCCTGGTAGGGCGAAGGAGGACGCGGCCGTCCACTCTTTCTCATTTAGTCAAGCTGATCCTCGCCTTCGTCACCCTCTCGATCAGCGGCTATGTCCTCTCACACTCCTCCCAGTCACTGGCGGCGAGGTTCAACATCTCCCAGACCGTATTCGGAGCCACCCTCCTCTCCCTGGCCACTACTCTGCCAGAGAAGTTTGTCGCCGTCATCAGCGGTCACCGAGGCCACCCAGGAATGTAAGTTCATCACTATCACACCTCCATCCCTCTCTCGTCACACCGGGCCGTGAAACGTGAAACCCGGGCATCTGAACCCGCTAGCAATGTCTCCCCCTCCAAAGGTTTACGGTTTACATCACTCTGTCATATTCTGCAAAACATACATAACTAGGTGTTCGAGCACACTAACGAGAACCTCCTACAGCACGGTAGCAAACACTGTAGGAAGCAACATCTTCCTGCTGACCCTGTGCCTCGGCGTGACCATCCTGAGCTCAAAGAGTCTGGCCCAGGGTTCGAGCTACACCAACGAGATCGTGTGGACCTGGACGACGTCGGCATTTTTGACCGTCATGATCATGCTCGGCACGCACTGGTTGGTCGGTCTGGCCATGCTTCTCGCATATGTGGCGTTTATAGTCCTTGAATTTACACTGTACAAGCCTTGAACGAAGGAGCAGAAGAAAAAAAACCAGCGCCGCTCTAATAATTTCCCAAAAACTCTCTCGCGTTCTTTTCTTTCATGTCGTTCTTCTAGACAGGGACACCGACAATCTCCTCACCCTCCTTGCCGTCGGGGACTAGATCGCCGTAGACGGTGATGGGTATTACTACCTCAAAGGTGTCGCATTCCAGATTCTCAGCCGCGACATTGACCGTGCCGCGCTCGTCATTGACCACCTCCTCAAGCAGGTCCGCCACAGCCTGTATCTCGCCATCGTCGGTCTCGACTGGCTTGATGGTTCCAAACTCGAAGCGCAGACTCCAGTCGAGATTGACCCCGGAGGTGACGAACGTGGGCGTCGCCGAGGCGGGGATGCTGGGCGCGAACGTCGCGCGTTGCGCGAAGAGGATGTTCTCGGCCCGCGCGGCATAGACCTTCCGCGTGATGCGGTTGATGGTATGGACGGAGCGGACGGCGAGGGACGGGGCGACTTTCTCGCAGGTCTCGAGGGTCGATTTGAGCGAGGCGCAGGGCACTTGGCCCTCGGAGAAGTCGATGACGGCGGTGACCGTCTCGCCGAGCCGGTGGAGCGGGCGATCGATGACGATGACCGCGACTCGCGACCCGTTCCGCGATATCTCGAAGCGGTTCGGGCTCGATTCACTGTCCGAGAGGGAGTTGCTGAAGAGGATGGCGCGGTCGATGGCATGGAGGGCCTTGCCCCGAGCCCCTGCGTCGTGGGTACTCAGAAAGGCTTCCATCGGCCCCGAGCTCGACTGCCGCCGGCGGTTGCGGTCCAGGAGCGTGTCCACGAACTGCAGAAACTCCAAGCTGGACTTCTCGGCCGCCTGCGTGGTCGGGGTTGCCGCTTCTTCGTGGTCGTGTGGTGCAGAAATAGACTTTGTGCGAGCGAGATCGCGTAGAATGACATGAGGTTGCATCAGATCGTGACCGTAGATTTCGCCGTCGTGACTGACTCCCGGGAACACGCGGATGGGGATGCTGACCTGGCGCACCGTGTGCACGTCCCGACTCCCCGGCACGCCCTGCACGCCGACCGTCAGGGTATACGCGATCTTGATAGCCTTGCCGCGGTGGCTGGACGGTAGACCTCGCGGGAGCGGGTAGGTATAGGAGTAGCTCTGCTCCTCGCCGGGCTCGAGGTGCATGTCGACAAACAACAGTGACTGCGGCGTCGAGAGGATGGGGATGGCGCGCGAGCTGGTCACGGCGTGCATCGCCTTGACGCTGCTCATCTCCTCGCCGCCCATGAGGCTGTTCAAGGAACCCCCCAGCGCGTTGAGGTTGAAGTGGCCCAGGAAGCCGCTGTTTGGGCGTGGCTTCTTGACCCCGACCACTCCGCCGCCCGCCTGCCCACCCAGAAACCCTTTGCTTTTCACCTCCTCAAAGTGGGACTGGTCGATCAGCGAGGCGTCCAGCGTGAACGTCGCGCTCAGTTGCGCATAGCCCATCAGGAGATTCACGGCCTGGGGCCGGAGCGGCGGCCTCAGCGGCAGGCGCCGCGGAATCGCGGCAGAAGAGTTGATCCATGTCGGACGGTGTTCTGACACGATCGAAGGTTGCTCCGACACGAGCGTTTCTTGCGAGTGGTTGCTGAGCGAGTAGAAGTCGCCGCTGCTCCTTTCGCTGGCGGGGTCGTGGCCACCACCTCCCGAAGTTCTAGCAGCCTCGCTAGAGTCGATAGGGCTGGGGATTTGCAGGTCATTGGGCTCGTTGTCCGAGTTCTGGCTCTTAGCGGTTTCTGGGGTCGGAATGTGTCTCATGTCGGAAGAGGAATCGCGACTCCCACTAGCCGCTGTGGACAATGGACTTCGTCGACCTCCTCTAGGTGGTGGTTGAAGGCTAGTCGGAGACTCTCGGTGATATTGCTGGCTGGGTCTTCTTTGCGGAGTTATGTGTGGATGAGCTGGGAATGGTCATTCGAACTGTTCCTAGCCCTCGTTCAAGGGCGAAATGAACTAACCATGATGAATCTGCACGGTCGAAGACCGCGAATGAGCTGGCCTTTTGGGCTTCGCTCTGCCCCCAGAGGCACCGTGGTCAACATCCCCCGCGATGGTCGGCGACGTCAGCGAGATTATCGACACAGATCTCTGTTGCTTGTGGCCTGGCCTTTGGGCGGGCTGGTCAGGTCCCTGCTCGTGGCTGTTCGGTCGGCCGTTCTGGCCATTCTGGCTCAGCCTCAGCACAGTACTGGGCTTCGTCGACTGAGCGGCGGCAAGCTGACTGATGCTCTCACGCCTCTGCCGTCGGAGGCTTTGGAAGGACGGTGTCAAGGGCTCGGACGAAGACGCGACATTTCTAAAGGTGATGGTGCATCGGAGCTGCTCGCCCGCAAACACGGATTGATCATGGAAGCGGACGACTACATGGATGTCAGAATGCATACCACGCCCGCGAGGCTGAATGTAGAACAAGGATGAGTGGGTTGGCCTTTGTGAGAGGGAAATGAGCGTTGTGCTCGATATAAAATGGCGGAGAAACAAAGAGCCAGAGTTGAATGTCGTGGGGCCAGCGGCAGAACTCCGGCAATTCGACCCGATGGATCACTTTTGGTTCGCGCAGTTTCTATGTTATCATGGAGATGCGTGAACGTAACATGGTATCATTAGAATTCGTAACATGATATTATACAGGGGGGAGTCGCTTCAGGCGCTCACTCCAACTTGCGCGGCGACCTTCTCAGTCGTCCGCGCCAGACCATTATTGGCATAGAAATCCATGGGATAAGTCCCGTCTCCCTTTTCCCATCCTTGCTGCGCGCCCAGCACCACAAGAGCCTCGTAGGGTGTCAAGAGTGGGCGCGGGAAAGCGTAGCCCCAGTCGATGCTCAGCCTGGGACAGGCTATCTGTACCCAACAGTCCACGTCTTCAAACAGGGCGAGCTTCCCAGGGAATATTTCACTGAGCAAGAGATTGACGTATGGGATGCCCTCTCTATCAAGGTATTTCTCGAGCATTGTCAGGATATGAGGGTTGCCCTGTCTTCCCAATGCCCCGAGTATGAGACCCCATCTCTTGGCTTTCTTTGCGGTGCTGATGGCCGCGGCACGCATGTCCAGCATCTCCTCGTGCGAATATGTTTCTCTGGTCAGTTGTCGAGAGTACGGATCGTATCGATAAGCTGGGATATGGGGGTTTGCGATCATGGCTGCCTCTAGGTGGAAGCGACCGTCGCCCAGGTACAGGATCAGATCAACATTGGCGTCCGGGCTGATCTTGGGCGCAGTACAACCCAGAACTTCGCCCTTGCTCAGCGGCATGATTTGCGGCACCACCAACTTCAGACCTTCAGCCTCGAGGGCCGGCCTGATGGTGTGGAGTGTGGCATTGAACTGGATGGTACCCACCATGGCAATTGTCTTTCCGGGGGGTATGTTTCGAGACAACGTGCTCACAATGTGTTTCGTGTCGATGGAGATGTCAACAAAAATATACAGGGTCGCAATCTTGGTAGCGGAGACCGGTATCAAACAGCTATGAGCGTAGTGGACAAGCAGATCACATCCTAGGGCTCGTGCGGTGTAGTCATCGATACAGCATGCGCCGTACGTGACGTCTCCCATGATCAAGGTCTCTGTGCCGGGGCAGAATTGAGTCAAGATGTCTGAGATGGTTGTGGCAAACATCAGCAATCCTTCGGGAAATTGTAGAGCGACTCTCTTAGCCTCGAGGGTTCTTATGCGATGGATGGTCTTGGGGATCTCAAAGCTGTAATTGTGAGGGAGCAGGGCAATCGCGGCTTGGATATCGGGGTCTTCGAGGATTTCGGAGGGTACCTGGTTCAGGACTCTGGGATTCTTTCGCCGATCTGGTTCACGGTCAGGATGTGTGGTCTGCGAGGGTCGAAGCACGGGGCTTATCCTCATTACCTTGATGAGAGACGGCAGTGGTTTCCTCCACGGAGGAACTCTCGGTCTCACCCCTTCGCTGCCTCGCCTGCGCCTCTGCTGTGCGTCTTCCCACGAACCGTCTCTTGGGTGTTCTGTTACTGGGTACATTTTCATCAGCGGCGGGTGGAAAAGCACCAGGCATGGAGACTCCGTCCATCTTTTGGCTGTTGGCGCCCAACCGCGGGGCTCTTGGGCGAGTGGCTTTTTTGTGGTTGTTGGGCAGAGAATATGAAAAAGTTTGGACAATCTGATGAATGCCACTTTCAACTCCAAATCGTAGCCTTGGGAAATCTGTCTGCGGGGGAACAGCCACCACCACCGTTTAAAGTGCCAGTCTCCACCTGCGTTGAAATCGTCAAATTGTAGCGAATATAAAACGGCATTATTACACACCTGGCCTTTCGGGGATATCAAGCACCCTGGCACCCGAATTGCGCAACTTGTATTAGTCTTCCTGAGACACAAGCTCTGTCCTAGCCCGCCTTCAGATCCCAGGCCAGGCTCCATGACCACCGACTCTCCTCGACAGCCAACATGGTCACGACCTCAGGCTTCAGCCACACGCCGGTCACCCGCCTCCTAATCCTAAGCTCCGTTGGCTTGTCCATCCTCGTGTCCACGCTCTCCATCCAGTACCTCCTACCTGTCCGACCACATCCGCATCTGTGGCCGTACCTGCAGTTCTCCCGCCTCCTGACCTACCAGGTCGCACACACCAGCTCGACCGAGCTGCTGTTCTCCGCCGTCCTGCTATACCAGTTCCGAGTCCTCGAAAGGATATGGGGGAGCCGAAAGTTTGCGAGTTTTGTCGCCGTGGTCTTCTGGTGCAATGTCGTGGTCGTGCCCGCGCTGGTCGTCCTGCTGAAGCTTGTGACCCTGGGCTGGTATAACTACCTCCCGAGCGGGTCGGCCGGGCTGGTGTTTGCCCTGCTGAGCGCATGGGCGGAGGAGGTGCCACGCATATACAGGTACAAGATCGCCACGGGCTCACCGGCCGCGTCGGCGGGCGGCGGACCACCACAAGTGCCGGGTATCATCTTGAGCGACAAGTCCACCACGTACCTGCTGGCGGCGCAGTTGGCGCTCAGCCAGTTTCCCTATTCCCTCCTGCCCGCCGCCGTAGGGTGGACGGTAGGCACGGCGTGGATGGGCGAACTGCTTCCTGGTGGACTGGCCCGATGGAGAATCCCCGCGTGGATGGTTGGTGAATCGAGCAAGAGAAAAGAACGAGACCGGTACGAAGGGCTCAGGCGCCGGTTAGAGGAGGAAGGCAGTTCGGCGGATGGGATGAGGACCGTCAGTGACCGAGTTGGTGCTGGCGGAGCAGAGCAGGAGAGTCAGAGGCGAGGGGGCTTTGGCAGGCAGATCCTGGGATATTTCACGGGATCTTCTTGAGGAACGCCGGTTCTCACGCCTTCGAACATAGACGTAATCTTGCCGGCAGGAAAGCTCTCTCAATAAGAGGCCATCCAGGACCTTTTGAAGGATTGAATTGAAAACGCCGGAAAAGACCAACTTTGCTTGCTTTCGTCTGCACTTGTATCTGCTATGGGGTAGAGGTGTCGAATCTACCACACCTCCTGGACCCCGACAAAATAACGGGCCATGGGGGTTAAAAGCCGCATCACGTATCCTTGCAGGTGAGAGTGCATGTGTGGGCATATGAGGATCAACAAGGCGACTTGGTCAGTGTTCCAGGACATAGAGGTCAAGATGCGGGAAGAGAGAGAGTGTATGTAAAGACAAGAAACGTGCCCTCTCGATAGTCTTCTAATCTATACTAGCAGCAAAGGATATCTCTCTCTACCTATGTAGGTCTCGACCATCTTTCCGTTTTCCTTGCGGGCAGGGAAAGAGTCATAACCAAGTTCCAACTATTGAGCTTGTTGATGAAGGGGCGTCGAGCTCTGGTAAAGGTAGATCCGGAGTATCTCATGGAGACTTGATACTTACCATATGGCCTTGAATGAATTATTCGGTGTAGCGGTCCTTCGAACGCAGTTTAACCTGGCTTGCTGGTAGGCGGACACATTGGCTGAACCAGCTGACTCGCCTGTCATGGTCATGCAATGGCTTCTCTTTTATTCCGTCGTGGAGACATGGCTTGTTATCCTCCCAGAGGAGACTTCTGGTGGTCGAGATAGAGGACTCTCAGATGGGGAGCTGATCCATCTTTATGAATAGGAAGCTGAATTCCGAGATTCCACGAATCGATCTTTCATCCCTCGCCCGAATTCTTAGCTTGATCCTCCAGAGCCTGCTTGTACATCTTCATCGCGACATCCAAACTTTTCGATATAGGTCCCGTCAGCTGTCTGACGACATGTCGTCCGCCTTTGATGGCATTGTGATGGACTTTGTGTCTTTTGCCAGCTCTATCATTTCGTTCGTTTAGCTCTCTCTCCTTTGCTCGGATGATCTCTTGTCTTTCCTTATCCGCATCCTCTGCGATGGCGTTGATGCGCTCATGTGCGCGGTGGAGGCTTTCGACTAGACTGGCCACCTCGTGGGCGCGAGAGGGGTCTCCGGACAAAAAGGCGTTCCAGAACTGTCGTAGAAACTCAACTGTGGTGGCATGAGTGAGGCTGAGTCGGTCGTAGATTGCGGTACTGAGCCCGGAGGCCTCTGGTATGGGGGAAGTCTGGTCACGATGAGCTTGGATGAGAGAGAGCACATGTTTCATCGCAATCGAGGAACCACTTTCCACTCTTGGAGAAGACTCGTCATCCATTTCATCGTCTTCGTCCTCCTCGAATTCGCCGATGGGGATGACACCAACGCCGGGTTGGGAGAAATGCGCGGTGAGGTCGGCGTGCACGCCTTTGATGGCTTTGTCAGGATCGAGATTTCGAAAAGGATCGCTATCAACTACAGAATTTGCACCAGCTTGGGCGGCCTGGCTGTCGGAGAAGAAGCGACTTTGATCACGGATGTTGAGCACGATGCGTTGCTGTTCCGGAGTACCTTCCAGATCGCGCAGCTTAAGCTGTTCGTACGTGGCCTCGGTCATCCCGATGGGGGCAGATGCATCAACATCAGAGGGCTTGACAGCCGCCATGAGCTTCTCGCTTATCGCGTTGAGTTTTCGGATTATGGGCGCCTTATCCAGCGTGGTCGGTCGCAGCTCACTATCAGGTCGATTTCCGTAGCCGAAGTGATTCTCCTCGTTTCCTTCTAGATCGATAAACTTGGGAATATGCATTTCAGTCGCAGTAGGTCGGAGACCAGTGACAAGAGGATGATTCAAATAATAGTCGACATCGATGTATTGGTCACGGGATTCCCTCGTTGGGTCAAATTTGAGTCCTCGAAGTTTCATGAGTAGCTGGCTCTGGAAAAATCTCGACCAGAAATCTTTATCGTCAGGGATCTTGCGGGGTACAAGTTCATCGTAGACGATGCGCATGACGGGGTATTGTTCAAAGATAGCACGAATCTGATCTTGTCTAAGACTCATTCTCCCACCATCATCCTTTTTGATTCCGGCCAGAACGTTGAAGCTGCCTTTTCCTTGACTCTTCGAGAGTGCATGTGCTCGGAGGAGATGCACACGGGAGGACCAAAATTGTGCTCTAAACTGTGCGTCAGATATTGACTCAGGCTTTAGACTGAGTGCTTCCTTGAATGTCTTCTGTAACACGGGATCTTCTTGCATCAAGGACTGCTGAAGCTTTACGTCGGATTTGAGCCGCTCGTCGTCTTCCCAAAGATTGATTGCCCGACCAGAACCGGAAATAGCATTGGCCATGGTCATGGCAGCCGACTGGCCTCCTGAGGAGACTGCCGCGGCATTTTGAGCCGCCTTCTGCGCTTGAATGACATTGGCGAGAGCCTCTTTGATGCCGTTGGCCTCACCCCGTGGATCTTTGGAAGACGTAAACGTGAAGACATGAGCAACAGCTTCAGACTGTCCGGGATCCTGCGCAAATATCTTCAGCATCACCTTGGGATTCGATTCAGGGGTCTGTTGCAGGTTTGTGATATTCGCAGCAGAGAGCACCAGAGTTGGAGCCGCATCTGGTGGCTGGGCTGGAGTCCATGACACGGATTTCCTGTCTTTAGAGATTGATAGGATGCCTGGGTGCTTCTTATATGAGGCCTGCCCCTGCGGAGGAGCCATTCCTTGTGCGCTTATTGCCTCGCTTCCACACGAGCCAGCAAAAGGGACTTATCGATTCGTCGTGTAGACGGAATCGTTTGACAGTGACGGCGGAAGGATGAATTGCATCGCGTTTGCGATCAATGTGGTGTGGGACTGATCCTGACACCCGGAGCTCAGAGGGCTAGGACTTGAAACTTTATCATCAATGCCCGGTGTGCAACAACACAGTCTAGTCGAGTGAAGCGAAGGAGAGGATGACCTTGAAACAAAAGGCACATGGGACTGGCTACACAGGCTCCGACTTCCCAGGGATTGAGAAAGATTGACAGAAGTTGACATCATGACAAACATGCCAAGGCCTCATAAATGCCGCCTTGCTGGCGTCTCGGCATATCCAAATTAGGTAAAGTGGTAAATTACCTCCAGGCACCAGCTGACTACTCACGTGCTACTCAGGACTACACAAAGTCCTCAGCCTCACTTTCTTTGATGTCTCCTAGCCTTGTGACCTGTATCTGGTCCCAATCGTGGTCAATGCGGCGCGTTGGACAGTCCTTCATACAAGGACACACGAATATACTGTCACAACAGCCCTTGATAACCATCAAATGTGGTCTCATGTTGTCTACCATGCTTTCCTCCCCTTGACGTAGGGCCCTTGCCCCCAAGTGTAGCATGGGAGCATGCTACCACAGTACCGCAAGCGAAATCTGATACACTCAATCGATGTTGAAACCAATCTGGCGGGCACGTCAGCTCGTCCACATAAGTTGGGTTTGCCAGAGAAGATTTGCCAGCGCCCAATCCACCAGAATTAACGTCACGCAACCTTTTGAAGAGGAACGACTTCCGTGGTACAGCCCAGATCAGTTTTATCCGGTGCAGATCGGTGAGACACTCGATTCTAGGTACAAAGTGGTGGGCAAGCTTGGGTATGGGGCATACTCTACGACCTGGCTTTGTCGAAATTTGGAGTATGGTGCTCCTTCAGTCCTGCGGCACCTCTGCTGATGGTTCGAACAGCGATCCTGGATTTGCAGCCGTCAAAGTCTGCACTCGAGAAAGTGCCCAATCTACCCGTCTTTACCGAGAACTCCAGTTTTACGAGCACGTCAGCGTTCTCAACTCGCACCACGGTGGTCAAGCTTATATCCGCGGATTACTCGAAACATTCGCCATCAACGGCCCTGCTGGTCAACACTTGTGCCTCGTCCACCCTCCGATGCACATGACTATTCAAGAACTGCAGCTTCAGAATCCATCACATCGTCTCAATGAGCAGATTTTGAAGTGGACTCTAGTTAATTTGTTCCGTGCCCTGTCTTTCCTACATGATGAAGCCAGGGTGATGCACGCAGGTAAATTTACTGAGGGTTATGAACCTCTCCGTCTTTGACTGATAATACGAATTAGATATCAATCTATCAAACGTTATGCTGACAATTGGCGATAAGTCCTTGCTCTCGGACTTTGAAGACGAAGAAAGTCAAGACCCATCGCCCACCAAAGTGATTGATGACGTCCGCACAATCTATGGCTCTCGCCAGCTGGGTCTTCCGAAGACTGGCCTGTGGGGCCAGCCGGTCCTGTGTGACTTTGGAGAAGCTCGAATTGGGGAGTTCCATGGAGGACTCATTCAGCCCGAGTTATATCGTGCTCCTGAAGTGTTATTCAATATGACGTGGAACTCGAGCGTTGATATTTGGAATGTTGCTGTTATGGTAAATGAATTGTCACCTCCAAACCCTTTAGCTACATTCCTGGCTAAGTCTTGTGTCATAGATATGGGATCTGTTCGAAGACCGACACTTATTCCATGCTCTGGACGAGAATGGAGAATCATCAGCAACCCACCATATCGCGGAAATGGTCGGTTATCTGGGCTTCCCGCCTCTTGAGTACCTGCAACGAAGCCAAGTCACACAGAAGGTCTTTGATGAGCAAGGTCGGTATATTTACACTATCGATCGTTCACAGATGAGCCTAACACATTCCAGGCCGCTGGAAGGGAGCCGGAGGGGTCGATATCCCATCACACTCGCTTGAAGAGTCAGAAAACGGCCTGAGTGGTGAAAACAAACAAAGGTTTCTCACATTCGTGAGATCCATGCTTAGATGGGTGCCCGAGGAGAGAAAGGGAGCCACCGAACTGCTCGAAGATCCGTGGTTGAAGAAGGAAATTCCGTGAAAGGTCCTACGGCTAGACAAGTATTACTTTGATGAAGGGCTCCAGCGTCTCTCAGTGTCGACTTACCACCGCCTCACCAGCCAACAATGGAGAGGGCGCCGAACATCGAACTAGCCACGCTGAGGAGCAATACTCATCCTTGGCTGCTCGCTGCTAAGCACATCATCGTGCTGAAGCCGAGGTGGCCTTCTGGGACAACAAGCCCGCCGCGAGCTCTCACGAGTGGATCTCTGACTTTACCTTTGTCATTGGGAATCACGCATCTACCATACCGTCCCCGGTGGACAGACTGCCACAGTCAAGGCGGTGATCAGAAGGTTCCAGTATGCGGGAGAGGCATATGACAACTGAATTGTCGTTTCGACACCCTCTGGGTAAGACAACACCTTGATCGAGATAATTGTGGCGATATATACGGCAGCTGATCGAGTTCCTGATCAATAACGCTTAGCGTCTCTGCAATCGACACACAAATCCTTAAAGATTGCCAAGCACAGAATGTCGAGGACCTGGCGTATGCTTTCGATCCAATCTCATGACACAACCGGGATTTCCGTTCTTATGCGCTCAAGATTATCATAGCTTCTCCGGTGCCTCATCTATTCCTTGTAGTCCTATCGCAGAATTCCCCTCGTAATGGAGTAAGTCCTGTCCATGGAATAGGCTACCTTGCTATGAATATCCGGGTTACGACGGGGGGGCGCCCAAAAGCTTCAGCTTCGGAACTATCCTACCAATAAGGGTTGAGGCGCACGATCCGGAGTATCGAGGTCCCAGTCAAGGACTAGCGACGACCAGACAGGTATATCTATCTCCATATTCCGTCTGAAGCACGACGGAAGACGTACAAGCATCCCCTTCAAGAAGATATTCGTCCACTCTATTTCCACGATGGAAGCAGCAACACCTCACGCAGATGAAAAGGCCGTCCCTAAGCCTGAACCACCGATTCACACCGAAGACTTCAAGGTAACAGCGCATGGCGATGTGCTAGCTGAGGAGGCCCTTGGGGCCAGTGTACAACCTGGATATTTCAGGTCTCCAACATTCTTGGGCACTGTCCTGGTATGTGGTGTATAATACCTAGGCATTGCGTGCCTGACACTAAGGCGCTGCCACAGGCCCAAGCATTGAGTGTGCAAGCGGCATATTTCGGCTGGGTCCTTGCTTCTAACAGCCTCGCTACCATGAATGAAGAGCTTGGACCAAGCGACAGCTACCTTTGGATTCCGCTGGCTTACACTCTCACTCTGGCGACTGGTTATCTTCTCTTCGGACGGCTCTCGGATATATTTGGACGCAGATGGTTTGTCATCTATTCAACCGCCCTTGTTCTCGTTGGTTCTATCGTCGCCTGTACAGCTCAATCGATTTCGGCCTTGATCGTCTCGAATGTCTTCATTGGTCTCGGCGGTGCAGCTCAGTTCTCTTACGGCTGTATATTACCAGAGCTAGTCCCTTGCAAGGCACGAGGACTGGTCAACGGCTTTATCATGGTTTTTTCAATCCCTGGTGCAGCATTCGGTCCAGTCATCGCCAAAGCCCTGATTGTCAGTACCGCAGCAAGGTGGCGGTGGAATTACTACCTAACCATCATCATGCAGGGCGTCGCCATATTACTTTTTTTTCCTGTTCTACCGACCTCCAACATTTAAAATGTTGCATATGAATAGGACACTGAAGGAGAAAGTCATGACACTCGACTTTGGTGGTATCACGCTCTTCCTCGCGGGTATGGTCCTTTTCCTCCTGGGTATCAACTGGGGCGGAAACATCTATCCCTGGAAGTCTGCTGCTGTTATTTCGACCATTATCATCGGATTTTTACTCTTGGTCGCCTTCGTGGTATATGAATCATACGTCCCATCCGACCCGTTTGTTCCCCTGTGGCTCCTCAAGAACACTCAGTTCATGCTGCTGACGGTGATTGCCTGTGTCGGAGGAATGCTATACTATCCCCTCAATATTGTTTGGCCCACAGCGACTGCGGCCCTGTGGACAGATGACCTTATCTACCAGGGCTGGCTTACCATGGCATTCGTAGGTGGCAACACCCTGGGCGACATAGTCTGCTGTGCTATATTTGCACGCATTGGAAGAATCCGCTATCAACTCATGTTTTTCACGACTGTGGTGACAGCCTTGATCGGCTCGCTCGCTTCGACAACCCAACATTCTAAGGACCGGAGCATGGTCCTTGTCACCCTGGGAACAATCGCCTGCGGCTGTGTGGAAATGATTCCCATCACCTCCATCACTTTCACCGTCCAACCCGAAGACATTGGGATGGCGATAGGAACTCAAGGTGCCATCAGGTCGCCGTCGGTTCGATCGCCGTCGCCATGTATGGGTCTGTTCTCTCAAGCAGAAATACTGCACTCGGTACAAAACTTATCCCCAAGGCCGTTACAGCAGCCGGACTTCCAGCTTCATCCTTACCCGCACTGTTCACGGCCCTCACTCAAGGTGCAGATGCCCTACAGACAGTACCGGGATTCAATGCTCGAGTTGGTGCTGCGCTCTCCACTGCACAGAAAGACGCGTTCTCCGGGGCCTTGAAGATCGTTTTCGTGATGACCATCGCATTCGGTGTTTGTGGGATGGTTGCCTCTGTCTTCATCAAGAATATTGACCACCTCCTGACGGGGGAGGTGGTGCGAAGGTTGCACGATCGTGGACAGACAGAACTTCACGAGGCAAAAGCAAGAGAATACGACGCTCCAAGATTGGCGACAGATGTTGAAGAGAAAACAGGTTGAAGGTGGGATTGAATTTCATGGTCCTCGTCAGCCTTTTTGTGAGACTATATGATATATCTCTGCGTGCACACGAATTCACAGATCGGCGCAGAGAGGAGTCCACCCATGGACATTTATTTATGTGCCCACGCCGCCGATGGTGTGAATAAGAGGGTTAATAATCTCCGAACGCTTAAGAAGGGCAGAATGTACAAAGGCCTCTCACCTCTGAGCGCCAGGATTTCGGAAATCCGGGAACCGGAAAAGTGCCGAATTCCTCGTTCCTCTGCAATCCTCCGATCTACCAATCCACTTCCGTTTTCCTAGCCTCTATTGTTGCATCCTTTAAAAATTCATCAGAGCGCCAAGTGCCTCTGATCTATGCATTCGCGAGTGCTTATCTGGCCTTGAGTCTATGAAAGGCAAGGGCTCCTCCCTCTCTACACTGTGCAATGGATAGCCGAAACAGATTTCAAGATAAAGTCATTGCTATAACGGGAGCTGGTTCAGGAATCGGTCTGGCCACAGCGCACTATCTGGCCAAAGAAGGAGCCGCTCTCGCCCTCGCAGATATCCGTGATGAAGCCCTGCAACAAGCAAGAGACTTGATCACAGCACAAACACCGGGAGTCAAGCTTCACACATACGCACTCGATGTCTCTAAGAATCAGGACGTGGAAGACTGGGTCGGAGCGATCATCACAGCCTTTGGTCGACTGGACGGCGCGGCCAACCTCGCTGGCGTATTCAGCCGGACCATTGACGGCATTTCGACGCTTTCTGATACAAACTGGCATTCCGTGCTCGATATCAACTTATCCGGAGTGTTTTACTGTCTCCGTGCACAGCAAAAGGTCATCTCGAACGGAGGCAGCATTGTGAACGCGTCCAGTGTTGCAGGCCTCTACGGGCATCCCAACTACCCGGCATACTGCGTGAGCAAAGCCGGCGTTCTGGCGTTGACCAGGTGCGCAGCGCGAGATGGGTGCAAGGGAGGTCAGAGTGAACTGTACCTGCCCGTAAGACTCTAGAGTTCCTTTATGTTCGGTCTCGACTTCTAACCGTTAAAAACCTGAATACAGAGGACGCGTCCGCACCCCCATGATGGACTCAGTGCACCAGTCCTTGTCGGGAGTCACCTTCTCCGCGAACCCATCAGCACTGCAGCGAGAAGCAGAACCTGAAGAAATTGCCGCACTCATAGGCTTCTTGCTCAGTGATGAGAGTCGCTTTGTCACTGGAGCGGAATATAAGATCGACGGCGGTAGAATGGCATAGATCTCTGGAACAGAACGCAGATGCTCAATGTTCCAGCGGTCGCTTTCTGATTGATAGAGGAGTTCGACGGAAACGACAATCCTCTTCTGGACCATCTAGTGTCAGTGAATGTCAAGTTCTATATGATATGTCCGCTGGGCATCAGCGCAACAGAGGCATTCGATTCACAAACTGAGCATTCGAATGCGCCCGCGTCTATTCATAGAATGTTCACTACATCACAACCCTTGAACTGCGAGAATCCATGCGTCATGTCGATATCCAGGCTCAGAATGACCATTCCAACAGGTTCAGAGCCCGTCTCCCAAAGCAATTAGTATGAGCAACTCTGGCCGGACCGCCAGAGGGGTGATCAGCATGAAAGCTTCAAGCGTACGGGCAGCATGAATCTGGAATGGAGTCAATCCAACGTCTAAACCTTCCTACCAACCGAGGACAGCGGCTCGCCCTTGAATTTGTATGTTCAAGGAATTTCGGGACCAGCGAAATTCCGAAGGTGATCCCGAAGCACCAATAGAACATGCAGTTGTGGAGGCGAAGAGAACTATCACTCACCAAGGCTGAATGCTAAGAAAGTCTTCTGGGAACTAAGAACCTGGGGGCCCCAGATCTCGGCTCTGAAGGGCCATGTCGGAGCTTGCCAGGGTCCCCCAGGTGGCAGAGAGGGAAAGAGAGAAAGAAGCTCGACTCCCTTTCACAGATCAGACGCTTTTTCTCTCTCTTTCTCTACAATCACCGTGGCCTATTCACAAGGTTTGATATCCTTGCAAGGATTTCGAGACTCGAGGGGTATTTCGCTACTGAACAGGCTCATCGACACGACGTGGCAGTGTTTGGGCAGGAGCATGGCCTTGGAGAGTCATCGCCTTCTGCTACCAGTGACTATACAGGGTCGACAGGGTTGGCTGAACCACTGGGCCCAGACCAGCGGGTTGCTGACGAAACGTTATCGACATGGAATCCATTTATACATGCTACCCAGCTGCCGTTATCGCCATCGGCAGCAAGGAATATTTCCCCCGGGAGCAAACCACATCCAAAAATGAAAGACAACAGACATTCAGCTCGTCAAGCTGACTCAAAGTCCTTGGGGTGCCCTTTTGTCGATGACTGTAGATTTCCAGAATGTTGCAAAGACGATCTTCAGCTTTGCTCTGAACAGCCGGGATATTTGGAGGACGTGCCATCTGTGAGGGCAAAGGTCCAGCGGTTCTTTGACTTCTCAAGCCTTCACTGTGCGTATATCGCGACCGAGATTCCCATCTGGTTTGGGCGGCGAGCTGGCATGAATAGATCCGTGCCTGGACGAGGCACAGACGCTGGCGCAATTTGGCGACTTTGTTCAAAAGCGCGATCTGGATCAGCCAAATGCCGACGACTTGTGGGGAATGGCAATACTCCATCTGTCCATCGCTGTTCTGTCCATCCTGGAAGACTTTCACTCGAGTGGCCACGACGATAGCACCCCGGGATGGACCAGATTTCTGAAGGCCTCTCATCTGCTGGACCATGCCACTGCGATGGGAGTGGGCAATACCGCAACGATCCAAGCATGCACCATGAAGGCGATTTATTTGACCTATGCCGAGAAATTCAACATGGCATACGATGTCGTGGGCCAGGCCGTCCAGCTGTGTTACCTGGTCGGGCTCCACGATCAGCCCAAGAACGGCAAACCGTTGAGCCCATTTGAGGCTCACATGCGCCAGAGGGTGTTTTGGACCACGTACTGCCTCGAGAAGAACATCGCCTTTGCCAGAGGACTGCGACTGCCTTACCTGATCTGTGATAGCGACATCAATATCCAGATCCCGCCTTGCGCCTCTGACGACGACGACCAGAGAGTGGAGATGCAGTATCTTGACGAGGTCCAGGCGTTTTCAGACTACCTCCACAGCACGGTCCAAGCAACACGCCTGAGCACCGAGATCTGGGATTGCATGCTCTGTCCCAACGCCAAAAGGCCCGTCGACGAAGATAAGGTCATGGCCATCGACGCCAAACTCCAAAACATTCTCGACCGACTGCCAGACTATCTTTCCCTGGGGAGGAGATCTCAGGTGGCGGCGTCGGCGGCAGCATCGCAGCAGCAACGGCAGCAGTACCTCCAGGGATCTCTTCGTCGGATATCTCGACGAGCAAGAATCTTGTTTCTGGTAAGTACTTCTGCGCTTTGACCCTATCACAAATCCCTTGGAGATGAATGGTCTAACGGTGCATGGCATGGCTCCAACCACAGCGCACCAATTACTTCCGTCTCCAGATGCGTCGGAAGGAGCTCCACGCGGGTAGATTCTGGCGACGAGATCGCCGGACTTGTCTGGACATTGCGGACAAGACGGTCGCCACCGCCTACGAGTTCTACTTCTCGCCCGTGGCGGAACCTCTGGACCGGTACTCGTGCGCCATCTACTTGCTGGAGGCTGTCTCGGTGCTGGCGGCCGTTCTGCTCGACGACAACGTCGACCGCGACTGTCTGGTCCAGGCGTCGACTTCTTTCACACGGGCCCTGGGCGTGCTCAGGACCACCACAGCCGGCCTGCGCCTGGCCAGGTCGAGCCTGAAGAGGATGGAGCAGACTATCGCCGCGGCCGAGACCATCGCACGGTCTTTTGACCTGTCGTCCAACCACGCTGCGATCGACCCTGCGCGCGATGCTGCAACATCGCCGACCATTGAATTCGACGCATTCGGTCAACCGTGTAACCAGAGGCAGAATAATCCATCTTCTATTGGTCCCTTTCTATTCAATGAGCCACTTGACATGGAGTTATGGGCCGCGCTGGATAGTACCAACGAGATGGTTAATTCTACTACCGAGCAACTACTCCTGAATCTCTAGCGTGGCCGATAAAGAACCTAAGGGAGAGCTGAGCTTGTATTGGAGACGCAGGCAAGGAACCTGCTACGTTCGCGTCTTTTCGCTATATCTCCCCTATAACGTACAAGAATAAGCAATTAAACACTACTCTGTTAGCACCCGAACCCTTTTGGTACTATCGACTCAGTCTGACGGTTGACTATCCTATCGACCAGAGTCTATCGCCTCATATGGAGAGTCGGTCCGCAGAGAATACAACCTCGCTCAACTGGACGACCCAGATCTTGGAAAACGCCAACAAGACGACCTTGTCATGAGCGAGGGCAAAGTTGCCCATACTCAGCTCCGCGGACTCTCCGTCCAGGAAGAACCACCGGTTGAATATGCCAATGACCTTTCCCTGCGGATTTCTCACCACGAGCCCCTCGGCCTCGATGGTCCAGACCCTGCCACGATCGTCGACCTTGATCCCGTCGGGCGCTCCTCCGCGCGTCATGGCGAACAGTTCCTTGTCGTGCGGCGTGCACCCGTCGCCGAGGCGGTATTTGTAGATGCCCGGGAACCCGGTGCTCGAGTTTGACGGCCCGATCGTGGCCGTGTACGCCGTCTCAGACGCGTACAGGGTCGTGAAGTTCTTGTCGAACGCGACGCCGTTGGGGAAGAGGATGTCGGCCCGGTCCAGTACGGCGCGCAGGGTTTGTGTGCGCGGGGTGAATTTCCAGTAAGAGTTGGGAACGTCGGGTGTGTGGAAGGGGTATCCGTACGCGTTGAAGTCCAGGCACGAGAATATCATCTCGACCTCGCCGTTGACGGCGCAGGACTGCGGGTGACTCTTACTGCGTGGAGGCACCAGGGCTATGTCGTCCAGACTGGGATACTGCAGCCCAAAGTACGAGTTGACGATCTCGTCGGTCTCGAACGTCGTCGGGTTGATGGTGACGATGGACCCCCCGGCGTCCGGCGACCCGGCCAGCACAAAGTACACGGTGCCGTTGAAGTAGTACCCGCCGTTCGGGTTCGCCAGCGGGAGCAACTGCGTCTGGGTGGTGTGCAGCGCCGGGGTCGTGACCGTGCCGTTGTCCAAATGGAAGACCTGGACTCTGCCGAACTGCGCCACCCCGATGGCCGAGGAGAACACACGGCGTTGCCCTCTGGAGCCCATGCGCCGGCCTCGAACGCCGTGAGGCCGGACTGATTCACCGCCAGCACCGGCTCCCCTTGGACCAGGGCGGCAAACTCGTCGTCGAAGCAGATGTACGGCGACGACGGATCCGCCTGGCTCTGGGCACCGACGGGACCTGGCGCGTCGGTCTGGACGAAACTGTCTGAGAGATTGGACGAGAACGGCCGCGGGAGGAAGAAGGTGTCGACGACCGGGATGGACTTGCACAGCAGCGAGCTGTTCTTCTGGGCGAGGACACCGGCGATGATGCCCGTCGTGGCGAAGACGATGGACTGCGAGCACCACATTTTCTGGTCTGGTCTGGTCTGGTCTGGTCTGGTCTGGTCTGGTCTGCTCAGGTCGAGATCAGATATTGCCAGGATCGGTCATACGGTGATGTTGAAAGGGTTATCACTCGATGTGGACGAGGATGTGTTGACAGGAGAACTGCGGGAAGAGAGACCCGGCATATGTATATGTATATATACACGCATAGCTACGAGGTAGAGCTCAGCTCCGATTGAGTAGCCGGGCATGAGCGAGGCAGGCTGCACTGCAGGGGGGCCACGGGATGCGAGTCTATAGAGTATATCCCCGATCGGAATTGTAACACGATATACATACCTACGTACCTACCTGCACACATACATACATACCTAGGTATTCAAACCCCGCGGGGAAAAAACCTGCATAAGGATGTTTTATCTGGTGCTCGGTCCGGCAAGGAAGGGTTGGCCCAATGATCCAGTCTCACCGGGCTGGGGTTGGGTTGGGTTCCCTCTGAGTTCCGATAGGCAGCCCCCAGACACTGACACCTGACTGTTTCCTGTGTCCTCGTGTCTCTCGCTTCACGGATCCGAACGTCCATCGCGAATGGCTGGATTCATTCCATTGAAGAAACCTCGGGGCGACTTTCTACATGGAGCCGTGTGTCAGTTCCCAGTTTTGCGGGTCTGCGGTAGTACATTAATTACCGGCACCGTAAGGCCAGTGACGTTACGTACTGGTATGTATGGATGATCTTGTCTTGCACACAGCTGGGGGCAACGGAATAGATACACCTATCACCATGTAGCGTCAGGCGCGGCATTCCGTTCTTTTTCGTTTTTGTTGGCATAATCGCGCACGCGTTGAGTCTCCGTCGATAGGGTATTTATCTAAGATATACAACCCTTCTTCATATCTATTCTTTGGCCGCCGATCTCTGACACTTCGATACTTTAGTGACGACGACCTAACGAATAGAACGCCGTAAAGACCTGGTATGGGATCACGATGCCTTTAAGACATTGCTGAGTGAGCAGAAGCAGAAAAGTACCTACGAGGATTGAGGCTCTAGACTAGGAATTATTTGCAATGGAGATGAATGAATAAGAGAATGAGTAGCGTGCATTGAACCTAGATACTCTTTGACTCTCTCACTCAATAGCATCTTATCATGTTAAAATTTGCCTGAGAGAGAGAAGCAGGTGTATTTGGTAGAGCGACTATCGAAAGGGCGGGTATCCCTTTTAATTTTGCCCGCGGTATGAGAAGATCACGTCGAACCGAGTAGCGGATGCAACAGCCCATCCTGGCAGGGTGGTCATAGCTACGATTTTGACCGTTGTCAATGCAAAAAATATAGCACGACGCTATTGGCACCGGCATTCCGAACTCGACATGTTGGACTGTTCGAGTCGTGGGCATCCAGGACCAGGGGCGACACTTTTTCTTTTTTTCTTTTCTTCTCCTTCAGACTATCTCTTCTCTTGTCCATTGACCTCCCAGCATGTTGGCCCAGGCTAGAGGATTTTAGCTTGTGGAAACCTTAATGTACCACGTGTGGAAAGCATTTTCATTCTTCGGTAAAGCGAGCGGCTTCCACCTTGTTCCGTTGGCCGCACGGCGCCACGCAGACAGACTCTAGTGTTGCCCCAAGCCGATGCGGAAGGTTAGCCGAACAATTTACCCTGCGGCACACACCAAAGTTTCAGGCGCGCTAGATAGATTTCCTTGTAATCAATCAAGTTATTCAACCCACATCTAGGAACTGGCAACGCTCACAAGTATATCGGTTGCAAGCTGAGACCCTCGACACCGGCCTGTGGACGTCGAACCAAGCCGCATTCAATCTGCGAGGGCCGCGTGTAAGGGCATTCGGCTTTTGCTACTGGGCCAATAGCGAGTCCGCTGCGGATCAGATAGATGAAATTTTTCATCTGATGCCCCGCCAGCCTACAAGATGCTGTCGACGCCTGGTCTGCCCTATCCCTGCGGTCTCTGTTGATCCCCACCTCACAGCATTCCGCGAGCTATCAGCTTGGCCGATAGAAGCTTGTCGCCCTTTATTCGGTCTTGGCATCTCTGATCTGGACTCTTAGACTTGCGACTATTCAAGATGCTACCTCACCATGCGACAGGGTTTGCATTGCTGCCCCCTCCACCCAAGGGAAAATTGCTTGAAGCGAGCAAGTCACACCCCGCCGATCTCGGATTTTTACGGTTGGTGTATGCTGTCCCTGTGTATATAATGGTGAAATGATCCGCCCCTGGCCCTGTTGAACTTTTTATCTTATCAATCTGGTTTATCAATCTGGTTTATCAATCTGGTTTATCAATCTGTGTTGTGACGACCTCCCTACGTCCACCCACCATCCCAATCCTTGAACTTCGTTATGAAACCTCTCGCTGGTAAGCTGGAGGTTCCTGGCTACTTGGCAGCCCTGGGCAGTAAACCTTCCGAGCCACGGTCAGACGTGCTCGCCGGCCATGGAGCCACCTCTGACCATTCCCTCGAAAAGGATGTCCGCAACAACACCGCCTCGTCGCTCGCTGATACATCCGACGATGAGTCCGTCGAGAAGATCGATACCAATGCCGAACATGGTGTACAGGCGGTGCAGGCCATGACCTATGCATGGTCGAAAAAGGAAATCATTTTCCTGTATATTTTGTGAGTCCAGATCTCACCCGAGTGCTTTGATCGAATCCTGTGTGCTGATGTCGCTCAGCATCTGGCTCATTTCCTTTCTCCTCGCATTCTCAAACGGCATCATCAACACTTTGACTCCCTACGTGACGAGCTCCTTTCAAGAGCACTCGCTGACCGCCCTGACGAGCGTCATCTCATCCCTGGTGGCCGGTATCTGGAAGCTCCCATATGCCAAAATCATGAACGTGTGGGGCAGACCACATGCATTTGCTATAAGCGTGGCCTTCATGACCATGGGCTTGATTATGATGGCCGGCTGCAAAAATGTCCAGACCTACTGTGCGGCTCAGGTCTTTTACTGGATGGGCTACAATGGCATCGACTTTAGCATTACCGTGTGCATTGCCGATACTTCTAAACTGAAGAATCGAGGCTTCATGATCGGCTATTCGTCTTCGCCATTCCTCATCACCACTTGGGTCTACGGATATGCGGCCGACAGCGTGATCAACGGCATGGGTTATCACTGGGGCTTCGGTATCTTCTGCATCATCGTCCCCATCGTCATGGCTCCCTTCGGAATCATGCACTGGATGGCGCAGGAAAAGGCGCGCAAGGCTGGCCTCATCCCTCCACGGGCCACCGCGAACATGACTCTGGCTCAGAAGACCCGCCACTACCTCAAGGAGTTCGATGTCATCGGTCTCCTCATCCTCGCCACCGGTCTGGCGCTCTTCCTCTTGGCCTTCAACATCTATTCCTACCAACCGGATACGTGGCGATCTCCCATCATCATCTGCTTCCTCATCTTTGGCGGCTTGCTCGTCATCGCCTTCGGCGTCTGGGAAGCCAAATTCGCTCCCATCACCTTTGTCCCGTGGGAGCTGCTAAAGAATCGCACGGTCATCTTCACCTACACCATGGCGGCTTCCCTGTACACTGCTTGGTATATTTGGGACAACTACTTTTATTCGCTCCTCGTCGTCCTCTTCAACCAGACCGTCGTTCATGCAACCTACATCAGCAACATCTACACCATGGGCAGCTGCTTCATCTGTCTGGTCTACGGAGTTTGCCTGCGCTACATGAGCGGCCGCCTGAAACTTTACTCTCTCTTCTGGGGTGTCCCACTCACCATCCTCGGGGTCGGTTTGATGATCAAGTTCCGCCAACCCGACGTCGACATCGGATACATCGTCATGTGTCAGATCTTCGTCGCCTTCGGTGGCGGTGTGTTGGTAACCTCGGAGCAGACGACGCTGATGGCCGTGTCTAAGCAGCGCGACTTCCCCGCCCTCTTGGCCTGCGAGAGCATGGTCATCGCCATTGGCTCCGCTATCGGTTCGACCATCGCAGGAGCCATGTGGACCGGCATCTTCCCGAAGAAACTGCTCAAGTATCTCCCGGCCAGCGCGCAAGGAAATTTCGCCAACATCTACGGCGACTTGACCGTCCAAGCCAGCTATCCTCTGGGCAGCCCGACCAGAGACGCCATCAACAGGAGCTACGCGGAGACTCAGCGATACATGCTCATCGCCGCCACCAGTCTCTACACCATCACCCTTGTGAGCGTCGGGCTCTGGCAAGATGTGGACGTCCGCACGATGAAGCAACGGACGGCTGGTCTGTTGTAAACCGAACAAGACTTCTCGTGTCGGTCACGGATCGCAGCCGAGTCGTTGACCGCGACGTCGCACGACTGTAGAAGAGTGAGTTTCAGGATTGGGATATTCCCATCTTCATGACATGCGCAGGATGCCGGGTGAGATGTATGTTTTGATATAATCAGTGATTCAAAAAACCTAGGTAGGATGTATAGCTTAATGAAGGACCCCGAAATCGTACCAAGACGACAGGTCTTCGCAACGAACTCAAGCGCCCGTGGCACCCGTGGAACCTTGATCCTTTTTGGATCTGGGCGAGCCACGCTCACTCGGGAAAGACAAATAAGGGGTTGTTGCTCGACTTTACGAATAGTAACGGAGGAAGAAACACGGACCTGCACCAATGGCTTCCAGATCTTGCTGACCGCACGATGTTGAGCATTCGGATTTCGTCGAGAACGTCCCTGATCTTAGTCCACGGGTTGGGAATGCGTTGAAAACAAACTCGCGTATCCGATTTTCATGCTTGCAACACTAGTGGTGACTCGAGGGCGCAATCTCCGGGATTCGTTGGAGATAATGACAGCGGCACTTCACACCCCTGAGCCCGAACTGGCTTCTGTGGATGGACATCAGGCAGCGCTCCCTGTGGCTCGCCCAGTGCTCGGGCGCTCTCCCCCGGGGTCTGCCGTGGCTTCCTTGACGCTCTCCCGTGCTCGACCAGGCGCCCTTCGATGCTCCGTCACGTGCGTGATTAAAGCGGCCTCGCTCCCTTTCCTGAACGAAAACGGTAATGGACGAAGCACAGTTCGGGGCATATATAATGTGTATATATATATATATGTCTAATCAGTCCCTCCGTATAGAGGTACGGGGGGTATAGAGATGAGATGCAGAGAGAAAGGGGGGGGGTTGTCTCTTCAATAGTAAACACTCGCCAGGCGCCGGGCGGCTGTACGATGATAGACCATGGTTTCTGCTGCTGATGACGGTGGTGGTGGTGGTGGTGGTGGTGGTGGTGGGAATGGTGGAGGGAGAC